GTAATCTCATCATAGAAGGCGATTAGATTAGTCAGGCATGACCTTCCCTTGGTGAATCCATGCTGACTGTTCCTGATCTCTTTCCTCTCATGTAAGTGCTTCAGAATTGATTCTTTGAGGACCTGCTCCATGATTTTTCCGGGGACTGAGGTGAGGCTGACTGGCCTGTAGTTCCCAGGATCCTTCTTCTTCCCTTTTTTAAAGATTGGCACAACATTAGCCTTTTTCCAGTCATCCGGGACTTCCCCGGTTCGCCACGAGTTTTCAAAGATAATGGCCAAAGGCTCTGCAATCACAGCCGCCAGTTCCTTTAGCACTCTCGGATGCAACTCGTCCGGCCCCATGGACTTGTGCACGTCCAGCTGTTCTAAATAGTCCCTAACCACCTCTATCTCCACAGAGGGCTGGCCATCTATTCCCCATGTTGTGATGCCCAGCGCAGCAGTCTGGGAGCTGACCTTGTTCGTGAAGACAGAGGCAAAAAAAGCATTGAGTACATTAGCTTTTTCCACATCCTCTGTCACTAGGTTGCCTCCCTCATTCATTAAGGGGCCCACACTTTCCTTGGCTTTCTTCTTGTTGCCAACATACCTGAAGAAATCCTTCTTGTTACTCTTAACATCTCTCGCTAGCTGCAGCTCCAGGTGCAATTTGGCCCTCCTAATTTCATTCCTACATGCCCGAGCAATATTTTTATACTCTTCCCTGGTCATATGTCCAACCTTCCACTTCTTGTAAGCTTCTTTTTTATGCTTAAGATCCGCTAGGATTTCACCGTTAAGCCAAGCTGGTCGCCTGCCATATTTACTATTCTTTCGACACATCAGGATGGTTTGTCCCTGTAACCTCAACAGGGATTCCTTGAAATACAGCCAGCTCTCCTGGACTCCTTTCCCCTTCAAATTAGTCCCCCAGGGGATCCTACCCATCCGTTCCCTGAGGGAGTCGAAGTCTGCTTTCCTAAAGTCCAGGGTCCGTATCCTGCTGCTTACCTTTCTTCCCTGTGTCAGGATCCTGAACTCAACCAACTCATGGTCACTGCCTCCCAGATTCCCATCCACTTGATGATTACCTGTTCTGTTCATTCCCTCTGGGGCACCAGGCATTGGCCACTGTCGGCAGACAGGATCCTGGGCTAGATGGACCTTTGGTCTGACCCAGTCTGTCCGTTCTTATAACCAGGTCAGGCAGAGTCACCCTAGGACAAGGGTAATCCTCCAGTGGCCTAGAGCCACCTCCAGGGCTCCCGCACCATTCCCCACCCTACAGAAAAATAGGTGTGGCCACGACAACCTAGTGCCATACAAATCCTTGGTAGTGGTTATGGCCTCTGGTAGCCATATGCAGCTGGGGTAAGTTAGAGCAGTCTCAGGGATGCTCCAACTTAGTGCAGATGGACCAGCCCAACACAGGGCTGCACCAGGATCAGGGAAGTGCAAAGGTGAGAATTAAAGCATGTTTGCAGACAGTCACCCAATTGTTTAGTGGTTATTGATGATTAATTTCCAACTAATTACTAATAAAAAGCTGAGGGATTGTAGGGGTCTAGGCACAACAGAATCCAGGTTATTAAGTTTAATATCTGGGCAGGAATCGCAGGGTGTACAACACCGACACTCACACCGAGGGCAAAACGAGGCTTGAATCGCTTCTATTATCACAATTAGTAAAGATTCAAAAGTGGTACAGCAGTAATACAGGGCAAATGTGATCTCTTGCACCATCCCTCACAGGTATACTCACACTCCTTCTTGGGGATCTGCTGGTAAGAGGCATAGGTCCTGCTCTGTCCTTGGCATGCCAAATGAGTCCGATGGTCCAGGTCCTGGTACAGATCCCTCTTACACGGTGGGCTGGCCTATTACAGGAGGCTGTCATGAACATTCATACAAATGCCCAGCCTCCCTTGTCCATATCTAACTTCCCCACACTAATTCTATAGGTTAGTATATTAATGAATCTAACTTATCACCATAGACGTCAATCCATTGCCAAGGCAAGTTCGCGGGTAAGCATTCACCAACATTTTATCCTAAAATATCCGAACCTAGTATCAGCTCCATGTTCCTGTGGTTACTTGTTATCATTTTGTACTAAATCCCCCCTTTAGAACACTGTTCCCAGTTCCCCAAAACTCAGGGTGGCTGTCGGCTATTTCAGTGATTCTTAACCAGAGGTCCAGGGCCCCCTGCGGGGCTGCAAGCAGGTTTCAGGGGGTCCGTCAAGCAGGGCCAGCATCAAACTCACTGGGGCCCAGGGCAGAAAGCTGAAGCCCCACCACCTGGGGCTGAAGCCAAAGCCTGAGCAGCTTAGCTTCATGGGGGCCCTGTGGCATGGGGCCCCAAGCAATTGCCCTGTTTGCTACCCCCTAACACCGGCCCTGGCTTTATATGCAGAATAACAGTTGTTGTGACACAGGTGGGCCGTGGAGGTTTTATAGCACTCTGGGGGGTCCTCAGAAAGAAAAAGATTGAGAACCCCTGGGCTACTTATCTATGCCAGCGTTCATAGGCCTCAAAGCCTTGTGCTGATGGCTTAAGCTCGTGCCCTACAGGATACATGCCTGCAGGTTCCTTGCATCACAGCTAGGTAAAATACAATGCTGAAGGTAGCTCTATGGGCTACAACACACACCTCTGGCCAGAACCTTGAGCAGATCAGAAACACACCCAGGGTCTGGCCCACAGACTTTCTTCTCGTTAGCGCATTTTAAACCCCAAACTTTTATTGGCATTTGCTTCAGCTTACTTGCAAAGATCTTAGGCCTTGGCTACACTTGCGAGTTACAGCACAACAAAGAAGCCCCGGGCGCACTAGCTCGCTCCCCGTCCGCACTGGCAAGGCACGTAGAGTGCTCTGCCTCCCGGCTACAGCGCGGCTGGTCTCCTCCTCGGCGAGTGGAATAACGTTTGCTGCGCCCCCGCTGGAGCGCCGCGGCACCAGTGTGGACGAGGTGCTGCATTACTGCGCTCTGATTGGCCTCTGGCAACGTCCCATAGTCCCCTTAAGCCAAGTGGCCACTCTGGTCATTGTTTTGAACTGGCTGTAGGAATGCGGATATGCCCTTTGAAAGCTCCGTTTGACAGCTGGCTGCTTATCTGCTCTGAGACAAAGCAACCATTAGTGTGGAATGCCGTGTGTGAGAGAGGGAGGCGGGAGGGGGAGGGGGGTCTGCTGCTGTCTGAATTTACAAGACAGCATGCTGACATGCTCTCAGCCCCCCAAAAACCCACTCTCTCTCTCCCCCCACATACACACAACACACTCCCTGTTACACTCCACCCCCATTTGAAAAGCACGTTGCAGCCACTTGCATGCTGGGATAGCTGCCCATAACGCACCGCTCCCAACGCCGCTGCAAATGTGGCCACACCCGTGCGCTTGAAGCTGGCAGTGTGGACAGACTGCCGCGCTTTCCCTCCTGCGCTCTCCGAAGGCTGGTTTAACTCGAAGCGCTCTACATCTGCAAGCGCAGCCCTGCCCTTAGTTGTTGTTCTTCTCGCCTTAGTCCAATATGTGTGGCATCAGCTCTTTGAGTCCTTCTTCTCCATTCCAGTCTGTCTTGAAGCAGTTGCTCAGAAACTGCACAGAATCCTTTGATATGGTATCCACCCATCTAGTTTTGGGTCTTCCAACCTTTCTCATACTTTCCACTTCTATGTTTAACACCTTTTTCATATATATTCTTCCAATTTTCTTTTCATGTGCCCCAACCATCTAAGCCTGATTCCCTCAGCTTTTCTATAGTTGGTACCACATTGTCTCTTCCCCTAACTTGTTCGTTCTGAGCATGGTCCATCCTTGTCACTCCAAGCGTCCATCTCAGCATTTTGAAAGGCATTCTCCTATTGCAGATCGTTCCCCGCACATCTCTCCATTTCACCCATGCCTTTTCTGTTCGGCTTGTAAGTTTGTCATTGAATTCACCATTATCCTGCGCTATATAACCTAGGAACCTGAACTTCTGTACCTTTGGTGTGACTGGCCCACCAGACTTACCTTGCAGGAAGACAACAGAACTGTATCATCGAGTCTACAGACCATGGCCTCCATTTTATTTCTTCTGATTTTCATGCCATTTCCTTTAAATACTCACCTCCATCTCTCTTAGATCTTACTTTCAAACAGAAATTATACGTGGTTATAATACTTTAATGTTCCCTGATGTGGTAGAGAAGTTAGATCAAATTACTTGTTTTGCTACTTGGTTGGATGCAGAGAATGATCACATCTCCCCTCTGGCTATTCAGAGGTGGAGAAAGCTTCCCCTGACATGTCATAACAATGTAGGAAATATTTAAGGGGAATGAGTTGTTGGTTCTTTTCCACCCAAGGTTATTAGCCTCCCAGGTTGTCTGGATGTTTGAACAACAAACCAGTCACATAGACTGGGGATGAATTCACAGATGGTAGTGAAGAGTGGAGAGTTATGAAGTCATTTATTGTGGCAATAATACAAATATGGTAGGAAGGAGCCATTAAAATGTCAATATTTGCCAGCTGCTGAGCTTGCTCTCTCTGAAAATCTCAGCCACTTGTGGGATTAGGGATCCAATTCTCATTACAAGTGATGGGCATCCATATCCTTTAGGCAGCTTTGAAAATGCTAGCCTCAATGCGTATACAACACAGGGTCAAATCCTACCCTCATTTATATCCATTGGTTTCATTTCACAGAAGGGGAAAATGGTTTCCTGAGTACTTTGAGGGAATTTGTGTCCACTGAAACGTTTTTTTCCACATAACAAAAAGTATTTCATTTAAATCCAGCTTTAATCATGTAAATCTTAGGGATGTTTTCTTCAAACAAATACCATACATGTTTCTTCTCTGTCTGCGTTAATTCGCTAGCGCTGTATATTGTTTCTTTGGGATTCTCAAGAAATGATCATTTGAACCATTCCTGGGTGTCTCTGATGTGGTGGCTCAGGGTTTGGTGCTGAAATGTGTGTTCTTTGCAAGTGCCCGCTCATGTCTTGACGGAACATTCTCTTGTCCAGGCTGGTGGTGGGAGCCCCCTATGAAACCAATGGACAGCTGAAGACTGGAGACGTCTACAAGTGTCCGGTGAATGGCGAGACGAACGGCAACTGCACCAAACTCAACCTAGGTACCACATGCCCTGCCACTTACGCAGTACAGCTAGCCCGAGTGTTAGAAAATTATGAGTTAGGCACACACAGATCATGAGATAATATATACAAAATCTTGTGATTTTAAACTCATATATAAAATAGTGTGTGTGTGTGTTTCTTTTTATTTATCTTCTGTCTTTTGAGCCTTTAAAGGTGCACTCCAGTCATGTTTTCAAGCTTTTCTCCATAATTGTGAGGGCGAGAACCGTTTTTTTGAAATGGCAGCTGAGATAATCATATAGTCACATGACGGCTGGAGCTGGGACTTTAAGAAACACTAAATCTCGTGAGATTAAAATGCTTGAGCAGCCTCCAGAGGGAGCAGAATCAAAGAGCCAGACTGGTTCCAGAGGTGGTGCCTGTTCATTGTTGCCCTCAAGTTTTGCTTTTTTTTTAAAACAAAAGTCCTCAGCTGGTGGAAATCCGTGTTGCTCCCTGACTTCGGTGATTTAGGCCAGCTGAAGAGCCAACCCCATTGTTCCACATAACCTAAAATGAAAGGAAAAGTTTCCATCTTTGTAAAAAGCATCAGAGTGGCTCCCCAGCTGGTGTGGATTGTTCTGGGCCCAGATGGAGCTCTTTCAATTTACACCAGCTGTGATTCTGCCTCAGAGATTTTGGCTGGGAAGGATTTAAAACCTCCTCTGCCCTGTGTGTGGCCTAAATGGCATGTGCCTGGGACAGAAAATGAAACTGACTGGGAAACTGACTGCTCCATTTTCATCGTTCTGGCTGAGTGTGAACACACAGTATGAACAGTGAGAAGTTCGTCAAAATGAAAGAAACAATCCCTAGAGACAGGTTTCAGAGTGGTAGCTGTGTTAGTCTGTATCAGCAAAAAGAACAGGAGGACTTGTGGCACCTTAGAGACTAACCAATTTATCTGAGCATAAGCTTTTGTGGGCTAAAGCTCACTTCATCAGATGCCTGCAGTGGAAAATACAATAGGAATATATATATATTTTCTGCATACAAGGCTCCAAGAGATCCAACACCTTCTTGTCAACTGTTTGAAATGGGCCATCCTGATTATCACTACAACAGTGTTTGTTTGTTTTCTCCTGCTGATAATAGCCCACCTTAATTTATTAGTCTCGTTAGAGTTGGTATGGCAACCCCCATTTTTTCATGTTCTCTGTATATATATATATAGCTGTCTTCCTACTATATTTTCCACTGCATGCATCTGATGAAGTGGGTTTTAGCCCACGAAAGCTTATGCCCAAATAAATTTGTTAGAGTCTAAGGTGCCATAAGTCCTCCTTAATCCCTAGAGAGTTAATGATCAGAAGTGTTACCTATAACACCGGCAGAGACATTTGTTTATAAAGTATAGAGAGCCTGGCCATGCCCTTAATATTGCACACACAGGGGGGACCCTCTGTATTTAGAGAGACCCCCACATCCCAGGGGAAGTCACCCCACCCTATCTGTCTTAGGTACTTATATGGCCCCATCAGCATAGTGTATAGGGCCCCATCAGCCCTCAGTCTGTTTATCCTCACAGCCCCCAGGGAGGCAGGGCAGGGCTGTTATCCCCATTGGGCAGAGGGGGACGGAAGCATAGAGAGACTAAGTGACTTGGTCAAGGTCCTACCGGAAACCTGTGGCAGAGCAGGGAATTGAACCAGGGTCTCCCAACTGGCTAGCGCCCCAACATGAACTTCTGTCTAGAGCTGGTTGGAAAATGGGGGGACGGGTCTGCAGAAAATTCCAAGTTTTTGTCAAAAAACCCCAAATTGTTTTTTTTCTCTCAAACCAAAATATTTTTGGCTGAAAAATGACAAAAATTGAAACAATTTTGGTTTTCAGCTGAAAATATTGAGTTTTCAGGTTTGGGGTTTTCTGACAAAAATCAATTTTTATTTTTTTTTTCTGAGAAAGTCCTTTGCCTCGCAGATTCTGTCTCCACTGTGAGTTGGGTGTGACTCCAGGCTCGGGTAGACACACTCGTGCTCGCTCTCATCAGGCTAGTGGACTAAAAATGGTTGTGTTAGTGTCACTGGGGTAGGCTGGTAGCAGCGAGCAGCAGCATGGACAAGCCACACCAAGTCTGTACCCACGGGGGTCAGGCGGGTTTGAACTCAGCCTGGAGAGCTGGTTTCACCACGCGTGGATGGCGGTGCGACCCCAGGTACACTATTTTTAGCACGTTAGCGCGATGAGCGAGAACAAGTACGTCTACCCGAGTTGGAATCAAACCCTGGCTCCTAGTGTAGACATGCCCACAGGGTGGGTCTTGAACTAAAGATCAAAGCTGCTCTGGAAACTTTGGGTGTCCTGTAACGCACGTCAGTAATGCTTTGAACCCGCAGGATGAGAGTAAACTAGACTCTGAGTTGAAAGCGAGGAGACCCAAGTACATTTTGTCTTCCCTTGGTGCCCCTGGAGTAGTAGGAGTTGGGGACAGGTTCCCCAGCAATTTGGAGGCTCTGGGGAAGAGGTAACACAACCATAAGCTTTGCGGCATTGCCAGCATGTTATCTGTGGGTGTCTTGGGGCTTGATGTGTGTACTAGTCACCCTGCCTTGCCCCATCTGGCCCCTAGCCTGCGCTTCTCCCCGGACATGGATCGCTGACCCCAGGGATACCGTGTACAGGAGACAAGGGGAGTGGTGACTAGAGGAGACATCAGCACAGAAGGTTTCCTCTGTGCATGGATCCACACAGAGAGATCAGGGCTTTTATTTTCATGTACAACAACCCTCTGCCCTTCATTCCCCCTCCAGCACTGATCCTGCAGAAAAGTTCAGCCCCACAATATTCATAGATCCATTCTCCTGCCCTCCAGGAGTCTAATGTGGTTGAGATTCCTGGCAGGGATGTTCTTGGCCTGAGGAATCCCCTGGTAGTATGGGACCAGCATAGCACCTCTTACACCCTGCATGCTTGTCCCTACCCTAAGCACCTGGGTTGTGGCTAGTGAAAGTAGGTTCTGACTGGGAGCCACTGTGTCCAGCTGCTCCCCAGATGCTGAAACAATCTGTTGGAGGCTGTTACCAGCCAGTTCGAGGTAGAGCAACCCTGAGGCTGATCTAAGTTGCACCTCAGTACTGTCCCAGTGACCACAGGATCAGGAAGGCATAAAAATGGCTTTGAGCCCCATCTCCATCTGTGCCAAGTGCAGGAGGGCCAGTCCCAAAAGTCCTGCCAATTATGTTTCCCAATTGTAATTGATTATGAACAAATACAATTCCAGTTACACTAGAAAATATCCTTTAAATTGTAGGTGGGCCGGAGGCACGACATGTACATCTGGCACTGCCCCATGTATGAGCTTTCTCAAAGTTCAAGGGTTCAGGAATCAAGCTTTTTATATGGGCCGAGTATTCAACCTACAAAGTTCAGCTCAGAGTCTGGGGTTTGGGATGGGGTATGGACTTGTGGTTCAGGCTCCTTCCCATTTAAAATCCCACAAGAGCCTTGAGAGAGACTGATACAAGGCCCCAGATGAAAGAAGAGGCCTCATGCTCTTCCCATTAATTGCTCAGTTTTTTTCTCAGTTCCCACCTTCAGGCACTGGGGCAAAGGAGGGAAGAACCGTCCTGTATATCACACTGTGTTCCAACTTCTCTGACGCTCTTGGTGAGCAGGCATAGGTCAAACGTGCACTCCAGCGAAGCACTGCCCACGTGACCAAGAGATGTAAAATCATAGTCACGTGAGAATTTAAAATTGCCAGACCACCCCTGTCAGGTTCGTTTTTGCACCCCCACTAACCATATGCTGCAGGCTGGAAGAGATGAAACGATTTCTTTTGCTGAAGCTAAAGGATGTTAACATTTACAGAATGAAAGCATTGCATTGTGGGACACTCTCAATTTTAAGAAATGGAATAAATTTGCAAATATACATCGGCAACTGCATGCATTTCATACCTGCAATGGGAAATTACTTGCTAGACCAGTTCAAAGGTTTTTCTAAGGCTTATCTAGTAGGAAGTCCAAGTTTTTAACTCATTATTTAATTCCCTAGAAGACTTTTTTTCTATTTGTCAGTTCAGCCCATCCAGGGATGTTCTGAGATCTTGGCTCTGTGGCAGTTGCATCTGTTGAGATAAAATATAGGCTCTGTGACATGAACAAGATAAAGATGTCTTGAGGTCCTTCAGCTGGATCTGTTCTTACACTTACTAGGATACTCACAGTGGCACAATAAAAAAGTGGGATTTTTTGGTTTGTGTTACAATTCTTCGGACCGCTTGTGGTCTGCTGAGGTGCTTCCTTCACAATGGTAGAGCCTCGGCCAGCTGTCCAGGTGTGACGTATAAAACCATTTCGGAAGCCTGTACACTAGCCGCACACTGCTGGATGATACAGCGCATCTAACCTTGGTATTCTTTCTCAAGGAAGAGTAACACTCTCCAATGTGTCAGAGCGCAAAGACAACATGCGTCTTGGCCTGAGTCTGACCACAAACCCCAAGGACAAGAGCTTTCTGGTAAGAAATAAGATACTGTCTATAAATAATTGGCACTTAATATGCAAACTGCCTGGTGCTTTTTTGGTATATTGAGTCTCTCTCCAGGATCTCTGCAGCCATGTTCCTCTCACTATTTGTCTGTCGTTTGTTTCATTAACTTAACCCCAACAGGATTGTTTTATCCAGTTATGAATATAAATGCAGGCCCTCTGCCTTCCAAGATAGCAGCAGCTTCTCCAGACTGCCAAAGTAAAATGCATTTTCCAAACACGTATAGTTAACATTTCACGTCAATATTCTGTTGACTTCATGGATCAAGCTTTCAGTCTTGGCTTCTATTACAGCATGCCTCCTTTTGTGCATGGAACAACGAAGCCTTTGCTAGTTGGCATTAAGGGGCTCATAGGGTCACAAAGTCTACACTACACACTAAGCACAGGCTCTTAATCAGGTTTGCGCTCAAGCTCCCCTTCTGTCCACACACAAATCAGCTTGACTCGGGTCAGCAAACACTCAGGACCCATGTCCGAGGAAGCTGCTAGTGAGGTGGATGGGTCAGAACCCGAGTCCCGCTGTGACTTGGGTCCAGCCCTGTCATTCTGCAGTGTGGATATAGCTCAAACCGCAGACCTGAGTCAGAAGGTCTATATAGTGCAGTATGGACATGTTAGCATGGCTGTGCGACCCAACTGTAAGCCCAGGTTTGCAAAGCTCAAACACGGGCTTGGAAACATCAAGTCCACAAGCCCGGGTCCCAAAGACACGGCTTTACAATGCAATGTAAACTTCCCCTTAGGTTCATGAGAAATGGATAATGCAAATTGGCTCCAGACATTCTTGCCTGATATTGCCACTTCTGACTCCTGACAAGCTGTTATCTCCACACTGTCTGCTCTCACTGCCAATGCATACGGATCTAGATCCTTACATGACAAGGTGAGGATTTTTCTAAATCCAGCCCAAAGCCTGGAAGGGAACTCCTCCTACACAGAAGATATTGGTACAGGATAAAATGCTAGTACACCCTGCCATGAGCCCACATCCTGCAAGTTAAATCTGCCTTAGCATAACCCACAGACACCCAATCATCCCAAGAGTTCGCATATTTTAGAAAGGAAAATACATGTCACTTCCTTACTTAGGCCATTTGCTCCCTCTGTTTCTACTTTCTGCACCCCCTTCAGGATCTGTGCCACCCGTGGCAGTCTTCTCCACATGCGCACAATGGTCTTAATGGCTAAAGTCTTACCGTAATTTGCTCTGGAGAAACCAAGTAGTGTGCTTCTTCATGCAGGCTGAGCTGGCATTGGAGGTGTTTGGCGAGAATAGTCCCTGAGTCGTACATGGGTGCAGATCTCTGATTCTCTGCTGTTGATCTTTATAGCCTGTAAAACAGAGGCTAAATAAGTGGCAGTTTTTCAACCCTTCACTGTTGTTTTATTTTTCCCAATTTTCTTTACAGGCTTGCAGCCCTCTCTGGTCCCATGAGTGCGGAAGCTCTTACTATACCACAGGAATGTGCTCCCGGGTGAACTCCAACTTCAGATTCTCCAAGACCATAGCTCCTGCCCTCCAGAGTATGAGACGCAATCTGTTATGTAGCCTCTAACTCAAACCCTGTTTTTGAAGTTAAATAGAATTTTTGTTCTTTAATCGCTTCAATGCCATTGAGAAAACAAAGTGAAGTCAGGATTGAAAAGGAGGCAAGATAACAAAGGAAATGATTTGCAAAAGGCGACCCAAAGGAGATTACATGCACAGACATCTGGCCAACATTTTCCTTCTGAGTGACTCTTGAGGAAGACCTTATGCTTCGAAAACTGGAAATAAGGGTCCAGCATATTTGATCAGCACCCTTCAGTGCATTGGGAAGGGGAAAGAGGGAAAGAATTCAGGCATTGGCTGCACAAAACAAAGCTCATTTGCTGAACAGCTAAAAATGTTGGCCAGTATTTTCAAACCTGGGTGCGTAAAGTTAGCCACCTGGCTCCCATATGTAGGCACTAAATAAGTGTCCTGATTTTCATGGGCACTCCACAGATGCTGTTGGGTTCAGTGGAGGTTCTGGGTTCTCAGCCCCTCTGAAAAATCAAGCCACTTATTTAGCTGCCAACATTTACATCCTCTTTTGGGGTAATTTTGGCTTCCATCCTGTTGAACAGACCAATGACGAGCTGGAGTTTCTTTGGGTGATGGAGAGAAGTGAATTCAGAGCCTATTAATATTTTAACAATATTTTTCTTTAAATTTCCCCTCTTATAATGTAATGTCGTAGGATGAATTTCTCCCATTGGTGCCCCGTTTTTGTGCAAGTTGATGATGTCATTTCAGACGTTCTTTTCAATCAGAGATGCTGCTATGATCACATTGGGAAGTGTAACTGATACCTTGGAAGAAACTAGATTACCAAGCCTAACTTTATATTAAAATAATAATTGAACAAGCATGAAATATAAGGTCCTCCTTCCATTTGAACGTGAGACCACTCAAGCTCCCTTCCCCGTGGTTTATGAGTTCACTAGATAGCGATAGATCTGAGTTCCCTTTTGATAGAATCATGTACCCTGTGACTCATGGCATGCTCAGTGGTAGCACAAATCCATCCTTTGCTCCCCCAACAGTTCTCTGAAACACGTCATTAAGTCTTATAAAATACGAGGGCATAAAAGAAAGCTATAAGGATAACACCTGACAATGGCACACTTCGGAAAGGAAACTGACCAATCCACAGCTCATTTGATCAGTCCTTCCTAATGTGTTGCTATTGGACAAAATCCTGAAGTCCTCACTTGAGTTTTTTTTTTGGTCTTAATCTTTACTGTGGCAAAAGCTCCCCTTCTCTTTAGTTGGAGCAAATACTGATCTATACTATTTACTGTGCACTATAAGTGGGTTGAGTTCTGTGTAACCATAGAAGGCCTGGTCCCTGCCCCAGGAAGTTACAATGCCAGGATCAAATTCTGCCACACTTCCACTGGGTGCATCACCTCCTGCTGGTGTTGATTCTGCATGGTGCGTAGGCATGTGCTTATCTCACACTGAAGTTAAGCATATGCTTAAGGGCCTCTTTTTGAGTTGCCCCCTTGAAATCAAAGGGATGACTCGCAGAGTAAAGTACTACTCAACATGAGTAATGGTGGCAGAATTGGGCCCTGAACATTTGAAGTAATCTAATACACTGGATGGAGATCCAAATCTGAATCGGAGCCGGCAATCTGAGGTTGCTTATGTACAATATTATTCTTAGAAAGTTCTCCAGCTCTCTCCTGCCAGAGCTAACCATGGGTGTGGACTCTCTCGATCTCATTTAAGTGAATGTGACCTGAAGGTCTTTAGGTATGATTTAAATCAGATTTTTCACACAAATCACAAGAGCAAGTACCTGACTGCAGGGAATAAAGCCATAAATTTCCACTTTGCAGTTGTTGCCAAGGTCTTTCAATAATATGCTGCGTATTTTCCACAGGATGCCAAACATACATGGACATAATCATTGTTCTGGATGGATCGAACAGCATATATCCCTGGGTTGAAGTGCAACATTTCCTGATAAACATCTTGAAAAAGTTTTACATTGGGCCTGGTCAGATACAGGTAAGCATGTCCCTGGTCATTCTCTGCATTTATGTCTCTGTTCATTCTTGCAATACAGATTTTCCTGGTCTATTTCCTAGGAGACATGTCCCTTCGGTGCCAATATACTGCAGCCTGGCAAGGCGCTTGCCCAGAATAAACCTGCAGAGTATGGATATGAAAGCTGAGCCAATGGAAATACTGCTCACGTTAATGTTCTTAACTGAAACAGAGAGTAAGGAGCAACCCACGCAATGAAATGAGAAGGAAGGAGGGTGATTAAGTTGTGTGACCCTTAATTAGCATCGCTCTGCGGGTATGCAGTTTGTAGCAGCTGTGGAGGGTACTCTATCTTTTTCTTGCTGGGCCTTATTGGCTATCTCTATACAGCAAAGAAAAACCCATGGCTGGCCCGTGCCAGCCAACTCCGGCTTGCAGGGCTGTTACCCGCACAAAATTCTCTGTTACTCACACACTCAAGGGCACCCATCTTTACCCAGTTCCTAGGGCTCCAGGTGAAAAGCACCTAACTTTACCCTTCCGTGGGCTCTGGGCAAACACCTTTTCCCTGTGGACTCAGGGCTTAATCTTTTGCGAGTTTACAGGGTCTTTTACCAGTGAAAGAACCTTACACAGTAATATCCTACATAACCTCTATTTATTAACAATCACCAAAAACAGACTACACATGCTACACATACAGTGCTCCCCACTCCCAATAAGATGGATGAACTTTTCTTGATGGCCAGTCAGGATCAGGTCCATCTGGGAGACTCCAGTTTCTGCACAGTGTCATTGGCAGAGTGTTGAGGTCTGGCCGCTCTGATCTTTGGGGCTGTGTCCTGGAGTTGGTTCCCAAAGAACTTCTTTTTGGACCCCAGATATATAGTGATATTTGGGTCCTTTTTAGCTATACCTTAACCAATCATTATACTAAAATTTTACTAACCAATCCTAACATAGTGTAACAAAGTTCTCTAACCAGTCCTATCCTACCATCTTAATTAATTTACACCTAGCAAAATTAATTATGTAACAGACAGAAACAATCAAAGAACCAGACAGAGACCATACAGACAAACAATAGGGAAGTGGGGACCATAATGACAAAACAATAACGAAATGAGGATTTCAGAACCACAACTATTGATAAGTGATTGCTTGACAGACAGGATGCTATCAAACTAAGTTTTCTTTATCTTAAGATCTGTTTCTTTATCTGGTGATAGTGGGGGCCATTAGGACGGGGTCTCCTTCTTAACAGCCTGCTATTATATTGTTTTAATGTAATTTAGATGGAATGTGAGGATGTGGCTTCCTGCATCTCAGCCAATGGCTGCTGCTTGGCTGCTCTTTTAATCTGGCTGCAGACGAATGCCGTAGGCTTTAGGCCTTACAGTATGGCTGCAGACAAAGGCCTTATCCTTACAGGGCAGTTTCATTGCTGTGTAGACTTCTGGGCTCAGTCCAAAGCCTCAGATCTGGGACCCTCCCACCTCACAGCGTCCTAGAGCCCAGGCCCCAGTCCAAGCCTGAGCGTCTACACAGCAATGAAACAGCCCCACAGCCCAAGCCCCACGAGCCTGAGATGGCTGGCATGGCCAGTTGCAGGTGTCTAGCTGCTTTGTAGACGTACCAGTTGTGGCTGATGTCGGTACCTAGGTTTGTGACTGAGAAGCCAGTAAGAGAAGGGGGGAATACGACACAAGGATTTCAGCCAGTTCTGAATCCCCAAAACTGTACAAAGAGCCACCCTGTACATCCTCAACAAGAGAAGACACAGGTCAGCATTATGGGGCCAGGGGACCTGGTCTGTACAACTTAACACCTAGGTTCCCAACCACAACACCACCCCTCTCCCCTTGGCAGGACGTCTGAGCATGGGTGATAGCTGGCCAGAATATAGACCTACGATTATTGCTGGCTTTGTATTGTCAACTGTCATTTGGGGGGAAATATGGAGCAGAATTTGACTGAGTTTAACTGTGGGCAGAGATGACTGTGGTGAGAACATGCTGAAATAGAGTCTTCTCTGCCAGTTACACGTAAAAAGACGTCCTAAAGTTCCCCTTACCAAAGGATGGATTCTAGTATCTAACTCCCAGCAGAAATAGGGCTGAGAACAGTTTGTTTGCCAGATCTTCTTGTTTGGAGCAGAACTTGTTTAGTGGCTGATCTATCTTCATGCACTTTTAATGGACTACAATTAATTTCCCCACTAACTTTGGCAGAGATGCTACTGCAAACTCTTTTTGTATTCGCTTATTTATGTTGTCAGTGCCAAACCTCTAGCATTATAAAAAGACCAACAGCTTCCTGCCTTCCTTTTCCCTTGTGTGCCTCATTGTTCCCTGGGCTCAGAAATGGCAGGGCTGTTGGTTTTCCCTACACAGAATTAGGAGACGTTTGCAGCTAGTTTGGGGGCTATGCAACAGGTGAACCTGCAAAAAGGCTTCTGTTCTTGTGTGTACACTCACACACGAACGGCTATGTGACTGTGCTCCTTTTAAATGTCATTGAATTGTAAGGTTCTGTGACGCACATTTTGTGTGCAGGTCACTACATAGACCTACAGTATTATCATCACCGCCGTAGACATACCTGTTAGTCCACTTACTTGTAGCACAGAAGCAATGTAAGTATGGAAAAACCTGGTTCGTTGCAGATGGCCCCATTACTGCACACCCAGACTCCTAATCTCCACATTTCCAGTAAATCATACAACAGTTAGTTATATATAGCGATGTACTGTATATTAACTGAAATTATACTTGATCACTAAAACAGGCTCTTTGTTTCTCGGGTGACTGCTATGATGTGTGGTATTTGCATCCTTTGTAATGCTCCTTTAATTCCTAGGTTGGAGTTGTTCAATATGGAGAAGACGTTGTGCATGAATTTCATTTAAATGACTACAGGTCTGTAAAAGATGTGGTGGAAGCTGCTAGTCACATAGAGCAGAGAGGAGGTACAGAAACCAGGACAGCATATGGGATAGAATTTGCTCGGTAAATCACAAATACGGACTCCCATTTATTCTAATTACAAGTCTTTCTTTCTTTCTCTTTCTTTCTTTCTTTCTTTCTTTCTTTCTTTCTTTCCTTTCCTTTCTTTCCTTTCCTTTCCTTTCCTTTCCTTTCCTTTCCAGGTGTTGAAAAGTAAACAATAGTCCCTGAAGTAGGGGACATTTCCAGACAAAGCCATAATGATACTTTGTAACAGAATATATCCAGCTCTATTCTCCACTGCAGCCGAACCCAGGAGGAGGGAATCAAGGGTTGCTGTATGTCAGCGTGACATCCCCCGAATCCTGAAGCTGGCTGGGATCATTTCAGCCCCTGCCCAGTGGTCCCCAGGGGTGTCTTCCTCCAGCCAAGCATTACCACCCTTGACATACCTCTATCCTGGGGCTGGGATAAGGGAGCATAGACCTGGCTATTGTGGCTCTACACTAGACCAGGGAAATCCCCAACCTGTTGATTAAGCCGGTTTTCTGCATGCTTTGTGCTGAGCAGGAGGAAAGGACTCAGGCCCGTTTATTTCAGGGATAGCTCTTTCTGAACCTAATCTGGGTTGCACTGTTCCGAAACAGAGTCAAACTGGAAATATGAACTAGCCCAGTGGCTGAAGGAGTTCTGATCTGAGAGTGCAACCCAAATGCGCCGCAGCAGAGCTCTATAAAGACCAGAACCAGCCTACAGTTCAGATCTTGTTTTTCCTTCTCCCTCTTTTGTTGCAGAATTGCAAGTGGTGTGAGATTAGTAGGAATATTGACCACTAACCCACAGCACGATCGCCCTTAATTTATAACTGAATTTGTGGGCACGTTTTAATACAAAGACTGAGCCAGATTCTGATCTGTTATATGACGTAAACCTGGAGCAAGTCCTCTGATTTAATGGAGTTGCTCCACAGGGAGATTACAAGTGGGTCCACTATGAGGAAATATTGCTTATTAACACCACAAAGCTTTCTGAGAATCCCATATTTTGTTGGATTTCCTTTTTAATTTAAGAACTCGCAGTCCATTAAAATAACATTTTGTGGTTTGTGAGTCGACCTTGGAGTAGATTCCTGTTGATCTGAATGGAATGAGAATCTTGGAATTTGTTCAGGTTAAACCAGAGTTCAGACAACAGAAGGGGTTTTTCATGTAAGTGGGACAGGCCAAAGTGAAACACACCCAGCATGGCAATGTATATTAAGGTATGTTCTGATCAGAAGAAACCTCTTGCAGCCAGCCTGCTGCTTTGCACTGCCCAACAGTTCCTTTTAATTTCAGCTCAGAAGCCTTTCAGAAAGGTGGGCGAAAGGGAGCGAAGAAAGTGATGATTGTAATAACCGATGGGGAATCCCATGACAGCCCGGACCTGGAGAAGGTGATTGAAAACAGTGAGAAGGACAATGTCACCAGATATGCTGTGGCAGTAAGTCACTCTCCTATTTAACAGTACATTGAAGGTCTTCCATAGTGACCCACTAAACTTGGCATCTGCCCCAGCTTCCCCATTTGTGAAATGGGTACAGACAGGTAACAATATAGAGGCATTCTTCTTCTTTGCCTTGTCCCATCAGTCCGGGTTGGCTACTCTTCTTCTTCATCCCATATGAGGGTGGAGGCCAGAAGATCCCCCCTTAAGGTCAGAAACCAGGCACCTCTACTGCCCTGACAGAGAGGCAAGGGGCCAGAAGTCAGGTGCACTAACAGCTAGGCTGCCCAGCCCTCCAGGCCCCCATCCCAGTGCACTTCTCACTGTGACGTTGCACTCCATATGTTTTATGGAAATATGCTAATGAGTGTGAATATAATGTAACTGGAATTTGCTTCATGCAAAAGGTCTCTTGTAAGGTATCATTACAAAGCTTATAATCTATTGAGTGTGTTTGACCTATTTGTTTAAATGTATCATTCTTGTAGCTGAAGCTAGAAATATGAAGTATTACTCTGAAGTCCTATTGTAACTATGCAAGGTGTGAGCCATTAATGGTGGCTTAGAATCTTGATAGCTCCCATTAACTAGGACAGTTGGTTGTGAATGGCTCAGTTTACTCACAAATTTTCCTGGGTATGTGCAGGCCAACCCTGAAAGAATGGAAAATGAGGTCTTACAGTGACATGTGATCATGTCACCTGGTACTAAAATCCATCTTAAACCTGGTGCTTTTCCATTTAGAAGGAAGGGTGGGAACCCAGAGAGAGACAAAGGATACCCACCTTGTGCCAAAGATATAAAAGGGGGTGAAACAGAACAAAGGGGGCTGCCAGTCATGAGAAATCCCCTAGTTACCACTTGAGCTGAAACTAACAAGAACTGTACCAGGGGAAAGGATTGGGCCCAGACTAAGAAGGAGTCTAGTCTGTGAAAGAAGCTTTTTGGAACATCTCTGAGGGTGAGATTTACGTGTATTCAGTTTCTTAAATGTAGTAGGCTTAGACTTGCATGTTTTGTTTTATTTTGCTTGGTAACTTACTTTGTCCTGTCTGTTATTACTTGAAAGCATTTAAATCCTACGTTTTATACTTAATAAAATCACTTTTGTTTATTAATTAACCCACAGTAAGTGATTAATACCTGGGGGAGCAAACAGCTGTGCATATCTCTCTATCAGTGTTATAGAGGGCGCACAATTTACGCGTTTACCCTGTATAAGCTTTATACAGAGTAAAATGGATTTATTTGGGGTTTGGATCCTATTGGGAGCTGGGTGTCTGGGTGCTGGAGATAGGTAACTTGCTGAGCAGTTTTTGGTTAAAGTCTGCAGCTTTGGGTGCATGGACCAGACCTGGGTCTGTGTTTGCAGCAAGCTGGTGTGTCTGGCTCAACAAGGCAGGGTTCTGGAGTCCCAAGCTGACAGGGAAAACGGGCTCAGAGGTAGTTTCAGCATGTCAAGTGACAGTCCCAAGGGGGTCTCTGGGACCGAACCCGTCACACTCACTTCGTGATCTCAGCCTGCAATTGAATTGCAAGTACAAAATGCAGGGACCAATTTTATGGATGTCTATGGCACCTTTGTAGAGGGAGGCTTCCCTTTTGAAAACCTGGCCCTTGGCATCTTGGGAACGCTATGTCCATTATGTGGAAAAATTAGAAGACTTATTTTTGTTTTTCACGTCCAGGTTTTGGGGTATTATAATAGAAGAGGAATCAATCCATCAGCATTTTTGAAAGAAATAAAATTTATAGCAAGTGATCCAGATGACAAGCACTTCTTTAATGTCACAGATGAAGCAGCACTTAAGGATATTGTGGATGCACTGGGAGAGAGGATATTTAGTTTGGAAGGTGAGTAATGTACATTTCCTGCATTCTAACAGGTTTATAGTGTTTCTAACTTCTGCATATTCCTACAGACCATCTTCACTTTTAGGATAAACCTGCGTGTTGCCTTGCCAACCCAAACATTTGACCTTCTGACTAGAATGGAGTCTGCTGGGCATTTTCCTAACATTAATAACATCATACTTTGTAAATGAAAACAACTGCATTTGTCTAATTATGTGTTGAAAGACATTCCGTGCACGGAACATCGCGTGCACCTCCGACACAAGAGGAGCAGCAACAATTCCCAAATTAAGGTTGCCAAACATTTTCCATTGTGAAAAAATCTTTGCAACCTTTATTCGAAGATGTTTAATGCTTCCAGCAGGCTTTTGAAATTTGGCAGGGGGTAGTCTGGCAGTCAGTCTGACCCCATGAAAATCCATTCAGATTTGGCCATGTTATAAGCAGTCAAAAGTCACCATATTCTGGGTGTGTATAGCATATATTGGAATGTAAAGTGCAATCATCTAAACCTGTATGGACACCTGGGAGAAAATGAGGCCCTTCTATAGAGGCAGAACGTGCCATATTTATTCACTGGGCTAGATCCTTGGCTGGTGTGAATTGGTGGAATTCTCTTGACTTCAGTGAAGTTACACCAATTTACACCAGCTGAGGAATTGGCCTTTCCTGTTCTGGAGTGACATGAGGAGGTAGTAATTCATTGTGCCTCATTCCATTCGGTAACTGGCCATCTCCCCTAGGACAGGGCTTTAATTGAAACACTTCTTTTTTATTCTAGGTACCAACAAAAATGAAATCTCCTTTGGACTTGAAATGTCTCAGACTGGATTTTCATCACACATTGTGGAAGTAAGAGAATAGATTTGTTTTTCTCTCCCATTCAAGTATTTTTTTGCAGGTAACTGTCCTATGGAAAGCAGATATGGTGGCTTTTGGTTTTTTGGTGTATGAATCCAAGTTGCAAATACATGGCCCAGAAGTCTCTGATGTGCCTTAGGGTTTGGAGATAGCTCAAGGTCTTGATCCCTGAGGAGGAGTCCATTTTTCCTGTTGTACATTGATACTAACTCCCAGAGTAAGTGTCCCGAATTTTTCCAGTGTGTTTCCATTTCACTCTTGATGGAAAGAGATGCCATTCAAGAGCTGACACACTGATTTTTAGGAATGTGTTGGGTGAACATTGAAATGAAAATCATTTCTCTCTGGAGCTGATGAGCCAAATTCTACCCTGGCACAACTCCAGCAAAGCCAAAGGGAGCAGTGAGTGCCAGGTTCCTTGATAGCTGGAATCAGCGCTGTGAACCGATCTGACTCTTCCCTGGAACGTGGGTGGAAGTCCCAACTTTCCAGAATGTTTAGGTGATGTTTATAAACACAGTAAAACATCTTTATTGCTCTCATCTCAAAATGGGAGGGCAAATGAATTAATTGCCTCAGGATATATATAGATATCACACACACACACACACACACATATATATATATATATATATATATATATATTAGTTATTAGCTTTAGCTGGAGATGGGCAAGCAAACATTTTATAGAAGCTAGTGCTGACAGTTGAAATAGACAAGGCAAAGGGTGGGGGGATGGGGGAGAAACTGCTGTTATCCTCACAACAGAAGCATAAGAGATTTGTCCCAGGGCACAGGGGGAATCTATGGCAGAGCCCAGAATTTGAACCCAGACCTCCTGCATCCATTCCTTTCCAAGGGTGGGCTGGCTGTCTGAGCAATCACTGCAATGGCTAGCTCACATGGCAGCATTACCGGTGTCCCCTGCATTTTCACATCCGACTAGTGCTGTACTCTTCACCCTGTGAGAGCCTCTGGCATTCCTGTCTCTCCCCAGCTGGGACCTGCACCTCGACAGGGTACTGCTGCCTAATCAGAGGGACCCTCACTCTACAAGGGATGCAGGTTGGGGGGTGGCTTCCCACTGCCCACCTGTGTCACGCCAGCCACAGTCTGACCCCCTTGCCATTGTTCCTTCTCTGGATGGGTCCAGCCCCTTTCATGTGACAGGAAGCAGAGGAGGAGGCCCTTTGACACAGGAGAGTAAAGGCCATGCATTGTGCTCAAGCTGCATCCAAGACTCCATCTGCAGTCAGAGGCTGATCCAAAGCCCAGGGAAGTCAATGGGAGCGTTTCCTTTAAGTTCCTATAAGTTCAGTGGACTTTGGATCAGCCTGAAATGAGGGTGGTTCTGGCTTTAAAAACCCAGCCCAGCTTGAAATATTCACAGCCATCCAAATGCACGAGCAGGGTTGAGCAGTTAAACCAGGCAGTGTATTATGTGGGCCACTTGTTGTATATAAACTTGGCGATGGAAACACGACTGCAGACACAATCTCAGATGTTACCCAGAAAATGTCTTTCTCCTGCTCTGTTTCCTCTCTTTGTTTTCCATCCTGCCTTTCTCTGCACCTGCTAACAGCTGCTGTCCAGCACCCACTGTACTGCCAGGAGGGTAGCTGAGGACCTGCCTCTGTAGCCAGTGTTACTTCTCCCCCAGAAGAATCAACAGCTTTTAACCAGACTTCAGCCTTGCTTTGTTGTTTGCTTGAGGACAGACTTTTTCAGAAGTCTTGCCAGAGCTGAAAAGATTGCAGGAGTTGGCATGTCTGAGAATATTTCAGTCGCTAACTTGGCACTTGGATTTAATGCACGTGGCTTAACTGCTTTTAAATGCTAGATGTTTTTCTAAACACGTCTAGTACACTACTGAAATGCCATGTGACAAGGTGCAAAAGACAGTGCTGCTAGGATCAGTTGGACTCTTGGAAATGAAAAGGTCATTGAAAAGACAGGGCTTGATTGGAAATATTATTACAGTAGTTTTAAAAATATACCTTTCTGTGAATGTTTTGGAGACTTGCTTCCTTGAAGCTTTACTTGCTAAGTTCATCAGTCTTTCTGAAAATGACAAGTATGATTTGTGGGAATAACTTTTTCTTGGTTTTCCTATAACCTATAGTGAGTCATCAAGCCAATAAATACACTGCCTAGAAATTAAAATTTCAGGAAAACTTTAACAACAACAAAAAAAAAGCTGATAAATTTCCTATTGGGGAAAACAACTAATTAGATTCTTCTTGTTACACTCATTGATTTCAAACATCTGGCTTTAACCAGGATTTGCCGATATGTCCCATGAGGGGAATAATCATTTCTACATGGTAAGAAATATTTTAAACAGAGAGAGGGGCCCAAAAATTAACCTTGAATCCGCCCCACCTGTTCCTTCTGAACCTGTGTGTGGCAGAGCCGAGGGAGTCCATTTGAATCCCCTTATCTGAATCTGACGTTATGGATTTGGTCTGAGGTCTGATCCAAAACTGAGCCTGCTTTCCTGTTCTGGTAACATCAGCTAATCTAAGGCGATTTCCAGTGCTTGGGGTCAAAATCTCAGGAGACCAGATGGGGAGATTTCAGGGCCATCAAACCAAAACTGTAGTCCTAGTTTGATACAAAACCTAGACTCAGACCCTGACCTGACTGTCTCTCACATCCAAACACTGCACCCTGGGCCTGACGTCAACAGTTATGGATGGAGCCAATTCGAAATCAGATGTGGAACTGAAGTAGTGATGGCTCCCATGTAAATCACTGGCTAAATCCTCATTGATTTTACTGGGAGCGGGATTAGGGCACATGGGTGGGACCGGGGCACTGGTGCGGTTTAGTGGCCCAATCCCATTGTCTTTCAAAGGCAAAGGGATGTGCTGCTAAGTCATTGAGACTCGCTTGAAAATTCCACCTTAAATCTCTACAAGGACATGGCCCGGGTTTTACTTAGCCTGTGTATCACCCCACTCCCTGCTGGGTCTCCTTGCTATGGGAACCTGGAAGAGTTTCCATGCTGGATGCACAAGTCAGTGCGATCTACTCCTTGCTGTTTGCAGTGAGTGCAGTGATGTTATTTGAGGAAAGTTTGAATCCCAGTTTGCCATCTGCTGTGAAATGAAAGGTAACTGAGATTGCACTGAAGGGCTGCTTTATTTCATTATTTTTAGCACTGGATCAGGATGCTCTTAGTCAGACTTTGGTTTTAGCCGTACTTATGATTAAACTTCTGCAGGGCTGAGGACAGGCTGGCTGCTGCAGCATGTTATTAAATGACTGAGCACGGAGGGCCGCTACCAGCACTTCCAGAGCTGATTGTTCGGGTTCAGTCAATAATGGGTCAAATCCCTGGGTCCAGCTCTGCTGTGCTGGGCACAGGACCCAAAGGGGATAAGAAAAGTTGCTTTAAGTCACCTTTGTGCTTCCCCAATCCTGGAAGCTGGCTGGGGGCCAGTTTGAGGCCCGATGTAACTTAGAGCAGCCCCTGGCACAACCCCAACATGCCCTCGAGGGATGCGGAGCCATTGACACCCAGAGCAGGTTGCTGACTGCTGGAGCAGCACAAAGCAGATCGGACCCATCGGGTTTCCTTGCTCTCTGCAGTCTCCGCAATGGGATGAGGACACTTGATGAGCCAGGTTTAACAAAGGTGGCAGGCTTTGATCCTGCAAGTCCTTGTGCCAGGTACAGCAGGGTGCTGCGCTCCGGCATGCGGGGGCAGAGACACGCAGGCAGTAGCGGTGTTCAGCACTGGGTGTCCTTCTCCCCGAGCAGGCATGAAGCTGCAGCTCCTGGTGCCCCCACTGCCTTATTCTCAGGTGCACTGGATAGAAGAGGGGGTGGGTCGAAGTGGAGAATGGGTGTATCTGAGTAGACTTGGCCCTGAGTGCAGCAAGTAGGGCAAGCCGTGACACGCCCTTCTGTGGCCAGCTGCTGCTACCAGGAAGGATAACCTGGCCATGTCGCAAATGCTCTCATTGGTTCAGGGTAGGATTCCCTGGTGCTTCCAGACAGGATCCTCACCTAGCGCTTGGGTGCACCAGTGCCAGGCAGGGTCAGGCTTCAAATGCATCTTCAAAGCAAGCCCAAGTTCAGCCCCTTTTTGGCACCGCTTCACTGTTGCTGGGTGATTTCGTATCTCAGCTGGTTTCCATCTGTCGTTTGCTCGGTCTGACTTGATTCACGAGCTGGTTGGTGTTTGCACTGAAACCACCTTCGGCACCCACGGTTCCAGATGACAAAGGGCTCTAAAGCTTTTGCGTTCCCCGCAGGACGGGATTTTGCTTGGGGCTGTAGGAGCGTATGACTGGAATGGAGCGGTGCTTAAAGAAACCAGCAGTGGAAAAGTCATTCCTCATAGGGAATCGTATCTCCAGGAATTCCCGGAGGAGCTGAAGAACCATGGAGCATACCTAGGTAAGGAGATTACACAGAGCGGGTCGGTTTCCCAAACTAAATTCATGATTTTTGCCATTTTTAGACCATTTCTGCCAGGCCAAAACGTCTTACCATTATCTACCTACTACCTGGTTTCTGTAGTACCCCACTGTACAGCCTAAACCTCTTCTTTGCTAAGCGTGCTCTGAATTCTAATCAGTGGCACAATCACTCTACACCAGGCTGCTTTTAGTCCCAGAAATACCCCGGGCTGGACAACATGTAACGCGCCCCTTGACTAAACTCTTCCTTGCAGGGGGAGGCACTAGAGTATCTGTTGGGCACACCTGCTGCATGTAAAAGTGTCCAGGTGAAAATTTCAGCAAAGTCCCTCCAGGCCAGATTATCAGGGGCCTCTTGCAGGTGCATGAGACTGGGGAAGGGATGCAGCAGCTCTGTTCACCCAACCCTTTGGACTCCCCTCTCAGGGGCAGCCACAACCCTCAGCCTGCCTTTCATGAGTGCAAGGTGTGAGAGAGGCCAAAGGGAGAGCAGCTGATTGGACTCACTGGCTGATGGCTGCCCTAGGCCAGCTCTGGGGAGCCTGTGCTGTATCCCCTAATAAACATGGGTAATGCTTCTCCGTGCAGCTTCCTCTCCAGCCTGCTACAAATCCCATATGACGTGGCCTCAGTATAGCCTGCAAATCCTATTTCTGTTCAACTGTCTCTAATATGTCTCCTTCTTCCATAATGATAAGGGATATTCATCAATATTCATCAGTAATTCTCCCCAGTCTGTTATTACTGCTAAATGCGTGCCTGTCTTTCTTCGTGATCTGCAATCCCCTCACACGTATATAGTGATAAATAGGCTAGCGAGTACCTCTTGCATCCTAATGCTGTTCGTTTGTCTGTCAGGTGTCACTTTAGCCATTCATAGGGAAGCCATTTGGGGGTAGTTTATCTCTTTTCTAGGTGACATCTAAAGTACCTGCCTAGCCCAAGAACAATGTAATCATTTAAACAGGGATTTACCAGACATTGGAGGTGCTTGTGTAATTACTTTGATACTCAGCCAACCCTGATCTATAGATTTCATGGCCACACTTTATATCAAGGTTACATGTATGAAGCATATTAATAAATGATTAATAGACGCTATAAGCCTTGCATGAGTGTAAGTGTTGCAGACTATTATAATAACGTCTTCTACCGATGGGCTAGATCAGTGGTTTTCAACCTGTGGTCCGTGGACTCCTGGGAGTCTGCAGACTGTCTAAGGGGTCCACAAAAGATTGTTACCATAGAACAGTGGTTGTCGATTTGTGATCCACAGATCATGTCTAAGCTTTCCAAAGGGGTCTGCAGCTCCACTTGGAATTTTTTAGGGGTCCACAGATGAAAAAAAAGTTGAAAACCCCTGGGGTGGATGATTATAAACACCTTATTGATACATTGGTAGGGTGACCAGATAGCAACTGTGAACAAACGGGACAGGGAGTGGGGGGGTAATAGGTGCCTATATAAGAAAAAGTCCCAAAAAACGGGACTGTCCCTTTAAAAATGGGACATCTGGTCACCCTATACATTGGACTCTATAACAATTGACTAAATATTTATTAAAACATATTAATCACCTATAACCCCTTTATAGACTATTGATAAATGTACCCGTAATATACAGTGTGACCAGTTTCATTAATGAAATCTAACCCTGCCTTCCTGGCTCACACGGTAGATTAGTTTAGAACAAGAGCTATAGATTCTGTGGCTAAAGTAAAGCCAATCACTGGGATCCAGCTGGATCATTCAGGAGGGTATAATTCAGCACCTTTGTCTGGTTTCATGTTCTCCATTTGTATATAGGACACATCCATATTTAACAATAGTCACTGACCACCTGGAGTTTTCAGGTCATAGGTGCAGGGTTATTTACTAAAGTGTTCATGAATCTAACATTCTCCATGGAGTCACAACTTTTTATAGCACTCATTATTTTGGCATCAAATATCAGTCCACTCTTTTACACTTGTGCAGTCTTCTCAGACCTGGTTTGTGCTCTGCTAGGAGGATGCCTTATACAGCACCATACTCAGATGCGTGGAATCATGCATCAATGTTTTGTATCCAAATACAGTGTTGTGGTTTGTATCATTTTACGTAAACCGTGCAGTAAGATGGCTATCAGAAAATGTAATGGACTTACCGGCTACTGCAATATTATTCTGCATTCGACTTGCTAGCAGCACCAAACCTTGTAAATTCCTTGTGGTAATCTGAATTATCAAGGAGATGGAATGAAGGGCCTGAACAATAAATTCTGGGCACTTCAAAACATAAGGTTAGAGTTGTCAGGTTTGTTTGAATGACTTTATCTTTTGAGAACTCTTGGTTTCCAGTTTGCTGATCTGGGAGGCAGCTGGAGTTGGGTTGGCAGCCTGAAACAAATCAAAACCAGATTGTCAGCCAACAAAGTTGCAATAAAGGAAGAGACTCAAAGAGTGGAGTGAGCAATGAAATGATAAGCACTGCTGTGGACAAATTCAGACTGGAAATACAGCATAACTTTTTAATAGTGAGAATAATTAATCATTGGAACAATTTTACCAAGGGCCGTGGTGGATTCTCCATCCCTGGCAATTTTTTAAATCAAGACTGGATGTTTTTCTACAAGATCTGCTCTAGGAACTATTTTGGGGCAGTTCTCTGGCCTGTGCTATACAGGAGGTCAGACTAGATGATCACAATGGTCCCTTCTGGCCTTGAAATCTATGGTTCCATCTGTCTATTCAGAGCCAAACGGGAAAAATCTAATCAGGACACTTATTTTCCTTCTAGAAAACACAATGTGCAATTAATTTAACAGCTTTCTGGAATCCAGATTTGTCTGTGTCATTTGTTACATGTATTCAGTACAGTATTCAGCCCAGGAGGTCATTCCCATGTTGGTGCTGCTTGGAGCTTCATTTAAAGATTGTGCTCACCTTATATGTACATGTTTTGTAGGTTACACAGTCACCTCAGTGATGTCTCCAAAGCATGGAAGGATTTATGTAGCAGGAGCTCCCAGGTTCAACCACACTGGGAAAGCAATTATTTTTACAATGCACAGCAACAGAAACCTAACTATTCACCAGTCTTTGAAAGGAGAACAGGTAAAACATAAGGGGATGCATGGTTCAGATCTATGGGGCAGACTTCTGAAATAGGCTTGATTGAATGCATTACTGTATATGGCTATTATCATTAGTCCTCAGGTCCTATGTACATTTCTCATCTATCTGACCTGATGGGCAAAAGGTCAGATCTTCATCTGTTGTAAATGGACTCCATTGACCTCAGTAAAGTTACACCCGTTTACATCAGCTGCAGATCTGGCCCAAAGGCTTTGTTACACATTTTGTGGTTTAAAAAGCCCTGTAACCGCTACATTTTATTCTGTATTCTTTACGTTTCTGATCAGGAGATTTGCTCGTTTCCCCACTTCACTCAGTGGAAACCTACCACTATTTAGTTAAGCAATATTGGTAGCTTCTGGTTCCCTCCATGAATTCTGGAGAAACAGATTTGGGTGCTCTCTCTGTGGTCTTTGTCTCCCTCTCTGTTCAGATTACTTCTCTGTTATGTTGAAATGAAAGCTAGATATTTTAACAAATCCATCGCCAGCTAGGGATTTCCTGGCTGTCACCGTGCTGGCAACTCTGACTTTCACAGCTGTAGCAGGGATAGAACTCAGGTCTTTCTATTTCAGACATGTGTGAGCAAAAGGAGGGGTTTATTTTTAGTTGTTTCCAACCCAGGACCTTTGACACACTATTGTGCAGGTTGGAACCTATCCAGTAGAGGGCAGCGGTGTACACGTACACACACCCCACCCACCAGCAAATGCAGTATAATATGGAAAGAATCTTATTCTGTGCATAAAACTTACTAGAAGGTTGCACCCTGTGTTGCGTCTGCAGGCCAAGCTCATTTAGGGTGATAGCAGATAGCAAGTGTGAAAAATTGGGACGGGATGGGTGGTAATAGACACCTATATAAGAAAGGTTTCAGAGTAACAGCCGTGTTAGTCTGTATTCGCAAAAAGAAAAGGAGGACTTGTGGCACCTTAGAGACTAACCAATTTATTTGAGCATAAGCTTTCGTGAGCTACAGCTCACTTCATCGGATGCATTACGAAAGCTTATGCTCAAATAAATTGGTTAGTCTCTAAGGTGCCACAAGTCCTCCTTTTCTATATAAGAAAAAGCACCAAATATCTGGACTGTTCCTATAACATCAGGACATCTGGTCACTCTAAGCTCATTGCACACACCAGAGGCTCCTTGCCTACCTCCATTCCCCTCCCCCACCCATGCTCTGTGTGCCACCCTCCCATCCCCCTTTACTTCAGGGACTCCTTACAACCTCACCCACCCCCTTCCTCATGCTAGGGGTCTGTGTGCCCCCATTCCTTCTTCCCCCATTCTTCCCACCACCCTGCGTGCAATCCGGTGCCCTCTCCCTTCCCCTCACTATTCTTTCTGTCTGGGAGCTAAGTCTTGCAAGGTGCCAGGGTGTTAAAGTCTTTGGGAGGTGGAGGGGGGCAGAGCTGAGAAGGGGAGTTCTGTTGTGCTGGAAAGTGTTAATAGCCACCATCAAAGGGTTTTCTGAACTATAGACATTCCAGAGGAAGTTGAAGGTACTAGCTCTGCCAACCAGACTTCAGGGGATCCGTGGCCCCGTTTTCCTCCTTCTGGTTTTCCCCCAGAATCAGTAGAGTTCTGATCACTGATGCCTAGAGCATTCCCTGAAATTTTGGAATTGATCCGGTGCCGCATTCTGAAGTTATCGCATGACAGACAGACAGACAGACAGATGTCACTGGGTCGAGTGTCAGACCTTGCTTCTCTCGACCAGTGACAGTGACCCCATGGGGATGTCTACACAGGCACAAAAACCCTGCGGCGGGGCCATGGCAGGCCCGGGTCAGCTGGCTTGAGCTTGTGGGGCTAAAAAGGCTGTGTAGACATTCAGGCTCAGGATGGAGCCCGAGTTTGGGGACCTTCCACCTTCACAGGGTCCTTAGGGGTCAGCCTGAGCCTGAACGTCTCCACAGAAATTTTTCAGACCCAGAGCCCCAGCCCCCCGAGCCTGAGTCAGCTGACCCGGGCCAGCTGCGGGTTTTTTATCCCCACGCAGACACAGCGAAATAGACTCGCAACCTCCTTCTTCTCCAAATAACCTTCCTCTTTTATCTTATCCCTCTGCCTCCTTTTTATTTACATCACCTCCACACTCATGCTACATGTAATGCCGCAGCTTTGGCTCTGACTTAGAGCACCCTCCGGCCTCTGTATCATGCTAAAAGCAGCTCCCTTGCATAAATCTGCTGGACCTTCTGTTGTCTGTCTGCCCTCTTATTCCAACACAGGGCCTGGAAATTCATCAGACACCATTGTTCCCTCCCCAGCCTACTTGGCCTGCTGGGATGCATGAAACTTCCATACCGGGGGTGATATTCACCACTCTGCAAAGGGCCAGTATCAGGCATTAAGTTCCACTGAAGCCTTATTTTGAAAGGCCTATACGCCGCATATGCTGTACAGAGCAAGCTCCACCCTGTGTGAGTTTTGCCCAGAAGCAGAAAAATGGCCAGGCTGGTTCTGTTCATGTAGAATAGTTACACATAAGCTGCTGTTAATCGTCTCCAAACAAAAAAAAAAATCCAGTCCGATCCCTGGCACCTGAGCAGAAAGCAAGAGTGAATGGTACTGCTTCATGCACCCAGAATTCCAGAATATTGCCCACATAAATTCTCTCTGTCTGTGGTCCATATAGAGACATGCCTAAACTGTAACATTCCCATCTGGATACAAGCTTTCCCAAAGTTTCGGGGGGGAATTGGACTCAGAGTTTTGATCCATCCCTAGTTATATGATGTAGCAGGTCAGTCCGATGACCAGCTGACCTAGTGGTCTGGCACTAGCATTCCCATTTCTGCTAGCCTAGGCGTCCCCAAGGGGGCCCCAGTCCAGGTGTGTGCAGCGGGCCTCGATCCCACCTGAGTTCTCCTCTCCCTCCCATTGGGGTTCCACTGCTATAGAGGAGCAGGGGGACAAGGTGGGAGACCCAGGCCCACTCACTCCACCAGGTCCCAAGCCAGGGCCCTAAGGGTTTGACAAAGTGTCCAGACCAGCTATAGATCTACCCCAAGTGACGCTTGCCCCTGGGTCACTTCCTACCATGCCCCTGGCGCTCTTCTGTTTGGGGCATGGTCGCTGGCTTAGAAGACTCCACTCGATAATGTCCTGTTCAAAGGACTCTGTTTTAGGGCTTTCAGCTCCCAAATTGTGGGGGCAAAGATCCCTACTGCTAGAGCAGGCTTAACAAAGCTATAGTCACTCCTATCCCAGCTCCCAGCATCAGCCTTCTTTCCTAGTGTAGCCTGCAGCACCTTCCCCCCACCCCGCCCACTTTCCTGAGCTACCTGTGTCCTCTTCAATTATTCTTCCACCTGGTGCATACCCTGCACCTGCTCAGGGTGGGTCCTCCCTGGCCCAGGATTGCTCTATTCCATGCCCTGATTCAGTGTGGAGTCTGTAGAGGCCGTATGGTCTCCCTTTGACAGTAAAGGGCTGATCCATTCAAAGTGGCTTGAGGAAGAAACAGTGAAGGGGTGTCTGATAGAACTGGGGCGATTGCCCAGCATATACAGTCTGCACAGGGAGGGAATTCTGCAGGGCAGAAGAATGAAGACGCCATAGGCTTGGAGGGAACCTTTCAGCTGAAATATACACGTATACCTACATTTAAACAATCTCTCCTTCAAAACCTAGTTTGACAGGAAACTAAGAGAACTCAACAATGCCAGAGAAAGGAAAAGAGTCTGATCATTAATCTTATAGCATTCAAATTCTTTTCCTGGAGATCTGTCTAGACAACAAGTTAATGTGTCTCCGTTCAGAAGACTGAAAATTCCTCTCACTCCAAGGGTGTCATCCCTGAGGTATTCAATTCCTTAGAAATACAGGGAAGGGTTGGAATACGTGGTGTTCTCGTTTACATTCCAACCATTTTCTCCTTTCTGGCTCTTTCAGATTGGCTCCTACTATGGAAGTGAAATAAATTCCATCGACATTAATGGAGACGGGAACACAGATATTTTGTTGATTGGTGCCCCCATGTACTTCAGCGAAGGCAGAGAGAGGGGGAAGGTGTACGTCTACGTTTTAAAAGAGGTAATTAAGCTGTGATCGTTCCATCTCTGCTCCTGCCCCAGAAGAGGCTTTGGAATACCCTGCATTTCAATTCCCCTTCCTCAAACTTGGCTACCCTCTGACATGGTCCTCACCCTGCCCTGGGCACTCTGCTGGGGTGTGAGTACAGACCGTGTCTGGCGTCTTCCAGGGGACAATGCAGCAGCTCCTGTGGGAGAACGAAAACATGCCAGCAAAGGGAACACTCCCATCACGACGTAGATGGAGGAAGTTGTGTGAGAGCATGCAGAGGAGCACAGACAGAGCCAGTCGATCTGCTTCCGCGGAGAGACCGATGCTCTTGACAGAAGCCCTAGCTCTGCTCAGACAGACGGCTCTGCTCAAAGGGACAGTGCCCAATTTCCCTGGATGGCCAGGTTGATGGACAGAGATGTCTGCTCTGCTTGGACACTCTGGTTCCATCTTCACTGAAGCTGGAGTTGTAATTTCCAGCTCAGGTCAAGAAACATGCAGTAGCTTTCATGTCATTAGCCAGCTGAAACTAGCAGCGTAACTGGGGCAGCATGGCTGGTGGCTCAGGCTAGCCACCCAAGTAACTACCTAGGAGCTCGGACAGGACTGTAGTCAGGTGGCTAGCCCATCCGCCATGGCTACGCTGCTGGATTTAGTGCACTAGTTCAATCAGAGCTAGTGCGGATATGTCTACCTGAGCTTCTGTGTAGATATACCTACATGTACCCTAAGACAGGCAAAGGTGTCCTCTCTGCTCAGCTGGACAGAGGTGCTTTTTCCATTCCGAGAAACAGACAGGGTGCAGCTCTGCTTGGCCAGACAAACTTCCAAGGGCACCTGTTCTGCTCAGATGGATGAATGGAGAGGTAGATTGGGCCCTCAAAGTAGGTAGCACATTGCACATGGTGTCCCATTCGGCAGTCTTGCCAAAAATACCGAGCGGGTATCCCAGGCTGGATGCAGGGCCATGGCACATGCATATCCGGCTTGTCCAGAAGTGCAGCCAAGTTGCCTTCAAAGATCACCTGGCAACTTTTGTCACAATCCAAAAGAGACACAGAACTTGCAAGCCCTTCTCAGCTGTGGCTGCTACTAGACTTTGAGCGAGTTTGCCTCTTTTCCTTGTTTATAAACCATCCTGGTTTTCTGATGCCAGTGAAGGGAATCTAGACTATACTAAAGTGCAGCTGTATTGTCCCAGGGTCCCTTTCAACCATCGTCCTTCCAAACATATTCACAGACCTTGAGGACAGCAATACCAGAAGTTGGATTGCCTTTCCCTTTGGAAAACGTGTCTTCTGGCTACTGGCCCCTTTGTCCAGCTCACACTCTGGGGATAGGCGTCTGGGTCCTGATCGAAACCCCATTTTAATCCAGGGGAAGACTCCCATTTCTTCAGTGGGTTTTGTATCAGGCCCCTGGGGCACTAGGGTCTTTTTGCCAGACCATCTCCTGCTCCCAGTGTCTTAAGGATGGCCCCATGGAACATGGATGGCATTTCTTCTGCCTTGTCAGCATTTTCTCATTCCCAGAGTCGTGGTGCCTCTCGAAGGGTGCTGCCCTGCCCTTATGGAAAAGCCCTACAGAATCCAATAAAGAATGAAAAGTTTTCTTTTCTTCTTTTAAATCATCCTATAGATTTTAACAGAAAATGATATGCCTGCAGTGGAGGCCATATGATTGTTCAGATGGTAACAAGGGTTCCAATGAGCTAGAAAAAGGATCGTATTCTGTACAGACTCCATGTTTCTAGACTTAAATCCCATTTTGTTTCTATAGAACCTTTTAAATATTATGGGACTTTCCATCAGAGCCTGTTCAGTCTTGGCCTGTAACGTGCGGGGCACGCTCAAAGATTGCAATGGTGTAGGCTAGGAGGAAGGGACTGAGCCGTCTCATCATTAATGAGGAAGTGATTGGTGCTGGGCCAGGGCTTTTGGGCGTTAGGGCTCTGGTATCACCTGGTACCAGGTGCCTGAGAGGAAAATACAAATGCCGTGATGCTGGCAGTTGACGGCACTCAACACCTCTATGAGGACGCTTAGCATCTCAGAGGCTGTGTGCTGCTTTTCCACATGTGTATTTGGTTGCAGAACTTTGCCTGTAGCAATGGGTGTTTCACAATCTCAAGCAAACCTTTTATCCAATTATTCAAGCATGTAATTGAATGAGAAAGGGAAAAAAGACATCAATGTGAGCCTTCGCGGTGGCATTTGCTGGTTCCTTGTTGCTTCGTTGTGGGAAAGGTTCTTCTAATAACATTTCAGAATTATGCTGTCTTCCTTGTTTGGGAAATTGTTTGCAGATTGCACTACCTCTGTTATGATTTCCTCTAGGATTCCAAACTCTCTGAGGTAATGACCAAAAATAGTCTCCGTACAAAGGAAGAGCCATGCCTTCTCCTACTCCTCCTCCTCTTTCTTGGACATCCTTGTAGCTTTCACAAGATTTAAAATCTTGGCAGCGCTGAAAAAAGCTGTAAGCTCAGTCTGTTTTTTATTGGCAATGCAATGGTAACATTAGATCTCCCACATTGGCACTGAGTACGTCTTGAGTACAGTAAACAGGGAAGCGCTGTTCAGGATGAGATATGTACCTGTTAGCGCGAAAGCTGATGATTTCTGTTCAGAGACGCACAGTAGCAAATGTTGCATTATTTCCATAAACCCAAACTACGATTAGCAGGAAGTGTCGCATATGCGTGGTGACTTTATGTAACCTCCAGGAGGAATGTTACATTTGAAAACAACACTTGAAAAACTCCTTTTGGTCTCAGTTTGCTTTTGGTTTATGACATAGGGAAGCCAGTAAATAATTGGTTAGGAGGATTTTGTAACAAATGTCCTCGGCTCCCAAAAAAAGCCATGTGCACTTCCTGCTCAGTGACGACTATAAACAGAGGCACTGTCCCTAGATTTTAACTCTTGAAAAGTGGAGATTGGGCGTTACCGACGGGAGGGTTCCTGGCAACTGAAGTCGTTCTCTCTCACTCTCCATCAAATGCCTGAAGTAGCTGGGTTTCAAGACCCCATTCAAGGCTCACCTGTTGGGCCCATATTTCCTTCGCTCTGGGTTGAGACGTCTTACCTTAGGTTGGGTTGTTTGATAGAGGTTTGTGCAATATGGCCAGTTGATTTCCTTTTTTAATGCAAACAGCGTCGCTAGTGGCCACAGCAATGGGGGTGCCTAAAACTGAAATAATAGCAGTAATGCCGAGTAAATAAACAGAACTAATCTGACAAGTCAGGCTCTGGGAAATTGCAGGGGAAATTTCAGGCAAAATATTCACACAATTTTCTTGACTTGCTTTTGTGCCCGTGGTATTTTTATTTTTGGGGAACGTCAATGAAATCAGCAATTTGGCAATGCTGCTTGTTTTCACGGTGCAGTTTTGCTTGAAATGGGCTGTCACTCCGAAATTTGATGACCACAGCACCTGTTTTGAATTTGCAATGAAATGCAAAAACATTCAGAGCTGGAGCCAGCCTTTGCTTACACCTTCCACCCCAGGCTCACAGGCTGCAATATCCAGGGATCTGCCCAGCTGTGGAGTCCCCAGCCCCACCCTGACCCCAAAAAACCACAGTGCACAGGGCTGAAACGAGCCCCCAGCATGCAGGGCTCTGTTGTACACAGTGGGTGAGCACATGCCCATGCTTCTGAAATGCTGCGTCCCTCTCACAGCAGAACAGGGGGCAGAGTTTGCCTCAAGATGAGCAGATCTTACAGCCATATAGATACAGAATAATATTTGTATGTGCAGAAAAGATCTCAAAGCACCTGACAGATATTAATGAATTAAGCTTTACAACACCCCTATGAGGAAGGTAGGTGATCTTGCCCTATTTTATAGATCAGTCAGCTGAGGTAAAAAGAATCTAAATGGCTTACCAAGATGTTGGAGCCAATGTTTGGTTGGGCCAAAACAAGAATCCAGGGGTTCTGATTCTCTGTTCTGGCCAGGAGTCCATAATGCTTGGTGTTCTTAGTTACAAGGGGCAGCCATCTCTGTGGCACTCTTTCTTTCTTTCTTTCTTTCTTAGCTTAGGTATGTACGTGGCCCCCCTCACTACTATCTGAGCACCTCACGATCTTTGAGATCTTTTCACCTCACACCACTCCTGCTATTATCCCCATTTCACAGATGGGGAACTGAGGCACAGGGTGGCAAAGTGACTTGTCCAAGGTCACATCGAAAGTCTGTGTTAGAGCAGAAAATTGAACACGCGTCTCCCAAGTCTTGGGCTACTGCTCTAACCACTGAACCATTCTTTCTATCTACCTAGGGCTTTTATACTGTGCCCCGTCCTTCCACATGAAGTCAATAGCAATAACAAATCCCCTAGTCATGGATTTTCTGGCTCATCTCCCTTTGTGGAGTACAATCACTATTTAGGTTTTGGGGGGGGGGGGGGTTTGTTCTGTGGGTTTTTAGGGAGTTGGTTGATTGGTTGTGTCGTGATTTGGGATTTTTTATTCCTCCATCTTCATTGCTGTTTCTCCTTCCCCTTTGAAGGACCAGTTTGTTTTCAACGGAGCTCTGAAAGATTTGCAGAGCTACCAGAATTCTAGGTTTGGCTCTTGCATTGCCTCCGTCCCTGATCTGAATCAAGACTCCTACAATGATGTCGTCATTGGTGCTCCTTTGGAAGATGACCACCAAGGAGCAATATATATCTTTCACGGCTTCAAAGAAAGTCTCCTGAAGATGTATAAGCAGGTATGGTTTCCCTTGTCCCATGGTTTCCCCACCAGTGAATTTGAAGAATTGTGATTTTCTCCCACTTTAGGGCCCCTGAGAGTGGTATATTTAGTGGAAATGAGAATCAGGCCCTGAAAAGGGGAAAAATACGCTTTGGAATAGTTTTTGGAAATTTGACAACATTTCTGAGGTAATAGTGCCTCAGATACTCACAAGCCAGGAGTGATCTCAATTCATCTCTTCCTACCCATTTTTTCCATATCCATTTATTTCACCCTTGAGTATCACAAAGACGTTAGCAACAGGAGAGAGCTAACATGTTTAGTGTTCCTGAAAGTGAGAAGTGGCAAGAGATAGTAGTGTCATATCCTCCCTTGGTCAACCTTTCCTGAGCAAGGTCTACTGCTGATGCTATCTCATGGGCAGGGGTGGTGTCCCTAGCCTCTTTTTGCCAGAAGCAGGGAATGGGCGACAGGGGATGGATCACCTGATGATTACCTGTTCTGTTCATTCCCTCTGAAGCATCTGGCCTTGGCCACTGTCAGAAGACAGGAGACTGGGCTAGATGAACCTTTGGTCTGAGCCAGTACGGCCGTTCTTACGCTCTTATGTTCTTATTGTGTTACCAGAAATCAGCGAGAGAATTAAAACGGAAGTCTCCCCACTACATTTAACGTATGTCTGCCCTGCAAGCTTCTTTTGGTGGCGGGTAGCGCACGTACGTGCATCGCGCCCCTCGCGCTGGTACAGCCGTGTAGATGGCGAGGCATGGCTTACACAAGTGGAGCAAAGACACTCATGAAGGGGGTGAGCGTATACCTGGGTACATACCCTGCACTGCTCTCTGCTCACTCCAGCCGCGCCTTCCTGGCTACACTGCTATTTTTACCAGTGCAGTGTCCTGCTGCCTCCCTGTTCCTGGAGTCTTTCCCCACCAAAGGAAAAGACTCCGGCAGTGGGGAAAGGCTCTGGCATAGGAGTTTCCCCACTACCTCCTCCCTGCCTGAGCTTTTCCTCGCCACAGTGAAAGGCTCTGGCACTGGGGAGCGGCGGACGGCTTTCTGCACTGCTTCCCCACTGCCAGAGTCCATCACTGACGTGTAGCTGCACATCACAGTCTGGGCGCAGCTTGCTTTTCCCTGCGATGTGTGGCTTCACCTACTGCACACGATGCCGACATTGGTGCGTAGTGTAGGCACAGCCCGGGAGTTATTCGGCAAGGTAAAGTACACCAGAGGTCACTGGCAAGAGTACTTTTCAGAGAGAAGCTGCCATATACAAGAACATGGACTATCACATCACCGAACATCTGCTGTCTCTATTAGCACTTGTAATGCTTTCGCCTAGCTATCCAGTATTTTCTGTGTTTGGAAGTTAGCTTGTTTTTTCCATGAGTCACTAATTAATCAGAGAATCTTCTTTTGCCCAGATCGTTCTTAGTGTCGCTTAGCAGGCTCCAATATAAAATCTTTCTCCAATGACAAAATCTGGAGGTGAAATCCTGGTGCCACTGAAGTCAAAAGGAGTTTTGGCATTGACTTCAGTGGGCCAGGATTTCACACTCGCTGTTTAATTGTTCCTTAATGTGACTGTAAAACTGGTTCCAAGATATTTCCTTCACATTTCCATGCTGAAACACATGAGATATGAAAGATGTATCAAAAAGGAATGGGATTTTGTAGAGCTTCATACAGTGGGACTGGTTTTGTAAATGAAACAGAATCATAGAAATGTTGGGGGGAAATATGTGGAAGGGATCTCAAGAGGTCATCTGGTCCATCCCCCTGCACTGAGACAGGATTAAAGTAGACCTAGACCATCTCTGACAGGTGTTTACCTTGTTCATAAAAGCCTCCAACCTGTTCTTCAAATCCTCAGTAGAACCATCCTCAAGAGGTAGGAAAAATGGCACAGCCGCCCACTTAAACTATTTTCAGTGGAAAGTTCTAAGAGTGATGCCGCTCAAAAGCAAAGGTACTGTTTTCCCAACAAATTATCTACATTTCTTTTCCTTCAGTCATTTGAAAGTGACTCACGTAGCTCTGAATGCTCTAAAGCCCATGGTTAGTTTGGTGACCTTGACTGAACGTAACACATAAGCGTGATTACTCCACAGGATCCCACTTCAATTTCTAGATCCCCTGACTTGCTCAGAAAGAAAGAGAGCAGGGAGCCTGTTTTGTAAAGCCATGAGCTCTATGTGTTAGCGACTAAGGCCTGACTGACATAGACACAGGATCATTCTCTTGCACTGGCAAGTGAATTTATGTGCATTCACACCCATGTGTACCCATCTTCATGCACATATACTCACACTCATGCACCCACACACATGCTTGTGCATGTTCCCACATACAAATGCATACATGTGCTCACACGTATGTTTTCACGCACACATGTTCATGCTCACAAATATACTTTCACCTTTACACACTGCCATTCGTGCTAGATTCCTAACAAATGAGTCTGAATGGAGGTCTGAAGGTGGTGCACCAAACCCACAAGGGAGTTCATCGCCTGAAGTGAGAGATCCTAACAGCTAAAACCCACGCTGGAATACAGTACTGGAATGCAAGAACTGCTGGGGAACTGAGTCAAGAAGTCAGAGAAATGACTCGTTCAATATTAGTATTGTTGGAGCGAGCGAAAGGAGGAGGACTGGATGCAGAAGACTCCATTCAGATGGTATCACACTACTCAGTACAGGAAACTTAACACATTCCACCAGAGATATGTGTGAAGAATACTTGGTGCCTGCTGGTGGGACAAAGTAACCAATGGTGACGTGTTACAAAGGACTGGCCAACAGAGTGCAGAGGCAATGGTTCGAGAAAGAAGGCTGAAGTGGTTTGAAGTGGATATGTTGAGTGGATGTCAAGAAACGGGGCATTAGACAGACGGAGAGGGAAACGCCGGCTTGTCTCATGAGTGACAAGGCACAAGAGTATAAAATAATAGTAATCGTAATAGAATACTCAAAACGAGAGTGGATTTCTTTTTTTTGTGCGTTTCAGAGAATAGCAGCCTCAGACCTTCTTCCAGGCCTGATGTATTTTGGATGCAGTATCCATGGACAACTAGATCTAAATGAAGATGGCCTCATAGACCTGGCAATTGGCTCCTTTGGAAGTGCTGTGCTCTTATGGTAGGTTATGCCTCCGGGTTCTGTTACTGCCTTCTTACCAAAGTTCATTGAAATATGTTGTCATTTAGGGGAACAACTGATTCTCCAGGAATCTGACCAGTTTTATACCCTTAAAAAGCGCTGTAATATTCTACAGTAATGATCCAATATACTTAGGCTTGGAGAATTTGATTTTTTTGTGTGTGATTTTGACAGATATCAATATTTTTTTTTGTATTTTTATCAATTCAAATGTATTACAGTTATGCAAAATTATGGGTTGTCAGCATTTTTTTATTGGTATCCATTTACATTTTCACAGCAGTGGGAAATTATAGGGGAGGGTCAGACAATAATTACTCAATGACAGTAGTCATTAGGATTCAAAAAGTTAAAGCTTTATAATCCTTAAACCACAAATTGTCAATAGCATATGTCAAAATATACAAAGTAAACACAGTTCAATCAAATTTTAGTGAGTTCTCGAGCAGCATTTTTCTTACTTTGCCTATCTGTAAATTTCAGTTATTCTTGATTGAAAGATTTTTAGTTTTTTTTATGGTTTGTGTGTGTACAGTGAAATCAACACTTACCAATAAAGATTTAATTCTTCCAAGCCTAAATTTCCTCAGAAACAGCAGGGTTCTGGACCGTTCCTGTAGAATGGTGTTGGAAATGTAGCGGTGCATGAAAAGATGTCAAAACATCACTGAATTTCTTAATTAATTCCCCAGGAGTTTCAACCAAAAACCAAACTTCATGTTGTTTCCCAAAGCTCTCTTGGTTTTATTTAATTAATAAATGAATACATCAAAGCCTTAATTAATGTTCGGAAAGCACCTTGAGGGCAGGTGGACAGACTCTCAGCTGATGTAAATTACCACAGCTCAGTGGAGCTGCATGAATTTTATACCACCTGGGGATCTGTCCTGAAAAGTGCTATCCACTTGCAGAGGACCAAATTCTTCTCTCAGTTGTGAGCATGCAACTCCATAGAAGCCAATGGGATTGCACAGGAGAACTTGGCTGTACATTCATTAGTGTTATTCTTCACCTACCAGTCTGCAGTTATTTCCTCTCCTGAATTAGGGTGACCAGATAGCAACTGTGAAAAAACGGGACAGGGGGTGGTGGGTTATAGGCGCCTATATAAGCAAAAGTCCCCAAAAAAGGGACTGTCCCTTTAAAAACAAGGCATCTGGTCACTGTACCCCGATTCCCAGTTGAAGACTGATCATTGTACAATAGTAGTATGTCATCACTTGAGGCCATGCTTAGTCATGTGACACAGCCCTGCATAGCGCTCGCATTCCTTGCTGTTCTCCTGGTCACGTCTCCTCCTATTGCACGTCTAATTCATCACTTGAGCCTCTTCAAGTTCCTGAATTTCCTGCCGGTGCCTTCATGCTCAGTCACCACCTTGGAGTGTCTGTAATAAAGAGGGGTTGCTGCAGCGAGGTGGGGGTGTCATATGTAGGTAGGGTGACCAGATGGCAAGTGTGAAAAATCGAGACGTGGGTGGGGGGTTATAGGCACCTATTTAAAACAAAGCCCCAAATATCGGGACTGTCCCTATAAAATCGGGACATCTGGTCACCCTACGATGTAGTCAGGAGGAGGCTGGTGTGGTTTGGGCTATGCAGGGGTGCGGCAGAAGCCCCCGTGCCCCAATCCCGCTCTGCTCCCTGGCAGCAGCGCTGGGCAGACAGGCAAGGGGAGGAAGCCCCAGCCCCCAAACCCAGGCTGTGGCCCGGGACTGGAGGAGCCCTGGCTTCCTGCCACGGCCTCAGGGCTGGGAGAGCTCTCACTCCCCACTACAGCCCCAGGGCCTTGGCGAGATGCAGAGGCGGGGGCAAGCAGAGCTTTTCCGGTCTTGGGGCCGCAGTGGCGGGGGAGAAATGAGCAAATGGGAGGCCACAGTGGGGGACAGAATGGAGCAGGACCATGGGTGGAACAGGGGCGGGGCCGTGGGGGAAAGGGGCAGAACCGTAGTGGAGCTGTGGGAGGGGCTGTAGTCAGAAGGGGCAGAATGGGGGCAGGACTGCAGGTGGAAGGTGTGAGGAGTGGGCCCTCTGACTTGCTCTGCTCCAGGGCCCCACAAAACCTTAATCTGCATCTGGATGGGATGCTTCACATCTTACTCCAGGGTGGGCCCTGCAAAACATATGTGTAGAGACCCATTTAGGTGTCCAAAGAGGAGCCACAGCACTGCGGTATAACTCGTGTACCTTGTTCCCACCCTAGGTCTCGCAGTGTTGTCCAGGTCAATGCCAGCATTAGGTTTGAACCCTCCAAAATCAACATCTTTAACAAAGACTGCAAGCGAAACGGGAAGGACGCCACCTGCATGTCTGCATTTGTCTGCTTCACTCCCGTCTTCCTCTCGACCCATTTTCAGACAGCAAGTGTGGGTAAGCGAAGGCTCCCGCTCTGATTTCCCCACTGCTCTTGTGAAAATCGACCTTGTCGGTTTGTCTTTACCTGGCCTGCATTGGTAAGAGCACTGCCAAGCTGCTCTTGTCTATTCGCGGGAGAGGAAAACGAGCTAAGAGCTTGTTAGGCGCAGGGTAGCGCTAAAAGCTTGTGCTCAGCCGCATCTGCCCTGGCCCTTTCTCGACCCAGACCCCACCCCTTTTCAACCTGCACACTGGCAAGTAACGGAGTAGATGTGCCGCGCCCTTTAGATCTGCCACTACTCAGTGCAGGGGGTTGCACCTAGAACGTAACCCTATTAGCATCTATGTGTAACCTCCGCTCACCCCTCCACTGGGGTGCAAAGTCTGGCAGTTCCTCCTGTGCACTCTGCAGGCACTTGCAAAATCCAAGCTTTGCCATTAGAAAACGGTGGAAATTGGCACATAAGGTGAGCAAGGGGCTCTTGTTACCAACAGTCCACGCAAACCCCTGTAGGTCACTGTGTTCGTAAAAATGATCCCAGTCCTCAGGGAGATTAGCACGGTCAGCTGTCACCATCAAGCAGAAAATGCAAGATGGAACAACAATTAATCGCTGTGCAAGTTTTATTAAAGAAAATAAGCGTAGATTGGAAAATGTGTGGAGGTTCTGGGGACTGTGATGTAGAGGGAATAGTGGGACCCCAGCCTCCCTGAAAGGAGGGTGCACAGCACAGTCTACCCAGCGCTTGTTCTGAGTGTCGTCGAATTCCTTCAGGATTGACCTCTGCTCTGATCTTCGTAAAGATCAAGAAGCAAGGCCGACTAGGCTGCAGAGTTAAGTCTCTCACCTGGCTTCTGCCGTGCTCTGGGACATCCTGCTTTACAAAGGGAGTCCTCCCAAAGATGTGCTGTGGGAATCGTCAAGGTTCTTGTGGGTGAGAGTTTGCTGCCTTGGTCTTGCATCCACACAGTACATCTGTGGGCCAGATGCCTACATACTTGGCTAACATCACAAAGAGCCTTTATGAGCCGGTCGATCCTGCTTGGCTTTAAAACACCGCTCCCTGCTATGACCTGGAGTCTTCACACAGGATGCCTAGGACTCAGCTAGAACAAAGAGGAAGCAAAAGCAGCATGGCCTATAATAACCCCCCAACAATGTATAGTAAAATGCTGCAACCAGGGCTTAGGTTATGCATGAAATCATGTCCCCAGTGAAGGCAATGGCAAAATTCCTATTGATTTCCCTGGGGCCAGGATTTTCCTCTATAATGATCAAGGCTGATATTCTGTGTGTAACTCACCCTGAATTTTAGAGCTTGCAGAAGAGGGTGTCCCAGAAATGTGTTAGAAGGGAGAGGAGATGCAGAGGGCTATCTCTCAGAAGTACAGTGCTGCTGAGGGACAAAGGAAACAAGAGAAGAAAGAAGCTGAATTCTGAATGTGTTAGACTTTGGATCGTCAGTCTCCTTTTAGCATTGCACTAGCAGGGTATTTGGTCCTGGCACAGCACTAACACAGGCCATTTGGGGGTTTGTCGTGGTGTGGGGGAAGGGGGGGGGATGTACAACAATATTTAAGAAGAAAAATGCTCTCTCATTACGTATGTAAGGGATGGCGTGCAAAACAGAAAGGGTACTTTCAGAACCAGTGCGGTGCATTGTGTGGCTAGATAGCAGACAAATGTTTAAACAGCCTGTGTATTATTAATCTGTGTCCTGAAATGACCCTTTTATATGGTGGATTGTTGAAACAGGAATGTAAATACATCTAGAATGTCTGTTAAAAAGCCTAAAGTGGCTCCAGAATCCCAAATCCCTGACTCCCAGGTTCTCAGGTATTGCTGTTGTTCCTTTTCCTTGTGCGTTTCCCCTCTGATCTCACCACAGTTATCCATAACTTTTGTAACCTATAGATCAGATTACTGAAGTGTGCACTACAGGGGGCTACTCTTAGACACCTGAGAGCATCAGCTGGTGGAGAGTCCAGCTGCTTGTCTGCTTGATATATTCATCACATGGACCATATTAGACATGTAGTCTGGTTTCCAGTGCTATTCATGGGATTAATTTTGATTTGTTAAGCCCTTCGTACCCTAGCCTGGGTCTAGGCTGCCTTAGAAACTACCTCTCTTTCTGACCATTGAGCTCGTCTTCTGCTAACAGCCCCTTGATTTTAATTCTGGGAGACCACTGGCTCAGTGGACTGTTCATGACTCACCACTCTGGAATTTACTTCCTCTGCTAGCCAGCCTAACAAAGCCTACACCTAGATGTCCATCTCATCTTCTGATCCTTGGCTGGATTGGCATGATTGATGGGGCTGCCTTTGTGCTTTGCTTCCTCCCCTACCAAGGTGTTCATTGTAAAGATGTTGTGGTGATTCGGATGTACAAGAGCTGAGCTCCAAGGCTTGTAGATGGTGCATGTTACAGCATTAGGCAGAAACATACATAAACAAATCATTTTGGGCACCAGCTGGCTGACACAATGGACAGGGTTCCATATGTGCAGATACAGTACGATGTGAGGGCTGTCTGTTTATATCTTACAACAGTGGTTCTCAACCAGGGGGCCGGGAGCAGGGTTCAGGGAGGCCACCAAGCAGGGCCAGCATTAGACTCACTGGGGTCAAGGGTAGAAAGCCAAAGCCCCACGGCCTGGGGCTGAAGCCCAGGGCCCTGAGCCCTGCCATTCGGAGCTGAAGCCGAAGCCTGGGCAATGTAGCTCCAGCAGAGCCCCTGTGGTGTAGGGCCCCAGCAGGCAATTGCCCTGCTTGCTACCCCTTGATGTCAGCCCTCGCTTTTAGATGCAGAAAACCAGTTGTTGTGGCACAGGTGGGCTGTGGAGTTTTTATAGCACGTTGTGGGGGCCTCAGAAAGAAAAAGATTGAGAACTGCTGCCTTACATGACCTGCGATTCGGCCAGCTTCTTAAAAGGGCAAATTGGCAACAACCAAAAGTTGCCTTCAGTCCTCTGAATTAGCATCTTGTTTTTAAAAGGGGGGATTTGATAAGCTCTGCTGATGTCATTTTGACTCCATGCATTGATAATTCATAGATGTTCATTTTATTCTGGTAGGAGAATGTTGATTTGTGCTCTAGGAAAGGATGGGGCAGAGCGGAGGCTTTGCCACATAAAAACATAACAGTAGAAAGAAATCAGAATCAAACATTTCCCTTTTCAGGATTAAAATACAATGCCACCATTGACGAACGAAGGTACACGCCACGGGCTCATCTGGATGAAAATAGCGACCGGCACACTCATAGGCTGGTCACATTGTCTGCAGGACAAGAACACTGTGACAAGCTAAATTTTCACGTCTTGGTAAGTATCTTCATGCAAAACAGAATCACATCAGGAAGCAGGCATATAAACCAAGCGGAAGTGCCTCGAGTACATCACATGGCTGGAAACCAAGCTAAACTTTATCTCCAAGTCCGGATTTATTATTGTTGGGTTTGATGTGGTTAAGGATGAAATCCGCTTGAGTGAGCTGCTGAAGTTTTATAGCTGCTCAGTCTGCCATGTGAACCAGTAAGGGACCTGAACTCCTCCCAATCCCTAGTTATTTTTTCCTAAAAGCCTTTTATCATTTCAGTGCTGTAATCTATGGAATTCATACCGATCACGTTTGAGGACCAGTCCCAATGGTTCTGAACTCAGTACAAACACACCCGGTGACTTTGATTCAGGACCAAATGTTTTCATTTTGCTTCCCAGACTTTTTCACTTTGTGCACTTCTCCTACCAGTAGGCTCCTCTTGCTCTTGGGTTAGAAGCCAATTAAAGTTTCTGCATAGCAGAGCCCAGCCAAGAAAGAAATATGATAAAACTGACTAAACTAAATGATGGGAAATTACTCACAAGTGGAGATAGATCTTAACAAAAGCCTGGATCCATATACCCTCAGATTTTGGGGAAATTTGGATTGTGATCTGGAGCTGAAATTCACAGTTAGCCATGCCAAATCCCCAGACTCAAACTTCTGTGAAATTTGGGGAAGTTTGCTTCTGAAGTTTGAATCTGAGTGAGTGATTTGCATTCATTTCTGCTCATAAGTTTCTCTCTGGCATTATTTTCTAGAGCCAGATATCCAAAAGTCACACACACACATATAAACATCTGCACCTTTGTTTCTGGTCCATTAAGTCAAGGGCAGCCAGTATGTCTCTCTATACGCAGTTGATACAGTTTGGGAAATCTGGTGTGGTATAAACAATCACTCTTTGTGATGATCAACTGTTTCAAAGCGGATGTTCTGCACTCCTAAGTACCCCTTTCACTTCTACACACACACACACACACACACACACTCCCCTCACATTTTATTTGTATAGGTCAGGAGGCATGCATGCAATCTCAGAGCAGTAAGAGGCTGTGTTTGTTGTCTCACCTCTGTAATGTCCTTTAGCTGTGAGATAAAAGAAGACGAATGCAAAGTGTGTTAAACTGTGATACATTTACTTTGTAAAAAATTGTTCCACCATGGTTCGGTTTGTGTTTTCATTGCACCCAACTATTCCTGTGGAAAACATCTTCAAATTTTTAATGATGTATTAGAGAGGCTACAAAAGCAGAAAACCCAGTAATAATGGGGGATTTCAATGATCCTCATATTGACTGGTTATATGTCACCTCAGGAAGGGATGCCTAGATAAAATTTCTAGACACATGAAATGACTGCTTCTTGGAGCAGCGTGTCCTGGAACCCACAAGGGAAGAGGCAATTCTTGATTTAGTCCTAAATGGAACACAGGATCTGGTCTAAGAGTGAATATAGCTGAATCACTTAGTAATAATGACCATAAAGTAATTACATTTAACATCCTTATAGGGGGGAAAATGCCAAAGAAACCCAGCACAGTAGCATTTAACTTCAAAAAGGAGAACTACACAAAAATGAGGAAGCTAATTAAATGGAAATTAAAAGGAACAGTCACAAGGGTGAAATGCCTTCAAACTGCATGGAGACCATTTAAAAACACCATCAGAGGGGCTCAAATTAAATGTATACTCCAAATAAAAAAACAGGAAGGAGGCTGAAAAAGTGCCACCATGGTGAAGAGCAGAGTAAAAGAGACAGTTAGAGACAAAAAGACGTCTTTTAAAAATTGGAAGTCAAATCCTAGTGAGGAAAATAGAAAGGAGCACAAACCCTGGCAAGTCAAGTTTAAAAGTGTAATAAAACAGGCCCAAAAAGAATTTGAAGACCAACTGGCTAAGAACACAAAAACTAATAGCAAATATTTTGTTAAGTACCTCAATGTTGATAAATGCAAAGTAAGGCACATGGGAAAAAATAATCCCAACTATACATACAAAATGATGGGGGTCTAAATTAGATGTTACCACTCAAGAAAGAGACCTTGAAGTCATGGTGGGTAGTTCCCCGAAATCATCAACTCAATGTGTAGTGGCAATCAAAAAAGCTAACAGAATGTTAGGAACTATTAGGAAAGGGATAGATAATAAAACAGAAAATATCATAATGCCACTGTACAGAGCCATGGTATAACTCACAGCTTGAATTCTGCATGCAGTTCTGATCACCCCATCTCAAAAAGATATAATAGAATTGGAAATGGTGCAGACAAGGACAACAAAAATGATTAGGGATATAGAACAACTTCCGTATGAGGAGAGATTTAAAAGACCGGGATTGTTCATTTTAGAAAAGAGATGAGTAAGGGGAATATGATTGAGGCCTATAAAATCATGAATGGGGTGGAGAAAGTGAATGGGAAAGTGTTATTTACCCCTTCACATAATACAAGAACCAGGGGTCACCCAATGAAATTAATAGGCAGCAAGTTTACAACAAACATAAGGAAGGATTTCTTCACACAACACACAGTCAACCTGTGGAACTCATTGCCAGAGGATGTTGTAAGGTTCAAAAAAGAATTAGCCAAGATGGTCAGGGACACAACTGCATACTCAGGGTGTCCCTAAACCTCTGACTGCCAGAAGCCAGAACTGAACAACAAGGGATGGATCACTCAAAATTACTCTGTTCTATTCATTCTCTCTGAAGCATCTGGCACTGGCTACTATCAGAGACAGCATAGTGGGCTAGATGGACCACTGGTCTGACCCAGTATGGCCGTTCTTATGTTCTTATTTTCTCTGCCTCTAGGACACAGCAGACTATGTGAAGCCTGTGACATTTTCAGTCGAATATAGGCTGGAGAATCCCGACCACGGTCCCATGATGGATGATGGCTGGCCAACTGGATTTAAAGTCTCTGTACGTAATGGTCACTGCACTTGGCGGAAAGTACTCTGCGTGGGATAGCCCTCTGCAGAATCAGTCTGAGCAATAGTCTGCACTAATTATCTATAGCACCTTTCACCCAAGGATCTCAAAGCTCTTTATGGAGGTGGCTAAGGTATATTCTCACCATTTTATAGATGAGGAAACTGAGGTGCAGAGAGGCTGTGTGAGTGGCCTAAGGTCACATAGGGTTTGTCTGTACTTTGAGCCGGCTACTCTTAGTTTTAGCCCGGGGATGTCTCCTCCCGCTGCAAATCACATCCCCAACTCGAAGTGTAGACATGCAGACGGCCAGCCGGTGATAGAGTCATAAGGAGAAACCAGGTCTCCTGACTCTCAACTGCTGGAGCACGCCTGCTCCAGTAAATCTCAGTGATATCCTACCTGCACAATGCATATTTGTTATTCCTTTCTCTGTGAACCATGGCACATATGAGAATCCATGTTATTGGTATCACTTAGAGCCTTATCCTCACTCACATCAGAGCCAGTGGTATTAAAACCTTGTCCCCTGGCTTTGACAGGAGAAGCAAAATTGTCAATGGTTAACCATAAAGGGCTGGATTCCATGGTCCAGCAAGTTCACTTTGTGCCACTTCGGCCTACATGGAGCAAAACAAACCTAAGCACCCAGTGACTGTCACTGGCAGATTCCCCTGGTACAGGGGAGATTAGTGCAAAGCTGGCAGGAACAACTCCATCACCTCCCGTGCCAGAAACTAGCCCCCTGGCATAAGGGGAGGAGAGGGCACAGCCATACAGGGGGTGTCATAGGAACAGTCTCTGCTGTCCCTATTCTCCAGTTTCCCAAGGGATCGTGTAGCAGTGGCATAAGTTAAAACCACCCCCTGGAGCCAGGCAGCTCTGCAGAGAATAGAAAATCAACTCAAAAGTGTGCAATACCAGTACGCTCCCCTGTTGCAGAACCAATCTGATAAAAGCAGCCCTGGGGCTCTTATGTTCAACTATTACCCTGTGGAGATATCATTCTAAATCTTTGGCAGGTAGCTAAGACTTATGGGTCAGGGGGTTTCCCATGCACGTGCCTTCCATTTCACAGAGGGACCCATGGCTGTGTTTGCAAGAGGTGGGGTGCTAACCCCAGATCCTAACCGGAGTGCCTACACTCTGCCTATCCCAGATCCTCCTGTAATTCCAGCTGGGTACAGTATTCTTCACTTCCTGTCCTAAACTGTTGTGTAACATTGCTGCACTCTGCTAAACCACCGACACGTTATACCATGAAGGCTGCTTCTGTGGGAGACAAAGTGACCCCTTGAGTATAGTTTGTAAAGCACTTTATGGTCCCTCACAGCAAAAGATGCTGTAGACATGTTACACTATTATTATAATCTCTAAACATTTTGGGCTAGATCCTCACCTGGTGTAAATTAGCATAGTCCAGTTGACGTCAATGATGGAGCCACACTGATTTCCGCCAACTGAGCATCTGCCACGTAGAGTTTTAAAAATCATAGTAGCAATAGCTTAATTAGTGTGAACAAAGGAGGCAGAGAGAGAGAGAGAGAGAGAAAGAGAGAGAAGGTAGCTGATAATGGAGCGTATATTCCAGGTGAGCTTAGACAGAAAGCAGGAAGTCTTTGAAAGTCGGGTGTATGGTTTGTACTGATGTTTGAAATATTTGTGCTCTAGATTGGAATTAAAAAGCAAAACCAAAGCAATCTGAATGATAAACTTGGTGGTTGGCTAACTTATCCCTTAACTCAATACTTTTGCACCTTTACCTTTCCAATGGGCAGATGATCAAGAATCTCTCTTGTATTGTTTATTTTTATTGTATTAATTTTTTTGTTGTTTTAAAGCATTTAGTTTGTGGCTTTGATTGACTAAAAATCGCAACCGTGGGTGCACAGTGCATGAAAACTCTGCTCAGCACATGCTGTGCACGTCAAAACGCCGTTTGGATTTCTCTTGCCATTTCCCCTTAAGGTGCCTTTCTGGAATGGATGCAATGAGGATGAACACTGTGTCCCTGATCTGGTCCTTGATGCTAAAAATGATATTCCAACTGCCACGTGAGTAGATAATCCAGATTAAATTGTCCCGCTAACCAGGAAATCATGTCACGAAATGCAGAGGATTGCTGAAATCAGATCACAGGTTTAGCTTTCCTCATTACAGATTTGTATATTTCATTCATTTTCACGCTTTCTGTTTGATTTTACTTGTATTTTACAGCCCCTAGCAAAGTCCAGTAAATTAACTTCCCTTCCTCCCTCCACTCCCCAGCCCTATTGCCTCCCCTACCCCCAGTCTGGCAGTGCACGCCCCACCCAGGAGAACACCTCTTCCCGGGCACACATGTGCAGTGTGTTGGTGATGGACGACACAACTAATGTCTCACACTATGGTGACAAGCCCCAGGGAAACCTGTCCATAAATACACAAAAAATGCTGCTCTCACCCACTTGGCAATTATGGGTTTGATGACTACAGCAGAAACAAGTTTACATTTAGTGTCCTGGGGTCACTTACAAAATCTTCCTAGTAAAGGTTCTCTAGGAGGAGAAAACCTCTCGCTGCTCTCTTTGCAGTTTGATTTTGGTTCCTGTAATATAATAATTAGTGACTGTGATTCCCAGGCATGTTTGGGCCTAAAAGAGTCCTTGTGCTTGGAGTAATTTTAAACATTGATACTGGGAAGATAGAGGTGTAGAGAATATTTGTGTCCATACCTAACGCAGCAACTGTGTTCAGAAACCATGCTCGGTAGTCGCTAGGGGAGTAGTCTACAGCAGCGGTTCTCAAAATGTAGTAACCCGAGGACCCCCATTTTGATTTAAAATTTTTTGCGGACCCCCAAGCCAGCTTCTAATTTTCCCCGGGGGGGCTCAACCCCTGCTCAGCCCCAAGCCCCGCCCCCACTCCACCTCTTCCCCCAAGGCCCCACCCCTGCCCCTCCTGCACCCCTACCCCTCCTCTTCCCTGCCTCTTTCCACCCCCTCCCCCGAGCATGCCCCATCCCCACTCCTCCCCCTCCCTCCCAGCGCCTCCTGCACACCACTGAACAGCTGTTCCGCAGCCTGCAGGAGGCACTGGGAGGAAAGGGGAGGAGTTGATCAGCGGGGCTGGCAGTCCGAGACATGACTCGTGTCCCCTGGAGCCAGACATGACTCACAGAGCCCCTGGAGTACCCTCATTCTGTGGACCCCAGTTTGAGAATCTCTGGTCTACAGCATGTTTTTTGTTAGCATGATTGTCTATAAGTGTCCCAATGCTCCTAGAGAGAATTTTCAAATTGTAACAACACAAGCAAGAAATTTCCTTTGCTTTCCTTTTTGCTGAGGCTACGTGAATTCTCTTCCACCCATGCAGCTTGTGATGTGGCCGCAATAAAATCAAAGCCAGGCCCATTGTGTCTCAACACATCTTCCGTAACAACTGCAACAAAAAAGGTCTTTCTTCCATTCATTCGTATTTGCTGCAATTTATCAGATATGCGACAGAGCTGTCGGTGCCATTTGTGATGTGGTCATGAAATGCCACCACTACAGGGCTTAGAGAAATACGCAGTGCAATAGTAAACATATGCACTGACTTTCCAGGGATGTGCTTGCCAGATCTGATCACCACACTCATTGAATGTTAAATACCTCAGACCAAATTCTGCACTGATTACACAGGGTGTAAATCAATGCAGGATATTTCCCCTCAAGTTAACCAATATAATGACCTCAAACCTTCCTTCCCCTGAATGAATAAAAACCCTGAATCCAAGCACTCCTGAATCAAGACCTCAATCCTAATTTTGTGACCCTTACCCATTTATCCTTTTTTAGCCCCCAATTTAGCAAGATATTTAAGCACATGCCTAACATTACACATATAAGTCATCCCCTTGAGTTCAATGGAGCTATTCAGATGCTTTAAGTTTTCTGAATAGGGGCCTTAATGTTTCATCTTAAACTGTACATTTGCAGATATTTATTAATACAGTCTACAGCTCCTACAATGGATAGCAAATGAGCAGGGCTCGATGCAATTTTTTATGGTTTGCTGTTGCACATCAAGTTTCCAATCCAACTTCCAGTGAAGTCCGTGGGAGTTTTCCCATATTGGCTTTGATGGATGTTAGATCTGGCCCTAAAAGAGAAACAAATATAGGGATCTACTGAGCAAACCATTGTTAAGTTTCTGTGTGGAATAAACCTATTTGTTGCTGCAATGATGCTGTGGTTGCTTCCCCATTACAGGTAACACATTGGTCCTCTCTGCTACATTTTTCCTTTCCTTTTTTTTAAATATAAAAAAAATTGACACATCCATCAAAAAGTCTACAAAGTCTGCCACAGTCCAAATTCTCCCCCGGCATAACCGTATTGCTCTCAGTGCCCTTCTGCCAGGGCAAAGATTTCAGACAGCAAAACTGAAGTTATACATCATCTTGCCCTCTGGCAATGATACCAGCCCTTTTTTCTCTTACTTTTCAGCATGTAATGTTTTATTTAGGAGATAATAATCATGCCCAAGTGTGATGGAATGCACCCCTGTAGTCATACGCTACACACTATTGTAATAATCTGTACAAAGTATGCTGTGTGCAGAATCATTTAAAAACTCATAAGTTGCTAATCAGTAATGTCCTGGTAAAATGTGTACAGCAGCACTATGTTTGAAGTTACATGTTAAAAGTGCACGTTAGGCCTGTCTTGAACAAAGGAGTGTGTGCTTGCCTTAATTTGCATTTAAGCAGTAAAAAAGTCATCAAGCAGAAAGGGGGAAGAGAGGAAACAAAAGGAAACCTGCATGTGAGCATACACAGTTGAAAAAACCCAGCAGGGTCTCACACAGACTCTTTGTCTCCTGGTTCTCAGCTGGAAATGTTTCTCAAAAGGGGGAAGGAAACTATAAAAAGGAGTGGCAAACACCCCAAAAGACCCCCTTCCTCTTTTCCTTGCCCTCCTCAGTCTTTGTACCTGAGAAGGGAAAAGAAACAGCCATTAGTTTTGAAGAGTTTGGTCCATAATGCTGTTGAAAGCATGGGGTGAGAAACTTTGCTTTAATATAGTTTGTTAAGTTAGGCACTGGAAAGTGTTTTATCTTTATTTTTCTTATAACCATTTCTGATTCTAATGCCTCATTGTTTGTTCTCACTTAAAAACTATCTCTTTATAGTTAATAAACTTCCTTTATTGTTTTGTCTAATCCAGTCTGTTTAAGTTAAAGTGTCTGAGTAACACTCTTTAAGTTAATGAGCAGGTGTATATTATTCCCTTAAAAGAATAATGGACTTAATATATTTGGACTGTCCAGGAGAGGGCTGGGCAGTACAAGACATACATTTTGGGGGGAGGGAATCCAGGACTGGGAGTGTGTTGGGGGCACCCTGCAGAAGTAACCCAGGCTGGTAAAAGCCGGCGTGTACCCGCATGTGGCTGGCAGGCTGCAGTTACACACAGACACTCAGGGTGTGGCTTACATGCTGGAAGGCTGTTTGTAAGTGCCCCAGATGGGAGCTATTGCAGAAAGGCATTGTAAGGCTCCCAAGGTTGCAGGGCAGGGGTGACAAAGAACCCTCACTCCTCTGGATTGCACCCCAGTATGTCAAACCAGGACAGTTAGACAGTGTTATTCAATAGCCACAGCAAAAGAGAGTTCATAGCTACTCTATTTAGAACCATGTGATTCCTTTTCTTCCAGAGTAGCCTGTGGTATGACAGGCGCACTGGGCAAAGATTTACTTGCACTAGCATTCCCAGCCACGAATGAGTATTTCTTTTTCTTCTTACCGTGGTTATAAGGAGAGAGATTGGATTTATGGCAGCACTTCAGGCAGTTGTAAAGGATTTATGAAATGGAAGGGCACTGCCCAGTTCACAGAGAGACTAATAAACAGAGCTGGGATGCATTATTTACTGACATTCAGCTCAGCTCTGGCAAGATAAAAAAACCCTCTAAGCTTTGAAGAAAGAATAGCAACTCAATCATGTTTCTATTTCATTAGTGTGCACGTGCATTTCCTATACAGTATTTCTTCTCACCAATGGTCCTCAACAGAAGACACTGTGAAGCCAAGGAGATCTGGAGAAGACCCCCCTTGAAAGCCCACTATTGCTATCCCTTGCTCTGCCACAAGGGGCACTGTGGTAGGAACAAACAAGCTACTTCCCCTCCAGTGGCAGGGGATGTTCCCTGTCCCCACTATACTGGACTCTCCAATTTGGAACTCATTCTTTTCCTCCCTAAGGCATCTGGCATGTAGCAATCTACCGCCCTGTAAAGGAGACTTCATTAATCCTCCAAATGCAGTGATGCACAACTTGTTCATCTACATGAAATATGCTTGCAAGCCTGTCGGCCCTGATTTTCAAACAGGGCCTCTGATTTCTTCCACCTGCAAAATGGTTATGCGTGCAGCAGTACATATAAAAACCCCTATTTTGGTTGAACCGATATGCATTTGTGTACCCAGGTTGGTAGCTGAGTATCAACGTTCATGGCCAAATGCAAGCGTGCCTACAGTTTTGCTGACATGCTAACATTTGCACACATTTTTAGGGGCTGGTTTAAAGGCATCTGAAAACTTAGCCCATACTATTCGTGTCTAATGCATTAAGCACATACAGCTGTTGTCCAGAGCGTCTCACATTCATTCTAATAGCTGGACACAAAGACAGCATCTCCAGCGTGCTTATGTACAAACTGATCACTATGTTTATTTAACCAGCTTAAATGCAGTAGAAAAGATAAACCTTCATTTACCTAACTGGAGCAGCTCAGAGCTCAACTTCCTGTGTGTCGATGCAAACTAATCGTGTGAACTGCCTCCTATGTCCGCAGATAAGCTCTTGGGTGTATAAGGAGCCCCTGATTATATAAGATCTTATGTGCTATGTGTTCTCCAAAGCTTTCACAGATGAAGTCCTCTGATCACAGTGCCAACCTGGCCGCTGGTTTAATGCTGTGCTTTTCTTGCAGGGAGTATTGCAGAAGAGTACTGAGAAAGTCACCATCGGATTGCGCCGCCTACACACTATCTTTTGATACCTCCGTTTTTATCATAGAGAGCACGAGGAGGAGGGTGGCTGTAGAAGCTACGCTGGAGAACAAAGGCGAAAATGCATATAGCACCGTCCTCAACATTTCCTTCTCAAGAAATCTGCAGTTTGCTAGCTTGATTCAGAAGGTAAGAACACCTTTAGAGTCTTCTCCGGTTGGCACTTGTGTTGGGAGCAAGTCATTGCCAGTAAAAAAAGAAAAAGAAATGGCCATCAGTGGGCCTGGGCTTGCACCAGTGAAGCTAATGAGGGTTTTGTCATTGACTTTAGTGGAAATTAAATTGGGCCACAGAAAGAGGAGTCATTAGATTGTAAGGGGGAGGTATTTCCAAAGTAGTGTGTGTTATTCAATGCAGTGGCTCAACACTATTACTCTTCTGTTGCATTTCCATAGCCCCTTCCACACTCACTGTACACAGATTAATTTAGCCTAACAACTCCTCTGCTCCAGTGAGGTGGGATTGCCAGACTGGATCAGACCTGAAGTCCATCTTGCCCAGGATCCCATCCCTGACAGTTGCCAACACCAGATACTTCAGTGGAAGATGCAGGAAACTCCAAAAAAGGCAATTTATGGGGAAAGCTGCCCCTTATTATTCTCTCCAGTGAGCATTCTCTTGCGTGTGTCAGCATTGAATTTCATCTGCCCTTTTGCCGTGTCCCCTTAACATTTTTTGAAGCCTACTCTAGTCTTGAGTAACCAGCAAGATTCCACACCATCTGCAGATATTGCCATCTTGCTGTTCACCCGCTTTTCCAGATCATTAAGGAATATCTTACAGTACCCCGGTCCTTGTGCAGAACCTTGGGACACCCGCCCCTCTGCTGCCATGGTGAAAGTGTATCGTTTATTCCTATTTGCTTTCTCCTAGCCATTGTCTAATCCATCACAGAATGTGACTTCTCACCCATGATGACTTAGTTTAATAACCTCTCATGATGGACTTTGTCAAAAGCTTTTTGGAAAGTTCATATAAATCATATTAATTATTTCTCCTTTCTCCACCTTTTTGACATGCTCAGAGATTCTAGGAGATTAGAGGCATGATTTTCCCTTACAGAAGCCATGGTGGTTTGTCCCCATCATGTCACATTCATCTAGTTATTTTTATAATTCATATTACTCATGGTTACAGAGGATTTAATTATTGTTTCAACCAATTATCCCCATTTTGTAGACAAGGAAATTAAACACCGGGAGTGAAATTCCAGCATACACAGAGGGCTCAGCACAAGCCTAATGCAGCACTTTAATCACACTTCATAACAGGCTTTCCATGGGACAAACGTGTACCCTCAAGGACAAACATGGACCTCAGGCTGGCCTCTATTTAGACAGCATGGCCTAATGGATAGGGCACTGGACTGGACTGGGAGTCAGGAGACCTGGGTTCTATTCCTGGCTCTTCAGTTCCCATCTCTGTGCCTCACTTTCCCCATCTGTAAAATGGGATAATGATACTGACCTCCTGTCGGGACGCTGGTTCCAAACCCAGGCCCACTGGATTCTCAGCAAGCAGCCTTGGCCATCATACCTTTCCACTAGGTCAGACTACCAGGGACCTCACAGACATGAGTGGGCCGGCTACCAGTGCTCCACGGCCTGCTTCCTGATTGGCCACATGGTCTTGACCCTGATTGGCTGGTGACCCGATATAAACTTCCTGCTTTCTTTCTGGCCATGTCTGAGCAAAACAAGCCATTGCCTGCTGCTAGCTTCACGGACCCGCCTGATCCTGCCTTGCCGCCCCACCTCCTCCTGACTTGGTGCCTCACCCCACCAGCCAACCCCTTATACCTTCCTCTTGGATTAGATCTCCTGGCTACCAGACCTTTGTGTGGACTCCCACCACTGATCTGGTCTGCCCTTCGATCCACCGGACCCCTAGGCATTACACCTCCTTTTTAAAGCACCGGGGGATCTCCTGATGAAGATCGCTAGATAAGATTCTTAGTACTTGATTTCTCCTTGCAGAACTGAAAGCTGTTCTAAAAACTCAGGGGTTTAAATTAACTGGCCTAAATTTCCCTGTTCTCTGTGGCTGAGCCAAGAATAGAATTGAGAGTCCCGGACTCCCAGTTCTGTGCCTTAACCTCACGACCACATTTCCTCTTAATCACTCCCTCAGATTTCCTTCTTCCTTTCCTCACTTTCTAAGAGGAGAAAGGTCAGGAGAAGGAGAGTGAAGAAGTAGTCAGATGATCTTCCAAACCCTCCCAGTGGCTCTGGGATGCTTCGCTGTAGCGAAGAAAGATGGGATTAATCCAAGAGCATTGCATTACTCATCTGCAAGACATTTTCTCCTTCTTAATGTCTTGGCAGTGCAGCTGTCTGGTGCTCCATGCTTCCTGATGTTCAGCCTTTACACACATATCCCAGATCTTGGCCTACACGTCATCCTCAGAGTCGGGTGCACAGTGAACCTGGTATTCTTTCACACAGTTCTCACTCTAACTCCTGAGACATAGCTGGTTAAGTATGCATTATAACAGGGAAAACACTGTGTCTCTTTACTTATCAAGGCTAAACATACATGGGAAAAATAGATGCAGATCTTATTTCTGTGGAGATCTCGGGATTGGAATCTAACATGACAATAAAACCAGGAGAGCTGTCAAGGGCCTAAGCGGATATAACCAGATGATCTCAAACTCAGCCCAGAACCAAATCATTTTTGAGAGCTAATGAAGCCCTATAACCTCAGCCGTGCAGAACTCAATGCCATCCACAGCCTCAGAAACAACTCTGACATCATAATCAAAAAGGCTGACAAAGGAGGTGCTGTCGTCATCATGAATAGGTCGGAATATGAACAAGACGCTGCTAGGCAGCTCTCCAACACCACTTTCTACAAGCCATTACCCTCTGATCCCACTGAGGGTTACCAAAAGAAACTACAGCATTTGCTCAAGAAACTCCCTGAAAAAGCACAAGAACAAATCCACACAGACACACGTCTGGAACCCCGACCTGGGATATTCTATCTGCTATCCAAGATTCATAAACCTGGAAATCCTGGACGCCCCATCATCTCAGGCATTGGCACCCTGACAGCAGGATTGTCTGGCTATGTAGACTCCCTCCTCAGGCCCTACGCTACCAGCACTCCCAGCTACTTTCGAGACACCACTGACTTCCTGAGGAAACTACAATCCGCTGGTGATCTTCCTGATAACACCATCCTGGCTACTATGGATGTAGAAGCCCTCTACACCAACATTCCACACAAAGATGGACTACAAGCCGTCAAGAACACTATCCCCGATAATGTCACGGCAAACCTGGTGGCTGAACTTTGTGACTTTGTCCTCACCCATAACTATTCCACATTTGGGGACAATGTATACCTTCAGATCAGCGGCACTGCTATGGGTACCCACATGGCCCCACAGTATGCCAACATTTTTATGGCTGACTTAGAAGAACCCTTCCTCAGCTCTCGTCCCCTAATGCCCCTACTCGCACTACATTGATGACATCTTCATCATCTGGACCCATGGAAAAGAAGCCCTTGAGGAATTCCACCATGATTTCAACAATTTCCATCCCACCATCAACCTCAGCCTGGTCCAGTCCACACAAGAGATCTACTTCCTGGACACTACAGTGCTACTAAACGATGGTCACATAAACACCACCCTATACCGGAAACCTACTGACCGCTATTCCTACCTACATGCCTCCAGCTTTCACCCTGACCACACCACACAATCCATCGTCTACAGCCAAGCTCTACGATACAACCGCATTTGCTCCAACCCCTCAGACAGAGACAAACACCTACAAGATCTCTATCAAGCATTCTTACAACTACAATACCCACCTGCTGAAGTGAAGAAACAGATTGACAGAGCCAGAAGAGTACCCAGAAGTTACCTACTACAGGACAGGCCCAACATAGAAAATAACAGAACACCACTAGCCATCACCTTCAGCCCCCAACTAAAACCTCTCCAACGCATCATCAAGGATCTACAACCTATCCTGAAGGATGTCCCAACACTCTCACAGATCTTGGGAGACAGGCCAGTCCTTGCTTACAGACAGCCCCCCAACCTGAAGCAAATACTCACCAGCAACCACACACCACACAACAGAACCACTAACCCAGGAACCTATCCTTGCAACAAAGCCCATTGCCAACTGTGTCCACATATCTATTCAGGGGACACCATCATAGGGCCTAATAACATCAGCCACACTATCAGAGGCTCGTTCACCTGCACATCCACCAATGTGATATATGCCATCATGTGCCAGCAATGCCCCTCTGCCATGTACATTGGTCAAACTAGACAGTCTCTACGTAAAAGAATCAATGGACACAAATCAGACGTCAAGAATTATAACATTCAAAAACCAGTTGGAGAACACTTCAATCTCGTTGGTCACTCGATGACAGACCTAAAAGTTGCAATTCTTCAACAAAAAAACTTCAGAAACAGACTCCAACGAGAGACTGCTTTATTGGAATTAATTTGCAATCTGGATACAATTAATTTAGGCTTGAATAAAGACTGGGAGTGGATGGGTCATTACACAAATTAAAACTATTTCCCCATGTTTATTTCCCTCCCCCCCCCCCCGCTGTTCTCAGACATTCTTGTCAACTGCTGGAAATGGCCCACCTTGATTATCACTACAAAAGGTTCCCCCCCACACACACTCCTGCTGGTAATAGCTCACCTTACCTCATCACTCTGGTTACAGTGCGTATGGTAACACCCATTGTTTCATGTTCTCTGTGTATATAAATCTCCTCACTGTATTTTCCACTGAATGCATCCGATGAAGTGAGCTGTAGCTCACGAAAGCTTATGCTCAAATAAATTGGTTAGTCTGTAAGGTGCCACAAGTCCTCCTTTTCTTTTTGCAGATACAGACTAAGATGGCTGCTACTCTGAAACCTTAGATTTTAGTGAAAACTTTTCCATTTTCACTGGTTATGACTGAGACCAGCAGCAAAAGAAATGGCTATATATGTTGATAAGAAGAAGTTCCACGATTACATCAAAGAAGATGAAAATGTAATGTGGGATATAAACCTCCATGCACCAGGGCAGAACCACTTACTAACTGCCTGGGATCAGGAAGAAGCTGCTCCTACTCTGTTCTATTCCATGATAGTGCGTCACAGGGAATCCTGCACTTTTCCCTGAAGCCTCTGGTACTGGCCTAGGGTGTGGGATAAAACGGACCCCATGTCAGATCCAGCCTAGCGATTCTATGTCTGTAATAAGTTTGTCAATGCTTTTAGCTTTTAAGCTTCTAAGGATGTTAAATCTTTCATTGTTAGAATACAAAACGATTTTTTTATTTGTAAGTGTCTGAGCGCACTCAGATGCTGAGGAATTTGGTTCCGCCTTTGCTTTTGCACGCCTACCACTTTAAAAAATATATTCTCCCAAGCTGAGCATGCTGGTGGCCAAGTTTCAGTCAGTGATGAATTTTTACTGCTGAGTTATAGCTCCCCTGAAAATATGGGCTTACAATGGAAACAGAGCCATGACTTACAGCTGGGCCAGTCGATGCCACTCTAATACTGCTTTGCAAACGCTATGCTGACTGGAAGCTTGAAGGCAGCGCATGTGTTTCGAGTATTTGGGACATACAGGGCTCTGTTGAAAACCAGCTTTGCTCAACGAAACAGTCAGAGTCTGGGAATGACACACACAAAAAAAGACCTCTGATTTATAAACTTCATAACCACATCACCCACTTTGTCATCCTGCATGCGTGTGTGTTGAGAGAGAAGCAGCTTTTCCACTCGCATCTTCAGGCCTCCTCTTGATGAATGGAAGATCTTGGCCTTTTATTACAGAACTCTAGCCACTCGAGTTGCATCTCTAGCCACTGCAGCTGCTGCTGACATAGGTTCAGAAGTGAACTCCACGGGGCTTGTGTTTTCTGGGGCACGTTCTCCTCCCCTGAGAGCCCTAAGCAGGATGTCCTGTCACTCCCAGCGCCTCCCACTGATCTGTTATATCTTCCTAATACAGATGGTCTTTGAGCAGTCAGGGCCTGAGCCCCCCTTGGTGCATGCTTGTCCCACGGACTGAGGCCAGCGAGGGCTGTGCACATGTGGAAAGGCAGGACTTGGCCTGACGGCTGTCAGGGTCCATTGTGACAATACTCAACGCAGCCTCCTGACAGGAAGATGAGAGAAATGGGTGTCAAGCTCCCGCCCCTCCCCCCCCAACAGAAAGGAGACCCACCTGAACTCCAGGCCACTTTTGGCAGGTGGACCCATCCGTTTTCAGTAGCACTGTTGAGAACCCCAGCTCCAGGGAACCCCACAGCCGGCTCTTCAGCACGGTCCAACCCTGCACTCCTCCTTGCTGTTTTTAGCGAGCTGGCTAGATTAAAGCTAGCATGGGTATGTCTACATGGGCTGCAGATGACAGGCCCAGTCACCGTGCAGACGTAGCTTCAGGGCATGTCTGCCCTTCGAGCTGGGGCCGCAGTTCCCAGCTGGAGGTGACGTGCGCGCATTAGCTGGGATCGAGCGAGCGCGCTACATGGAGAGTTGCAGCAGCACGAGTGGCAGGATCCAAGAGGGGCTAGCTGCCCTGGATGTGCCTAGCGTCTCAGGCAGGAACGTGCTTCGGGCGGCCAGCCTCTCCCACCCTTTGCGCCCCTGCAGCTACACTTTGCACTGATCAAAGCTAGCGCACGTGTGTCTCCCCAAGCTGGGAATGCCACCCTCCCCTCAGTCAGCCTCAGCTCTTCACTGCCCTCTCACCCAACCCCTCTTCCTTTTCTAGGCCCCTGGTCCTGGAAAGGCTTCTGTTCCCTTTGAGCCCTCTCTCTGCAGAGGGAACTCCACAGAGTGATGGAACTGAGCCCCAGATCTCCTCCCAACGTTCTGCTTTGGGTGAGGGTGGCAGTTCATTTACATCTTTGGGGATGCATTTCTTGTACGTGTTTCAAACATCTAACTACCCTCCGCTTCCTGGTCCCTCCAAAGGCCCAGACTGGAGAAAGGAGGGACTCACTCCTTACCACGGCCATAGGTTTACCTTTCCTACTTGGTTTCTTTAACAAGCCCTTTTGATCCAACTTCACAGCCACCATAAACACGCACACACAGGCATGCGCCAGGATACGTGACAGATAACCCAGATATTTCCCCATTCATCACCCTCCATCTATCTAATGGTCTTCTCGCACTCATCCTCACGCTCCCCAAGCCCCGCCCTTTGGCTCCCTTCTTACTCCCCTTTTCGACTGATTTTGCTTACATGAAAGGCCTGTATCTTTTTATCACTGGTTCTCAAACAGCTTAGCATGCCCTGCTCTTCCCCCACCTCTCCAGTCACTATCACCTCTAAGAAACCTGAGCCAAGCGATCATTCAGCTGTCATTTCAGCATTGTGTCTAGGCACTGGAGAGCTTTGAGCCATCATTCTGGCTGGGAGCATAGTAACAGTCTCAGAGTGGATGACACCATGTGTAAGCCCTCCAGTGTGTGCTCCGAGCAATTCCTGAGAGAGACCTCCAAATCCTGCTTCATGGGAAATCTGCTGATCTTGCTGCGAATTCATTCATCCACTAAATGACTTCATAACCATTCCGGGTATCAAATAGCTCCCATTTGGTGGTTTAAAAGTTGTGCCAATGGAAAATTACGGGACATGTTGCCCACAAAATCAGAAAAATGTAAGGGTCCGCTGTGTGTTTTCTGATACATTACTCCAAATTAACCAAGGAAAACTGTTATATGAGGTAACAGAGTAAGCGCAATGCAGCAGCGCTCAGAGAAAACATTGTTCCCAGTTACGAAAGCTCAGCTCCACTAATGTGCTCCTTGCTACTGTTCATGACAAAGACAAATCAACTAGAGTAATAAGTAGCTCCTTGAGTTTCCAGCCGAACTCCGGGATTGTACTCGATGCTGTACAAACACACAGTAAAAGCCAGTCTTTGCCCCAGGGAGCTGAGAGGCCAAATAGACAAAGGATGGGAGAGAGTGTAAGCAGTGCCACTTGACAGATAGGGAACGGGAACCAAGGCAATGCTCCAGGTCACACAGGGAATTTGTGGCAGAACCAGGCACTGGACTCAGAGCTCCGGAGTCCCAATCCAGTGCCTTAGCTAAAATGACATCTTTCCTCCCTATACTGCAGCATCACTGTTACAAGCTCTATTATTTGGAGCATTACTGTAGGTCATGTTTTTGAAGGAGCATTCCCTTGCTGACAGTATCATTAAATATAGCAAGTTTATTTTATTTGTTGTATTATCTTATTATTCCATTGTCTGATTCATTATTGGGACAGAGATCATGCAATCTCCTGGACAAGCCATATTGAACTAAGTTAAAGTGTCTTCAGAGGTCATGGCTTTAAAATGCAAATGTTGGGCTGGTATGTAGCATCTTTTAAGGAGGAGACAGGACTTAGGTAAACACTGGGAAGTGTCATGTGCTTCCAAGGACTCTTGAAAACAATGGAGCAGACAGTCTGAACTTTTAGCTGAGCAAGGGTCCCAGGAAATACTTGGGATGAGGGCAATACAAATGTCTCACTTCAGGGCCATCCTTTGGAAGCTGCACCTTGAAGAGAAACCCATTGTGTGGCTCATTACCTAGTCACAGTCTCTTCAAAGACCCAAGCTGGCTAAAGGAGGGACTCAGTCACTCATGGGGGAGCTAGTTCCAAGCAAAAGCTGTTCTGAACTGGTGACCACAGGAAACGCTCCTGGGTAGGTGTTGGAGGCCTAATCACCAGCCAGAGCCCTGGTTGGAGTTAGGGGCTGATCTCCAGGAAGCTTTTTAGCATGCAGGTAGGTTCTTGTATTGTTTTTAATGTGTTTTCTCTGTAATGGTTTTACCTTAACACTAAAAGGGCTTGCTTAGAAAGAGCTGTGTGATAACGTCTAACTGGGCCATTGCACTGTCTACTGCCTCTGAAGAGAGAAGAGAAGCAGGCCTGCTTAGGCAGGCTGCCTTCTGCTGGGAATGCCACAGTATAGTCAGGGGACTGCACAGCCTGGAAATACCCTGGTCGGGTGGGACCCTTGTCTCCACTCAAGAGAGTTGACCACAGAAGGGGAATACAGGTGCAATTGCCCTGACTTGTGATGATTATTTACTATTTGTATTAAGATAGCACCTAGCTGCCCCAGTCAGGGAGCAGGACCTCCCTGTGGCAGGGGCTATACAAACAGAACACAAAGATGCCCCAAAAGAGTGTACATTCTAAGTCGGTCAATTATCACTAACGTGGTCACCATATAATAAAGTAAGTTGGGCTATTTCTTGTTATTTCTCTAGCACATTTGATCATAGAAAATCTATTCTTATTTGTGATTATTGGTCCTAGAATAATCAGTTTTATTTGGTCTTTTTCACTCATCTCTGTATCTAAAATCCCAGAGTAGGATTTAAAGCAAGAAATTTGAAATTGGCTTTTAGAGCAGCCTGCTCTGTGAATGTGATAATAGTTTAACACAACTGCACTGGAAGAATGTCTGGCCTTCAACAACTGTGGTTTCCCTGTTTTTAGAGCCTCAGTTCGGATGTCTTCCAGTCCGGGTACACAGCCGCAAGGAGCGTGTTGGCTACGAGAAATGTGCTGTGGGTATCTCTGGTGTTTCTGGTAACCAGTTGTATTCCATTTCAGGATGATACAGACGTCAATATTGAATGCATGAATGAAGAAAAGCGCCCCAACAAGAAGGTGTGCAATGTTAGCTACCCCTTCTTCCGAGCCAAAGCAAAGGTAAAGATAGTTTCTGTTATTCGACCTGGCAAGTCCAAATGAAATATCCTGCCCAGGGGGCACTCCGACCCCTCCTCTTTGGCCGCAGAAAGGCTGCTGGCAGCAGAACCCGGGTGGTGCCACAAAGTGGGCAGGGGGCATGGCAGCATTTGGGAATGATGAGCAAAATTATTCAAAGACTAGTATTTGCTTTCTTTTCTATTTCAGAATGCCGCCAGTGTTAGGGGACAATAGGTCAGCTGAGAGGTTTCAGCAGCATAAAAGTTGCATTGAATCCTAGCAGATCTTCAGGCAGCCAAATTAAAACCAGTCACATGGAGACAAAGAATTTGACTTTAATCCTTTGGCACAGTTTAATGTTGGCTTTCCGATCTGCAGCTGGTAACTTCTCACCAGAGTTCCTGCCTTACAAAATGAGTCACCTTTAACTGGTTAGGTAGAGCAACCTAAATTCTTCTCTCTTTCATTTCAACCGGACCCTCTGCCCCCCATTCATCATACTGGAGATGTTCACATGAATTTGTGCAAAAACAAAGAAGAGAGAGAGACAGAATGAAGGAAACCTCACTAGTAATAGTTTGGTGAAGAGCGTGTCGTGGTTAAGGGTGTTTTCACTGGGAGCAATTTCAGATAAACTCTTCGGTATCATTCTTTTTAACCCTATCAATTCATTTTAGTTCTAGATCAGCTAATATTTTAGAAACACGGATCAAACATTTTAATGAGCGTTAACATATAGTTAACGCCTCCTTAGTTAAAAGCCAGTTCATTATATATGGGCTCAAAGACACACCCCACTTGTTGTTATTCAAATAACACTAGCACTAAAAGGGTCCAACTGAGATCAGAGCTAAGCTCTGCACATACCTGCAATGAGGGAATCCTTGCACTGAAGATCTTACAGTCAAAGTTGACAAGACACAGGGTGGGAGAAAGGAGGTATTGTTATCCCTATATGACAAATGAGGACAGGAGTGGCAGAAGGTCCCTAAAAGTGGGGGAGGCCAGGTGCCTCCCTCCATTGCCCCTGTACCACCCCTTCTCCCAGAGCCCCCACCCTCCTGCTGTTCATTCCCTTGAGACCCTGCCCCCACCCTGCCCCTTCCCCCGAGGCCCTGTTCTCGCGTTGCCTCTCCCCCCACTAAGCCCCTCCCCCCACTCGCTCCTCTCCGCCCCTTCCCCCCGTCGCTTGCCTTTACCGATGGTAAAAAGTGTGCAGGGGGGCATGGCCCCCTGGCTCTCCCTGTTCTGGCACCCTGGATGGGGAACTGAGGCACAGAGAGATTAAGTAATTTACCCAAGGTCACATAGCAAGCCTGCAGCAGATTCAGGAAGTAAACCCAGATCTCCAGTCCTGTGATTTTACCACAAGTTCCATTCTGACAGCTGAGTATCCCTGGACTTGGAGGTTTTCAAAAGCCAAAATGAAATCCCGATTTAAATGTTGCAATTCTCAGAATGAGCTGAAGGAAGATTGTGGATATGATTTTGCATCTGCAGCCAAATTTCACATATCCAGTGTTTGTGGCACATTTTACCAATATGAATATTTTTCTCTTCTGCTAAACAAGGAACAAACTGCTAAGTTATCTTACAAAATAGAACGAATGATCTGGATGATGGGATGACACTAAGCTGGGAGGAGTGGTAGATGCGCTGGAGGGTAGGGAGAGGGTCCAGAATGACCTAGACAAATTGGAGGATTGGGCTAAAAGAAATCTGATGAGGTTCAACAAGGACAAGTGCAGAGTCCAGCACTTAGGACAGAAGAATCCCATGCACCGCTACAGGCTGGGGGACGACTGGCTAAGCAGCAGTTCTGCAGAAAAGGACCTGGGGATTACAGTGGATGAGAAGCTGGATATGAGTCAACAGTGTGCCCTTGTTGCCAAGAAGGCTAATGGCATATTGGGCTGCATTAGTAGGACCCCTGCCAGCATATCGAGGGAAGTGATTATTCCCCTCTGTTCCACACTGGTGAGGCCACATCTGGAGTCTTGTGTCCAGTTTTGGGCCCCCCACTACAGAAGGGATATAGACAAATTGGAGAGCGTCCAGCGGAGGGCAATGAAAATTATTAGGGGGCTGGGGCACATGACTTATGAGGAGAGGCCGAGGGAACTGGGCTTATTTAGTCTGCAGAAGAGAAAAGTGAGGGGGGATTTGACAGCAGCCTTCAACTACCTGAAGGGCGGTTCCAAAAGGGATGGAGCTCAGCTGTTCTCAGTGGTAGCAGATGACAGAACAAGGAGCAATCGTCTCAAGTTGCAGGGTGGGAGGTCTAGGTCGGATATTAGGAAACACCATTTCACTAGGAGGGTGGTGAAGCACTGGAATGGGTTACCTAGGGAGGTGGTGGAATCTCCATCCTTAGAGGTTTTTAAGGCCCGGCTTGACAAAGCCCTGGCTGGGATGATTTAGTTGGGGATCGGTCCTGCTTTGAGCGGGGATCAGACTAGATGACCTCCTGAGGTCTCTTCCAACCCTAATCTTCTATGATTCTATGAATTAGCATATATATCAACTCCCTGTATGTTATGTTAGAGGGAAAATGGGGTGACAGTCTGACGTGTTGGAATATAAAGAAGCAGGTCATGATAGAAGCTTTCCCAGACTCAAAACAATATATTAGTCTGAAACCTTTGCCTGTCAGAAGCTCAAAAATGATGGATGTGCTTCATTCACCTCTCTAGAATTTAAACCTTGCAATAAAGCCATCTTGTGTGCTCGTGGCCATAAAATAAAATGGAGCAGCCCGATTCCTCATGACCTACAGGGGCTAAGAATGCATCTGCGTGGCATCAGGTAGTTCTGGTCCTGCGAAAACAAAGACAAGCTGGAAATGGAAATTTGGCCCTGGGAGCGGGAGTAGACTTCTAATATTATAATCAGCTGTGCACCGATCCCAGACAGTTTGAGGTCTTTGCCATGTTTTTTTCAGATCTGCCATTAATGACATTTTATTGTTGTTGGAACATCTCTTTGGCACTTATTGTCCCCCGTCGGTGGAAACAATGCCTCAGATGTGAGTTAACTGTATGGCACAGTGAGCCTGATAGGCCTTTAACAAAAAGGATTTTTTGTTCTCTATTCTAAATAATAGTAATAATTTTAAACACACACACACACACACAAACCACAAAGTCAGTAGCTGTTTTCTCTGGAAAGATATGGCTCTGCTTGAGACCTGCCAACCTCTCTTGTAACATTTCATCAGTGATCTTTCTCCCACGCACTTTGTGACTGGCTGGAAAATTATGTTCTGCTGCGATAGGGTTATCAGGAAAGGACAGTGGCAGAGGGGAAGCTCGTGTCTGCGACAGCTGGATAACTTTTTATTTATTTAAGGTGGTTTTTCTCAATCTGTTTTTAATCTCCACAGGTGGCTTTTCGCCTGGATTTCGAATTCAGCAAATCTATTTTTCTTCAAAGCATGGAGATCTATCTAACTGCCAACAGGTTAATGATCGCATTATTTCTCTGTTCCCTTTGCACATATTTATCACCTTTATTTTCTAACTAAATACAATGCTGCCTGCACAGATCTCGTCTTAGAGCGCCTGTCATCTTCTCCCTCCTATTGCAGCTTAACTGTCGATGGTTTTCACTTCTCTCCCTTCATCCCCATGCAATGGCAGCCTGAGATTTTTAATTTGAGGGAGTTTGGAGGGCACAGATACTCTATGGCTTTGTTCATAGTTGACAAGAGCCTGCATTTCAATCTTCAGTATCTATTAGCATCATGCAGCAAAGCTGGCAACCTCTGCTCTAGAGGCACCCTGGGCATAGCATATGGAAATGAAATTACCTTTGGCTGTTAGAAAATATGTAGCGCTGTACTTGTAAGTCATGGCTCGCTCGCTCGCTCGCTCTGTATAGATGGTTTGCTTCAGCTGCCAGCAATATTCCCGGGTGTGTGGATGAATAGAAAGTGACACTTGCCAATGCTTTTCATTCAGCTACTTTCACAAACACAAACACTCCCCGTAAAAATACTTTATGCTTGTAAAGTTCTACTCACCCACTTGCCCAGCATGAGTAAATTATTTTGACAGGCAAGTAAAATCTGATTAGGGTTTTGTTGGTTTGTTTTTGTTTGTTGTTTCCCGTATCAATCATCATGGCAAAGGGCAGTGAAGGAGATTTTGTGCCTGGTCTAGTAAATGTACATGACAATTTTTCAAGGCTGCTCTGTGCTCTGAGGAGGGTTTGTGTAGCCGAAATTCACTGCCTTGACCTGGGAAAAGTTACTAAGGAAAATCTGCTCCTGTTGGCTTGTTCACCAGTAACATTTTTCTATGACTTCCGCACACATTTACTAAGCATCTTCCAGAAAAACACCAGAGGGCAAATTCTGACTCATCCGGAACTGGTTTCCAAGGATATGTTTACATTGCATTGTAAACTCGGGTCTGTGGGACCCTGGCTTCTGGGCTCGGTGTTTCCAAACCCACGCACCAGTGTCTACACTGTCTTGTAAATCTGGGTTTACAGTTGCTGGACCTGGGTCTCACAGCTATGCTAACGCGTCCATACTGTGCTACTGGACCTTCTAACTGGATCCTGCAGCTTGAGTTGTGTCCACACTGCAAAACGACAGGGCTTGGACCTGAGTGGCAGCAGGACTCAGGGTCCTATCAGGATGCTAGGAACTGGGTCCTATGTGCTTGCTGACTTGAGTCAGACTGATTTGTGTGTGGATGGAAGTGGGGCTCGGGCTCAAACCTGAGTCAGAGCCTGGGTTGAGTGTGCAGTGTAGACATGGGTGCAAATCAGAGTCTGATCCTGTACCCACTGAAGACAATGGGCCTTTTGCTGTTGATTTCAATGAATGCAGGTTTAGAACCAGACACTGTACAACTGAATGAGTGTGTTGCCCCCAGAGGCAACCCAGTTTCCTGAACCTCAGTCAAATAACCTAGGTCTGCATGGAACATACCTAACTTGTATCATGCCCCTACCCTCTAGGGCCCATCCTCTAACACCACACGACTTATAAACCAGCTCTCCCACCATAGATGCCTTCATACCAGTATAACTGCGTCCATTCTATAGAGTTGTACTGATTCAATTAAATCATTTTCTACCAATTTAGTTACATCCTTAGATACATTAGAACTATCCTTATTAGCAGTCACTACCAGCTACTTCCTATGAGAGAAGATGCTTACCTGTTGCAAATTCTGTCTTCTACTCTAGGCAATCACACCCCAAAGCAAAATAAAACAGAATGGGAATTGTGAGGTTATATGCTGGACTGAGACTCTGAAATGCCAGCAGAAACCAGGCAGGAAGAGGCCTAGAGAAAATTTTAGGCAGAAGCTTGACAATGAAACAGAGGAAGAGAGAGAGAGAGAACATAATTTCCCTTATTCTAATAAAGTTTCTTGTTCAATGTTAGAAAAAAGCATCTGGTCCTGTGATTCTTTACCATTTTCACAAAAGAGTGATGGGGGACGAGTTTCTTTTTGGACACAGAGTGCTGCTTGTTAGAAGTTCAACAGTTATTCTTTAAGATGTTTGCGTACCACTTTCCCAGCACAGCTGCCATAGTTATACATGTGCCCGCGATCTCACTGGCCCTGACTGACTCTCATTGCTGTTCTAGGTAATTGTCAGATTTGTGGCAAACACCGTGTGATTTAATTATTCGCTCATCAGGAGGCTTTTACTATGTTGTTAACCAATTGTAGTTGATAAAATAATAATATTTGGTTAGTCATTTTGCTGTGAGAAGTATAAAATGAAACAGTGAATTCACATGACTGTGGCTCTTTGGGGTAATGTTGATTGCTAATTTGGCTCCAGAACCACTGAGGTCTGAGTATCCCTGCTCTAGAGTTTAGGTGGAGCTTAATTCTTTGCAGAGTTTGTGAATCATGCCGTGTCAACAATAAGTGCCTTTTTATATGATCCTATCCCACCTGCCCTGCCTGGTGTAAGCGCCAAGGTGAAGGGCCTCTGTCCCCTGCCAAAATAGGCACAAGTAATTGCAGAATGTTGTTAATCTCATTCCCCTGCCTTCCTAAAAATTGATTGCACAAAATCAAAGCAGTTCCCTCTATTTTTTACCAACTCTGACAGTTCGTACGTGAAGAGATGGGCCCTAAGAAGGCCTTGTCAGCAGCTAGGGGCCATCATCCCATTTGGACTCTGTGCTGTGGAGTCAGCAAATTAATCCTCACGCCAGGGTGGGCTGTTTCCCCCACTGTGTGGAGTGGCCTAAATGCTGTTTTCCTTTGCTTGGCTTCCAGTGACAGCGAAGAACAGGAAAGTACCAAAGAGGATAATGCTGCTCTCCTGAATTTTCACCTGAAATACGAAGCCGACCTCCTTTTCACCAGGTTTGTGGTCATTGTGGCGGGGGGTTGATGAATTGGTCGCTGAGCAAATCTGGCCCAAATCCTGCAGCCCTTGTTCCACCATGATACCCACGACTCCCAGGGGTCCGTGTTTCCCTGCCTGGGGGGAGGACGCTGAGCTCATGGTTTGCCTGGAATTGTTCCATAGAAATGGAAGGGCTAAGACTCAGCTCCCTAAACTGGAGTCAAGGGTCTCCATGGGAAGGCTTCTTGCCTCTGCACTTCTGTCCACACGACCGCAGCTCCTCTGCCCTGCAAAGTGCTTCCGGGTGCTGGGTGTGGGGAGGGGTGTCCTGGGCGAGGCGCTCTGCAGGTTTGAGGGGAGAGAATCTGGCATGGGGGTGGCCAGCCCATGGTGACCACCTGTGTTAGATGGGAATGAGGGGAAACCACATGAAACACAAGGGACAAGGCCTTATTTTAAGGGCTTTTTAGGGAAAAACCATTCCCCATAGCATATCATGTCTTTTTTCTCTGAAGTGTACATTTCTACTGCCCTCAGGTATACAATGCAATTATCAGGAGCTTCCACTGAATGTTTAAAATGGTACTTGTGATCAGGTTTAATACATTTCAATGCATCTTCAAATAAGGGACGGGTGGTCCCCCTAGCACAAATCAATGAAATAAGGGACCGTCCCTGAAAATAAGGGCCAGGTGGTCAACCTAGGCTAGTCCCATCAACAACAACTACCAGCCTGTAGAACAGGAAGACTACGGCTACCCTTGACTGGCTTCCCGGAGCTCTAGGAAAAGAGGGGAGCATGCCACAGAGGTGTGATGGATCCGCAAGTGCGGGCACCACTCTGCATTTTTGCCCTGGGTTAGAGCAGCAGGGTTTGTGGCTGCTCTTGGAAAGGCGAGAGAAGAACACAGGTTGGTTTCGAGGCCTGGCTCCTGGGTCATCCTGGCCAAGCTCTCTTGCAAGAGAGGATCCAGCTCAGCAAGTTGTCGGCGCTGCGGTGAGGGTGTCATAATGCGGCGTAACAGAACAGGCTTGGGAGGCAGGAATGGCTGACGGCTACCAACGCCGAGAAAACGAAGGGCTGCCGCGAGTGAGGCCAGAATGTGCAGCTGGCGGCGGCTTTGGACACCCGCTCCTGTGCGCACAGCTGCCCTCTCCGGCCAGCCCAGATGTGCGGGTGTTTGTGCAGCTGCTGCTGGTTGCACATGCAGAGAGGGACGTGCAACAACAGAGGCTGCACACTCTGCACGTGGCATCCGAGCCGCCAGTGTCCAGTTGCAAGCTTTCTCTGTGATACCATCTCACCACGCAGTGCCTTTGGGCGTCAAGGAGCCCCAGTGGGGTTGGGGTCGCCCCCTACCACACCCTGGTGAAAAGCCTGTGGATAACGAATGGAAATGCTTGGAGGAGGGTCTCCCCACACCTGCCTTCCTATGGCCTAATCCTGCACCAGACTAGTCAATGGGTGTGTAGGCATTGCCTCAATGGGGGCTTGGTCAGGCCCTTAAAGCGGGGTGGAACCGGGGCGGATCTCTGTGAGGGAGCTGTGGGAAGCCATGGGTGGCCATGGAGTTGACACAGAGGCACAGATACCGGAAAGGATCCCCAGCGCTCCTAGCTGAGCATTTACCCAGCGCTCATCACTGCAGCGGGTGAGCCCTGCAGGACCCAATGCCTGTACCATACAAGGTCAAACTACCTCCGCTACAACGATCCAAGCTTTTGTGAGCTGCGGCCCTTGGGCTGTTACCGTGGTATCTTCCCTTTCCTCAGTCACGTGGGGCGGGAGTTCGCCCTATCAGCAGCGCCTCTGTCGCTGCCTGCTTAGATTTGTTTGAAGGGCATTCCCTGAGCCTGTTTGGAAAAGAAGCCCCATCTGGCGTGGGCTGTCGTCCACGCTTCAGAGAAATCTGCAAAGGAGATTTTTGATTTTTGCTGGACTGAATAACAATGGTACAGACGCAACTCCGTTTGGTAGCATCAAAGGGGCTACCCGTTCAGGGCTCCGGGCTTTGGGTTTTCTGCTTGCCGAGAGAGTGCTGTAGCGTTACTCCTGACTGGAGCGCGATGCGGCCATTACTTCATCGCTCCAGCGCTGCATAGTGTACGTCTGAATCGGGACCCTTTGCATCTTGCCGAGAGGACCAGGCTTTCCCTACTGATCCGAGTGCCACCGAAGCCAGGCAGCTGTTCCACTTGTTTCGGAGGGGAAACGCAGCTATTCCCATGTGAGCAAGCAGGCCACAGATGGACAGCAGTGGTTTGCCGTGGAGGAGTTAACACACTCTTACTGGGTTCTTCTTCCCAACAAGTCATTTCAATGAGGGTTTCTGGGGTATTTAGATTCCTACTTTCCACCCGTATTTTTCCTCCCAAGGTGAATCTCTTTCCAGTGACGTCATTGTGGTACATTATCATTTAAAGATTACAGTCCAGTTTTCTTCTACTGTGAGGCGGTCTGGAATACAGATATAAATGAGGCCAAGGTGATAACTCACCGACATTCCAATGCAATTCATTCTTCCAGCCAAACCACCCAGAGCCCTGCTAAATAGATCTCATGCAATATTTCGTAGCAGACTGATTAGACATATTCCATATGGCATGTGGTTTACACACAGGAAGGGAAAGCAATCTAAACAGAAGTGATTTGTATATTATTTAAAATCTGGATTGTGGGTGTTAAATGTTTTTAATTCATGTGTTGTCGAAAAAGACTAACTCACACTGTGATAAATACAGTATAAATGAGAGAAAAAGATTAGTTTGCACATGAAAGGAGATGTAATGTGAATGTTCATTTCTGAACACACACGTTGATTGCATTCATAAGAACGGCCACACTGGGTCAGACCAAAGGTCCATCTAACCCAGGATCCGACAGTGGCCAATGCCAGGTGCCCCAGAGGGAATGAACAGAACAGGTCATCATCAAGTGATCCATCCCCTGTCGCCCATTCCCAGCTTCTGGCAAACAGAGACTAGGGACACCATCCCTGCCCATCCTGGCTAACAGCCATTGGTGGACCCATCCTCCATGAACTTATCTAGTTCTTTTCTGAACCCTGTTATAGTCTTGGCCTTCACAGCATCCTCTGGCAAAGAGTCCCACCGGCTGACTGTGCGTTGTGTGGAGAAATACTTCCGTTTGTTTTAAGCAATTCCTCATTGTAAAGTATGGGTGCGATGCCCAGGACCGGCCACAGATTACAGCTATAAACGCGCTGAGGGACAACATTTGTGAACTCTTTGTGTCAACGCTCAGCTACCCCGCTTTAGCCCAGGAGCACTGGGTGCAGCTCAGCAGAGGGAGGGGCAGAAAGGTGACCACCCAAGTGCTCCCTGATCTGGGCCAGTCTCCCAGCATAAATCAGAGCAGTCTTCAGGGTGTTCTAATGTACAGTGGCTGCAAATGCCTACAAGGAGCTGTTGTGGCAGCCGGAGGCCTAGAGAAGGCCTGGAGTGACCTCCAACCCCTGCAATAAGGGTGGTGTAGGAGTTACTAGTCTGGCTTTGTGCCGTGGAATTTTTCCTATGGCAAGCCGGCTATAGGGCCGCTGTGTGCCAGCAGCCCAGTGTAAACAGCCATGGCAGAGCTCCCCAAAGGTGAACACCTTCTCTGTTTGACTTGGGTTCCATTAAAGCCCTGGCCACGCGACCCGCTTTTAAAATTCACTAGCCAGGTTTACATTCACGTGCCACAGGTTTGAAACCATGTGTAGCCCAACTGGCAGGGATGTTCACTAGAGATCATTAAAATGGGCTTCGGGAGAGAGGCGTGCGGCTCTGACAGGAAGGATGGTCTAGTGGATAGGGTGTTAGTCTAGGAGTTCTGGGTTCAAATTCAAGCTCTGCCTAAGGTTTCTGCTGTGATCTTGGCCAAGTCATTAAGGGTCTGATTTTTTAATGTATTTAGGCATCTAATTCCCACTGAAATCAATGAGAGTTTGGCACCCAAATATATTTTAAAATGTGCCTAAATAGCTTTAAAAATCAGAGCCTACTAGCCTCTTGTGAGGATAACACTGAAGATTGTGAAGCACTCAGACACTATGGTAATGGGCACCAGATAAGTACCTAAGGGTACATGTACACAGCAATAAAAAACCCACAGCAGCACATCCCAGAGCCTGGCTAGCTGACTTAGGCGGGGAAATGTGGGCTGCGGGGTTAAAAATAGCAGTGTAGACATTCAGGCTTGTGCTGGAGCCTGGGCTCAGAGACCCTTCCCTCATGCGGGGTTTCAAAGCCCGGGCTCCAGCCAGAGCATCTACACTGCTATTTGTAGACCCACCCGCGTGAGTCGGCAGACCTGGGCCTCGGGACTCTGTGCTGCGGGTCTCTTATTGCAGTGTCGCCCTCCCCTAAGATAAGGCAACATGGTAACCCGACTTTAAAAGCAGTTTCACTGACATAACCCCAGGGCAATTTGGATGTATTTACTCTCCCACAATAGCCAGCGAAAAGCCACTGCCTTGCAATGGAGCATTTAATCCCCTTTACTGTGGCTCCCGTAGAAAAGCATTATTTTACGTCGTCTCGATGACAGCTTAACTATTTTCCGAAAGGGCTCAGCTTTCCACTACTGCAGACTAGACTTGAGCTTTGGTTTTCAGTTGAGAAAAAAAATATGAAGGAAACATCAAACCGGAGTCCCTCGGCAATAATGCCACTGTGCTCTCTAACGCTCAGTGGATACATGTAGAAATCGAGTGTAAAAAGCAATGAGGTGACGGGCATTTCATAATGTTTTAACACACAAACCTGCGTGTTATTAAGTATGTGTGCGTGTGATTTCTTTAAGAGAAAAACCACTTACTGGACACAATAATGTTCCTAGCATGTGTTACCAACCTCTGATGTGACTTCACATCCCTGTGTCTGGACTCTTAGTCATAGGATTTAAAATAATCTCACCCCCCACCAAAAAAAAAAAATTTGTGCAAGAGAATGTGCAGAGGATTTTATGCAGCTTGTTAAACCAATGTGTCTCCTGGGTGTGAATGCAGAGTTCAAGGAGAAAAGTGAGCTAAAGTTCAGATGACAATTTATTTACACGATTAGCAAAACGCAGCATATATAAGTACATTCCGTGGCTGCCCCCTATCCGGGCTGTAATTTCTACCAGATTTTGGAATCTTTCTGCGATTTCTTATACTCCAGCCAGTGGGGCCCAGCAAGCAAAGTCACTTTATTCCTTGTGATTTATGAGACTGTTTCTTTTCACTCCAACAAAGATGCAACTGCCAGAACCATCCCACGAGCACCGAGAACAAAAATGTTACTCTCTGGTCCCACTAAAAAAGAAGGAATCTTTTCAAAGCCATTGTAAGTTACTTGTTGGCCAAAGGCTTTCTGCCTGTGCCCCAGTACGCACACACCCCAGTGAATGCAGAGCTGCACACCGGATAGCAGAGATTCCTCAGCTGTGGTCTGTGGCAAGCTGGCTGGTCACATGGCGCTGGCTCCTTCCTGGGGGATCAGCTTCTAAATAGTTATTTGATTAGTTGATTTATATTTATACACCATTGATATCAACGTCCAGAATTCTTGCCGTATTGGGCCCTGCCTATATGTATTAGCTAGAATAATTAACCAGCTTCCTATATTAAAGTGATACAGATTCTGCCAGTGAATTTGCTGCTGATGAAACTAAAGTCTAGCACACCAAGGTGCCAAGGGAGCCTGTCCACACGGCCCTGCCCGGGCACCTCACTCTGACCCGGCCCCTGCCGGCCCTCGAGCGTTTAGCACCGTTAAACGCTGGGTGCTGTGGCTCCTGGCTGATGAATGTCGGGTGCTAGAGTCCTCTTGTTTCTGATTGGTTGTTTTGCTGAGACGTGACGCACCCTCATCCGTTGTCACGACAGGAGTTCGAGTCTGGACTATTATGAAATCAAGTCAAACAGCTCCCTGGAGAGGTACGACAGCATCGGCCCTCCCTTTCATTGCACATTTAAGGTAAGGCAACATTTTCAAGTGATGGGTCAAAATACTTGCCTTGTGTAGGCCCATGGATCAATCTTCAGTTAGCCAGGGCGCTGCCTGGGTGCTGGCACCCAGCACAAGGGGGACTGGCCTGGCACACAGCGCGCCAAGATCAGGGGAGCCCTGGCTGAGCGTTGGGCCACCTCTGACAAGGCTGCGTGCTCCCAGGCAGAGCAGAGACTCAACCTCGCCATTAGTACACGGTGCCCCTTTCTGACCTGAATGGCTCCTTGCAGCTCGCCATGTCTGTCATCGCTGAAAGACGTGAGAAGCAAAGATCTGGCAGGGTAAAGCCTATAGCCTGGAGGAAGCTGTGGCTACTTCTCTCTGGAAATGAGTTCTCCCTAACCCAAGGGCCCTCCTTCACACCAGCCCTTCTGGCTCCGCGCTGCTTTTGGGGCAGATTTTCCACGTGCTGGTTTGGAAAGCCTGCTCCCCACTCGTCCCAGCATACTTCTGCTCCCCCACTCGCCAGGCTTCAGAGCCCAACCTCCTCCACAAGCCGTAACATCGGCAGGGCTGTTTGTAGTCGTGTCAGCCCAGGGTGGGCAGCTTGCTGCCATGGGCTGTGTAGACACCTTCTGTGCTACGGTGACCGTCTGCAATGTGGGAAGAATAGCACTTCCCTACCTCTCGGGGGTGCTACAAGGACAGTCAATTAATGGTGACCAGACATCATGGTAACAGGGGCCAGATAAGGTCCTAAAAGAGAGAGATGATTGATTTTACTACCAACATACCCTCAGTAAACAACCGGTTGCCTCACCTGATAAAAAACGTAGTGTTCCAATTTAGGTCCATCTCACAACAAAAACCCACCAGTTATCCCTGAGCAAAGAGCTTGCAACTGACAACTTGCTCTTTCTCACCTGGTACAAAAAGGTAATGCTCCTCGAATGCTGATTCCCTGCGTTAAAACAGTCTCTTTTCCATGTTACAGCTGCACAATCTGGGGTTCTTTCCTGTCGACGGTGTGACTATCAAAATCACAATCCCAGTAGCCACAAGAGGAGGGAATCGCCTTCTGCTGCTGACCGACTTCATTGTGGATCAGGTAGCAGTTTTGATTACTTCCACTTTTGGAATGGTTCCAGGAGCTGCCCTTTGAAATATTTCCTTTATAAAGTCTCTTACCAGCGCTACTCTGAGCTTCCCAAATGCTTAACCATTTCCACTCAGTCCATGGGGATTCACAGTAGGCAGCGAGATGAGGCTATAGACCTCCATCCCATATATAGCCAGGAGACATACTTTCATGTGCTCTAGAAAGTTGGTAGATGCTGTTATATTCATATCCTGGTAGTGGGTAATTATTTTCCTTCTGTCAGTTCACCTTAAGTGTTAATAGTCATCTTCTCGCTTATCTGAACCCAATTATTTAACTCTTTGGCTCTTCCGTACACTCATGGACTTCTTCCTTCCACATTCCTTTGGCTGGGAAAGTGGAAAGTGGTAGCAAGCCACCGGTTTAATCCGCGCCTTGCAAGGACTAAACCTCCCACTAGCATTTAATGACTTCTTGCTGGTCTTGAAATGATTATGTTTTGACTGGGACATCTGCTGGATCCTGAATGACCACAAAATGGTGAGAGAGTTCAGGGGCAGATCACTGGGCACCTTGTGTATAATTTTCCCTCTGCAATGGAGGATATTTCGCACGCTCTCTAAGAAAAGACAGCCTTGGCTGAGAGACAGTATGTCAGTGGATATTTTAGCTTCAATACCTGTTTTTGTAGTCACAGCCCTGGCACGCTTGCCCTGTCACACACACCAGCACACGTGGACAGACGTGGATGTCCCAGTCGGCGGGAGGTATTACTGATATAGAACATACGCTCTTGGGAGGACACAAATTCATCTTCCACTTTGGAACTATACCTCCCACCGCCACCCCGGGATGAATTTTTGTTAGTAGAAAAGAAAAAATATTCCATGATCCTCGACAAACCTGTGAAATTGAATTCAAAGCCACTTGTGGGTCAAACTCTCCCAAAGGGCTTACTCATAGCTGGCTCATTTCAGTGAGACTGTCTCCAGCAAGGAAACAGCTCCTGGAAATAACTCTGTGAACTAGACAGGGTTGAGGAGAGCTGTTAACCTTTTAATTAACCTTTTAATTAAAAATATATTAAACGTGTTAATTAAAAATGAATTGCTAGTAGTGAAAGCCACATGCTGTCCATTATAGCTTGGGTTTCAGATGCTCCTTCTTAACTTCTGATTTCAGGGCTACACTTTCCATGCCTGAAGATCTGTGACATTTGGGTACCTAATGAGCTAAGAGACTTGTTCTGTGGCCACAACTGACCATGTTGTTTTCAGACAGTAGCTGTCATTAGAGAATAAGTTTGTGTCCATGTTCAGATGTGAATGGATAACAGTAAAACTCTGGACTCATTGAGAGAGAGCATTTCCATGCTTTATTGCTCTCGACACGTTAGATTAGAGGAGAAGGTTTAGATAGAGAACCCAGCCTTCTGTGACACTTGTCACAGACCCATCCATGGACTCTGTATAGTGGAAGAGCAAAAATAAAACTGCCCTGAATATGGAAAGCCGTGGGGTGTGTTTGTTTAGTTCCTTTGGGTCAGTTTTAACATGAATTTCTTTATGTTTAACTGAATTTCTTTTGCCCATTGAAGGAAAATACGACGTGTAATATCTGGGGAAACAACACTGATTACAGAAGGACACCTGCTGAGGAGGACCTTTCCCGTAACCTACAACTGGTATGCCATTTGCATCGGCTTTTGCCTACCCTCTTGTCTGGGCTCTGTCTCCAAGGCACTCCTGCTCTGTCTTTGCGATTGATACATGTCTCCAAAGATAGCATGACCCTTGGGCTGAATGAAAGAAAGAGCAGAAGGGAGAGGGTGATCCCGTATGCACACAAGTTCTGGAGAAGGCCTCCTGGCTGTGAGAAATGTGCACTGTGTAATTGGCCAGGGTCAGTGTCTCCATTAAGGCCAGCCATTATTCAGGAGGTCAATGTCCAGTCCACCCACAGATCTTGTCTCTCCCCTTCGGAGGCACGTGCCAAAAAACATCACACTGCTGACACAACAGTGCTCGGCTGCTGGATCAGGTGCAGTTTGTGAAAGCCGTTTTGATGGTGACAAAATGACTCTTTCCAGCGGTGTGTTTGGTTTTGGTCAGAGATGGGCTCAAACTGAAAACACCAATCTGGGTCCCAAACCTCCCACTGCCTGGAGGCTTTGGTTCAGCCCATTGCACAAATCAGAACTGTCCGCTGGCTCCATCTTGTCTTCCCCGTCACATGGGAGCTCCTCACTCTCTCCTCCTTCCAGACCCTGCATGGCTCTGACCTAGCCTACATCTCTGCTCTCAACTTTCTCCTCCTCCTCGTCAGCACCCTTTTGTATCACTGCTCAGCTCCATGTAACCACTGTGGAATTAATCCATCTCCTCCTCACCTCGCTCTGTAGGGTTTGTCCACTTAGGGAAGGGATCTCGTTTGTTCTGTATTCCGTATATTGAAGGGCAAGCTGAACCTGATCCAACCCGCCTTGAAACTAGCAACATTCCCATTCGCTTCAGTGAGAGCAGGCCCAAGGCCCTTTATCAACAAATAACACAGTGTGTTTTGTACAGCACCTGGCACAGCAGGGTCCCGATCCTGAATGGGGCTGTTACCTGCACAAAATTCTCTCTTACTCAAACACTCTAGGGGCACCCACCTTTACCCAGTTTCTAGGGCTCAAGCATAACCTTCTGCGGGTTTGCAGGACCTTTTACCAGTGAAGAAGCCTTACACAGTAATATCCTTATCTTCTATTTATTAACAATTACCAAGCAGAATACACATGCTAAGAATATGCATGCTAAGCATGCAGTGCTATGCTCACCAATCCTGATCAGGCAGGTGGACTTTCCCTGTTGGCCAAGGTCATTCTCATCTGGATTCTGGTTGCTGCACGTCACGGTCGTGCAGAGGATTCTTAGCAGTTTGGATCTTAGGCTGTGTCTTGGAGGTGAGTTCTTCTTCTTCTTCTTCTTCTTCTTCCCGGTCTTTCCCTCTTCCTTCTCTGCTGGTCTCCTTCTTGGACCCCAGTTTATATAGTGAAACTGGAATCCTGCTTAGCTATACCTGAACCAATCATTATCCTAACATTTTACTAACCAATCCTAACATAGTGTAACAAAATTCTCTAACCAATCCTACCCCACCACCTTAATTAATGTATTATGTAACAGACAGAAACAATCAAAGAACCAGACAGAGCTCATACAGACAAACAATAGGGAAGTGGGGACCATAAAGATAAAACAATAAAGACATGAGGATTTCACAACCACAGCTATTGATAAGTGGTTTCTTGCCAGACAGAATGCTATCAAACAAAATTTTCTTTAACCATCTTAAGATCCGTTTCTTTATCTGGTGATGGTGGGGGCCATTAGGATGGGGTGTCCTTCTTAACAGCCAGATATTACATTGTTTTAATGTCTTTAGATGAAATATGAGGATGTGACTTTCTGCTTCTTAGCTAATGCCTGCTGCCCTGCTAACATGGCTGCAGACAAAGGCCTTAGGCCTCACAATATGGTGACAGGGAAACCACCTTATCCCTACAGGGCCTTTGGGGCCTGTGGCAAGACGTAGCATAAAATAATAATAATGAAATGGCAACATTCAGAGTCTGGGTCAGATTTCACTCCTCCCTCTTCCATGCACTGAATCCGAGACTGTTCAGATCCAGGATTATGGCACAAACCCAGGCTCTCAATGCTGCTGTTTGATTTCAACATTTTGGTTCTTGTTTATGACCAGAAAATATTTCCGCCTCCCTTTTTCTCCCCGAGTGTGAAACGAGCCAATCAGAGCTGGGCTGCAGTGTCTTTTCATTAGTACCAGGGGAGATATTTCTTGAATTATGCACTATCCAGAAGGAGAAGGGAAGCCTGGCCACATGTGACGGTAACATCAGCGACATGCAAACATCTGCTTTTTCAGAACCACAGTAACTCGGACGTCGTGTCCATTGACTGTCATGTGAAATTAGCATCCAATGAAGAAATCAGCTTTCACTTACGTGGCAATCTGTGGCTGGAGTCGCTGAAAGCAGTAAGTACAGCAACCGTCACTGTGCCGACACCGCCATCAAACAGAAAGAGCCTCACAGCGAAGCGTTACAGGGCAAACAGATTGGTCTTCTCCCGAGCTTTCTGCCTGTCCCAGGGAGCACAGACGATTTATTCAGCTACAATTAACCCTCCATCCTAATCTGAAATCTCCTGAGGCACCTCACCATGGAGAATGTAATACTGAGCCTTACACTGCCCGTTTCTTCTTCAAAGTGCTTTGCCATCGTTACCTAGTTAATCCAACACCTCTGTGCGGTGGGTAGAGGCTGAGGTCCAGGGCTCACCTTATGGCTGGTGTGGACTGGCCCAACTCTATGACGTTAGTAGAGATTCCCCTTCTCGCCCCAGATCTGAATTTGTCCCATAGAGACTAGGGGACACTGATGTCAATAAAGCTCTGCTGATCTACACCAGCGGCCGGTCTGGCCCAAGGCCACGTAGGGAGGCTAAGAACTCAGAGCTAGCACAGGGGTTACAGCCCAGTTCTTCCTGAGGTTCTTCCTATGCCCCACCCATCTCCGCCGTTCTGTGACGCCCACGCGCTAATATTCATTCCCCATGATGCAGCAGGTCAAGGGAGGGGACACCAGATCTCATTTGCTTCACCTTCAGCCTAGCCGCCGGGCTCATCAGCCAGGGCAACTCGGACAGCCAGATTGGTCCCTAGCCCAACATTACAGCCCCTCACGTTAACTGGCAGGATCCAGCCTCACTGGGACGAGTCCAGGAGCCTGGGAACCTGTCTCGGGGAATGTGCACTGGGGCATGTTCTGGGGGTGGCATCGAGGCAGCTGCTCAGCATTTGGACTGTGTCTGAGGAACAGCACAACTGCCTGCAGTTGGGTCAGCAATGAGCTACAGGGCCTTGCACCGTGACATCTCCAGCGGGGGCTCATAATGACCAAAAGCTGTTGCCATCTGACGGCCATTCAGAGGCCTGTATTACATGTTTGGTGGTCTCAGGCCATATCCCAGTGGACGGTGCCCACCCCACAAGACCCACCGTCACAGGTGTTGACAATCCCCCGCTAAGACCGAACTAGCCTCTTGCCCTTAAAGGTGGCTCCTCTAGATTCTGATGGGGCACATTGGCTGGGCTGAGGACACTTGTCCTGTCCCATGCAGAGAGCCAGGGAGTCAGTCCCCAGGGCTCTCGTCCCAGCCCTGTACACCGGCGCCAACCCAGCCCTGCGCTGCATGGCATTCGCGCCTCTAGCAAATGGTCCCCTTCCATTGCAGCTGCCCCTTTGGGACGTCGCCTGACCTGGGCTCAGTGTTACATTCTAGTCTCACGCTGGGCCTGGTGCCGATTCTCACCATTGTTCTGTCTGTGCAGCTGAAGTTCAGATCACTGAAGCTCACGACGAATGCAGCTCTGCAGCGACAGTTTCGCAGCCCCTTCATCTTTCGGGAAGAGGACCCCAGCCGCCAGGTGAGCTGCTTTAGCTCTTGAAAAGAACAGGAGGACTTGTGGCACCTTAGAGACTAACACATTTATCTGAGCATAAGCTTTCGTGAGCGAAAACCCACTTCATCGGATGCATGCAGTGGAAAATACAGTAGGAAGATAGATATATACACATATATACACTGCATGCATCCGATGAAGTGGGTTTTAGCCCACAAAAGCTTATGCTCAAATAAATTTGTTAGTCTCAAAGGTGCCACAAGTCCTCCTCGTTGTTTTTGCTGATACAGACTAACACGGCTGCTACCCTGAAACCTTTAGCTCTTGACTATACTCCCCAATGACGGGAGCACAGATATTTGCATTAGAAGGGAGGGGATGGAGAAAGCCCTAAGTGGGGCTGGACTGCATCAGGCTACCGTGGAAAAGAAATCAGAGCAACTCCAACCCAGCCAGGTGGGTAGGCTGGCCAGAGAGAGCTGGTGATTCAGAATAAGGCAGATTCAGGTGCCACCTTTCCCTACCCCTCAACCTTGGAAACCGACAGGACTCTCAGCTACCGGGCTGAAATCAGGGGAAGCTGCAGCCAGAGCTGCCATAGCCCCGGAGCTGAGACTAGCCATTGATTTCACAGGGCCCAGGGCAGACTGCCAGAGTTTTCCCATCCCCCAGATCAGCAGAGGAGGAAGCTGGGGGTGAGGCGAGTTACACACATTCCCATGCACACGCGCCCACGCTCCCTACCCCTGGCGACTGGAGAAAGGGGAGAATTAAGGTCTGTGAAAGACCCTCTGGTGCTCAGATACTGATGAGTGTCATACAAAACAGACTAGAAAAGAAAAGAACATTGCAGCCATAGCCGAGTCCAGTGTATCTGCCGGAATCCCTCGGTTTATTTAGCCGCTTACAGGCTGCACGTGCCCTTTTATAGGTATTTTCTTTGCTTTTGTCAATTTGCGCTTGAGCTGACATTTTTCAGGCACTTTGCGAATGGCTTTTGTTGGAACCAACTCCCCTCCACTCAGCTTTCCAGGCAGCAGGGCAGGCTGGGGAATCTCTGGTTGTTTCACCCTCGCAGCTGGTTTCTCTGAGTTATTTGGCCATCCCCACATTCCCGTGGAGCCCAAATGCACCAGTGTCTCTAGGACACAGCAGCTGGTGGCACAAAACAATAATGCCAAGGGGCAAAACTGGATCAAGTGCCCTGCCCCAGAAGACCCAGGGGCCTGGCAGAGGGGAAATGAGATGGCCAGCAATGGCAGGGATCAGTTCACGCGTGACACCGCGTGGGTCCATCTACGCTGCAGTTAGCAATGTGATTGCAGCGCAGGCTAAATAGCAGTGAAGGCTCAGTGGCCTGGGCATCACCACTGGCTGTTCGAGGCCACCCGGATCCCTGGGCATACACGCGCATGGCTGCCGTGTCGTCACTGCTGGTTTTAGCCGTGCTCGCAAGAGTAAAGCTGTCATGGGTATGCTGGCCACAGCTGCCGTCGCCCCTTTATTGGCAGCGTAAATGTACCCTCAGAGATGGGGGGGGGGTGCAACAGAGGACTCCACATAGTCCAGGCGAGGCCACTTGTAGCCACTGAGACATGCAGTGTGTCCTAAAAGCGGCCCATCAGGGACTCCGGTGGGTCTCTTCCAAAAGGCAGTTCCACAGACAAGCACCCTTGGAGGAGGACGCCCGGTCCCCAGACTGGGACTGCCAGGCAGGGCAGAGGGCCCAAAGCGATGCGCAGAGGAAGCGGGGCAATGAAGTGGCCTCCAGAGAGACTGTTCTGTTAAAAGGGGCTTTACCCAAACAGCCGTTGGGGGGCGGCTGGTTCATACTGGCTGAACTGCGTCTCCGGGGCTGAACGGCTGGAGAGTGTGGGAATTCCCTGATCACTAGGCTCAGGGCCTCATCCGCGGCCTTCAGCAGGCTTTGGATCAGCCCCACAGTTCCAGCAGCAGACGCCAGGCTGCAGTCCCCTGGCAGGGGAAGGGCTGCCTGGAGCGGAGACATTGCTGTGCAAGCTGCCCGTGCTCCCTGTTCCCACCAGGCCCAGAGCCCCGGCAGGGCTGGTTGGGAGGCTCCGTGCCAGGCTCCCAGGAGATGGAATCACTCAGTGTCTCCTTGGCAGGAACAGGCAGTGGGGCTGGATGATCCACGCCAGCCACCAGAGGGTCCGTGTGCTCTGTCAGCCTTCAGAGCTGCCCTCCCCCGGCGGTTGGCGGCAGCAGCGTTGCCATGTGCCTGCCCATGGGGAAAACTCCAGGGTGGCCAACTCTCATGATTTCATTGCAGCTCTCGCAGCATTTGGCGGTTTTCTTAAACCTCCAGCTCCTGGAGTCCTGTGATTCCGTGAGAATCTCAGCTGTCATTGAGCAAAACCAAATAGGTGTCAAGCCCTCATGGTCGCAGAGCAAAGCTTGAAAATGTAGCCGAAAGGGACGTGTTCGTCCAGCGCTGGAGCGTTTTCCCACGTGACCCCTTGCCCCATGGGGTTTGTATGCAGACGTGTCTGAGGCAGAGCCAGACAAGCCAGACTCCTGCTCCCACTAGGTCACCATGTTCCCCGCTGGGCCCAGAGAGAATGGAGCGCTGCTGCCCTCTGCTGGCTGCAGGCTTCATCTTCTAGCCAGTAGCCCTGCCAGCCATCCTGGGCTGCCACAGGCCCTGCAAAGGGATTAGAGAGATGTCTGTCCATCGCAGGAAACTCCATTGTTAGCCTGAGCCTCGCTGCCTACAGACACCCACATTCTAGCACCGGCAGCCAAGTGACAGCAAGAAATGTTCAGTCGTTCTTTAAAATCTAAGGCAGGTGAAAAAACTGTGTTTTATTGCATTCCGTGTCAGGCCCTGCCTGCAGCCCCCGGGTCCCACTGAGTACCATAGTCCCCTTTCAGTAGGGCCCTAAGTAGGGCAGATACAGCCTGGCAGAGCCGTGTGCCTGTTCCCAAGCCTGAGCCCCTGTGATCCTGTTACCTCCTAACTGCTGCCTCGAAAGGGGTGGACTGAGGTGCAGGTGCAGCTGGATTTGAGATGAAGGCCTCGTCTACCCTGGGGATCCCAGCTGTCTGCACCCACCCGCCAGAGTGGCTGCACCGATGCAAAGCCCTGGTCCACAGGCAAAGCTGCAATGTGCACCAGTGAACTGGACAGTGCAAGTTCTGGCTCTAGGCTAGGGGCTGGCACCAGTAAGCTAGTCTGCCGGCTGAAATCAGGGCATGTGCCAGGCGCAGAGAAGGCCTAAAAGTGGCATGCAGGGGGGCAGAATGGGGGGGGGTGGAGGGAAGCACTCTGCAAACCCAAGCACGTTCGTCTCACACAGCTCCCGCCTCAGCAGCCCCCATCAGCCTCCGGGGAGGATGCCACAGGGTGTGGCCTGGCCACAGGCAGGGCTGTCGACGTGCTCAGCGTTGGTGCTGACAAAGGGGATTCTGATCCTATTCCTATTGCAGATAACGTTTGAAATCTCCAAGCAAGAGGAGTCCCAGATCCCGATCTGGATCATCCTAGGCAGCACGCTAGGCGGGCTCCTGCTTCTCGCGCTCCTTGTCCTGGCTCTGTGGAAGGTAAGGCCAGTTTCCAGCCAGCACTCGGGGCAGACACGCCTCGTGCGGCTGGGACAAGCTGACGCCGTTTCCCTGCACTGTCATTATTCCTTTGTCATCGACCCATCGACATGAAGGCCAGAAGGGACCATTGTGACCTCTGACCTCTAGCATGACGGACCATAGAACTTCACCCACCTCCCGCCTCCTTCTTCCCCTTGATTCCGTTTCCTTTGGTGAAGATGTTGTAGCCTCTTCCTTCTCCCCAGAGCCAGAACCCAGCCCCACCCCACACCCTCAGGCTCTGTGCATCCCCCTGCACAGCACACTTGGGTTTGATAACTCAGGGCTGTAAACTAAAACGCCCTCCGCTGGAAGTCAAGGGACTCCTCCAGGAGGGACAAGCCTCAGATGCAACTTGAGTTCCCAATATGACCCCAAAACATCAACCAGCCTGCAACCCGCACTGCTCGGATGGCTTGGAAATGGTCACAGTCAGGATCAATGCCCGGTGCCCTGGAAGGGAGACAAGGAAGCCCCCCGTGCCCTCCACACCACTTCCTTGTCCCCCTTCTTTCCTGTTTGTGGCGAAGGCAAAGAGAACAGCCCACTCCCTAGCCCAGCTTTAGCCTCAACTCTGGGCGCAGATTGGGTTTCTCACCTCCAACTTGAGCTTCTGGGGCTGGGAGCAGGGCCACGCAGCACCCCAGGGGAGCAGGCTGAACAGCCATGTAAGAGGGACAGGGTCACGCTGTGTAAAGAGAGAGGAGCAGAGAGGCTGGTCCCTGGCTGCCAGGGATTTGAGCTGACAAACATCATCGAACTGAGTGGCCAAATTGCAAGCAAGGCAGAAGGCAGCGCTGTCGGGGAGTGAGACCGAAACCCCCGGAGGTCAGTGCCAGCTTTGTGAGCTGTGCAGACCGTTAAATACCCCCAGGCATAGTGAATTGCACTGGGAAACACACTGGACATCGGGAAGACAAAGGTCCCCTTGCCTGGCATACCCAAGAAACCGATCACATGGGATACGCCGGGGAAAGGGGACAAAGGCCCAAGGCCCCTGATGTTGTGCCCTGGAGATGAAGTCCCTTCCTGAGCCCGTGTTTAGGGATGGGTTTAAGTGTCTTCTCAGAGCTCGCACTGTGCATTGCAGTTGCTCTTCCCAGCAAATCTTTGATAAACCTACACCAAGTTTTGTCCACAACTAGGGCATGACTGAATAGATTGCACTTCCCGAGAGGGCCCCTTCTCAGGCAGGTAAGATCGCTGGTTAAACAGATGGGGTGCGGGCAGGCAGGTTTTGCTGCTCGTTGTCAAGCTGGAGTGGGAGGTTGGGGCAGGCAGAGCACATCCAGCCAAGGCTGCCCTGTCTTTGCTCCAATTTTCTGAGTATGTCAAAAATCCTGCTCCCATAAGTCTATGGCAAGACTGCCATTCGTTGTAATGGGACCAGGATTTGCCCTGTATGGAACAGGGGACCCTGGCATTTACAATTTACATGTAAACATTTCAAAAGAGCAGTAATCTGGGTTTGTGGCTCGACCCATGAAAAGACATAAGACACCCAACACCACATCCTGGGAGCTCTTGCCCTTCGAGCACCTACAGCGTGCATTATTGCTTTGAACACTTGAGGTGCTTCTTCCCCCGCCCCCGGAATACAAACCAGGGTTCACAGCAGCAGTGAATAAATGGAGATTCTTTTTCTGAAAGCTTCAGAGAAATCCTACAAGAATTTCTCACTCTCAAGCAGAGAGACTCCGACGGAGGCTCAGGAGCCGCAAGTGGCTCTTTAATATGTCTTCTGCGGCTCTTTGCAGCACATGATATCAAAACACCGTGACTTAATTATTAACCAATCAGGAAGCTTTTACTGTGTTATTAACCAATTGTAGACAACTTGGTCAGTCATGTTGCTGTGAGAATAATCTATACAGTAAAAGCTGCGTTATCCGCACTTCACCAGCCGGGAAGCTCTATTAACCGGCATTTCTGATATCGCCCACTACAAAGCTTCAGTCTCGTAACCGGGACTAGTCCGCTGCCCAGGAGGTTGTGCAATTGCACATTGTGCACTTTTATGTAAACGAGGCAGAAGACAAGCAAGCTGATATCAGGGCTTTATTCAGAAAAGCAGCTTCCAGGGTGTGTCATAGGGTCATTACACAGTCAGCCCAATCTCCTACACCTGCTGCCTCTACAATAATAACCGATGTTGATAATGACGACCCTGAGGCACTGCAAGATCCTGAAGTGCCTTCTCAATCATCAAAGATTCAATTATGTTCAGTATCGTTTTAGTGTTGTGTATTTTTAGTGACCTGGGTGTATGCCACGCAGCCCATAGTGATATGTAGTGGCCTAAGATAACCTACTGGATCGAAAACTTTACCTGCGTACACCTAAGTGCTTCAAGAAACCAACCACTCTGCCGTGCAGTACCAGTACTGGATTGGTGAATACCGGAATACCGTCCTGGATCTTATACTTCATTCATTTGATTGTAGTCTAACGCTTTGAAAATTGGTATTCCCTTGGTAAAGTATAACTCTCCGTTAACTGCAATATTTGATTAATTGGCACCCCTTATTCTCCCAACATGCCGGTAACAACGCTTTTCCTGTATATATTAAGTGAACCAGTGAATTCACACTCCTGTGGCTCTTTTGGGTAATGTGGATCACTAATTTGGCTCCTGAATTACTGAGGTCTGGGTATCACTGCTCTAAAGGAACAGGAACGCTCAGGTGCCACACCATATCTTGTAAAAAGCACATTTACTGATCGACTAACACGTTAAAACCAAATGATGAAAAACGAAAACCTCTCTGCCACGAGTGCAGGGGACTAGATGACCTCTCAAGGTCCCTTCCAGTCCTGCCATTCTATGATTCTACTCTCTGCCATTGATACTTCTGGCATTTCAGTCACCTTGGACAGATGAATCAGTTTCCCTTCCTGCTTTTCAAACACCAGCAGGTGCTGCAATGTTTCAAGGAAATTTAAATGCGAGCCATTTGAAAAGTTTTTTGCTGAATTTTTCTTTAATGTCAAACACATTTTTGTCATGATAAAATTTTCCAAACCCTTTTTATTGCCAACAAATGTAAATGTGGGCCCTTCACTGCCTGACAATATCCCTCTAAAAGAAACGCACTTCAACATAAGCCGCTGAAGTAATGGTGGGGTTGTGTTTTGTTTTTTTTTTTGTCTTTTCTTTAATTCCTACAGCTTGGATTTTTTAAAAGTGCCAGTCGCAAGAGAGATACAGAACAGGAGCAGAATGCCAAAGTATTCGAATGAGGCTTCCCCAGCGAGAGCCTGTGAAGCTCATCTATCTATCAACGTGTTCATATTAATTTACAGCTTACGGAGTATATGTTTGTCTTGATGCCGAGGGATGTGGGTGTGGAACTCCGTTTGCATCGAGATGAGAATACACCCCTTTGTGTGACGTTATCTAAATAAAACCCATTCGGTGGCTATATACCACAGGAGCACAAGCATCAAAAGGTACTTCAAACTGGTTTTAAATAGCTCTGTTCTGCCTGGCCACAGGCAGCTATGCATATCTGAGAGAGAGAGAGAGAGAGAGAGAGAACTAAGGGCAACAACAGAATAGGGGTGGTCGTTATGATTAATTTTTTTATGCTGGGGATTGCAAGTTTAATGACATGCTACAGATCTAAGAAACAAGCAAGCCAGAGTAATTGCGAGAGCTGTGAGATTAGGGTGAAATCTCAGGAGATTTACAGTAGCTAATTTTCATGTATAAAATCCCACTGATTAATTGCACCTCCTGTTCTTGAACTTCTTAATCTGCATTAGGGATGGGATTTGAGAGACGTTCTAGCTGAAAGACGTAGAAAGTCCAGTTCCCAACTGTTAAGCTGTAGCAACAGTAAACCTGCATTTATTCTTTGTTCATTGAAATGGCCTCACACACTGTGGGTAGTGCGTGTTCCAAAATAGTTTGAGGGAATGGACCTTGTGCAGAGCAATCTTTTGAGGCTGCTACTGCTACTAAACAATACTTTTGAGATACCTCATATTAAAGGGTAACATTTGGATTATTCAAACGGGGCGGACTTGTCAGTAAAATGCCACATGTGAATTCCCCACCTGCATGATTTGCCTGAGGAAATAAGATTTCTCCAGTGAGGAAGAAAGAGACTAAAAATCCTATCCAAATAGTGAACAGATACATTGAACAAGTTACACATTTGTTAAATTCATGTTGTGCATCAAAATTTAATAATGCAGGGTTCAGTGGAGCTCCCACTGAAGCAAAGCGGAGCTGGCTCAGGCCGTTATAAAGCCACAGATCCCCAAGTGTTTTACATTTTCTGAGTGGAGCAGTTTAACGGAGAGATTTTAATTTGCTTTCTTTTTAATGCACTGAAAACAGTTAATAGCAAATTAAAGCACCTTAATGCAAAACTTCAGTGTCCAGCTGTATATACTTATTCTGAAAATATTTACCTGTTTAAACACAAAAAAACATCAAAAAACCAGTTTGAAGTGTTTTCTACAAACTGTGCAATTTCAAAGAGTATACGTGCAACAGGAATCGGAATGTGTATTATAATTGTATATACTTTGTGTAATGCAGAGATGATCAGTGCTGTTTGACAAAAATCTTTTCTTTTGCATAATATAATTATTTATGCTAATATTAACTTTATGATTGAAAAGAAAGAAAGCAGATGCCCACCCGATGTGTAATAAAGTCTGTTAAATACTGTTTTAGTATTTTTTAAGGTTTAAAAATTCATAGTTTCAACTACCATTCTGTGCTAACCCATTTTCACCAATTACCATCTAGAATTGGACTGAATTGTTCACGTGCCTTTAGCATAGAGTGGAAAGCGGGACTATGATTATACTAGTTCTGCCTTTATTTATTTTGACAATAAATGTATTTTCCAGAATGAATATATAGAAGCCTTCTTTTAAAGGGACACTGTCAGGTTGAAAAAACTAAATGTTTACGCTTGCAGCATGAGTAGGGTGACCAGATGTCCCACTTTTAAAGGGACCGTCCCATTTTGGGGGACTTTTTCTTATATAGTCTATTATCTTCCCACCCCCATCCCATTTTTTTCACAGTTGCTATCTGGTCACCCTAAGCATGAGTATCCCATTGTGGGCCCATCTATACACATGTTGCAGGATCAGATCCTTTGGGCCTTATCGTTGTGTTAAAACTTTAGGTTATTTAAACTGAAAAACAAATCTAATTGACTTTTCTTGCGTTTTGCATTTCTCAGCTTGAGCAAGGGAAAGTCTAGTCAGTTTCATTATTTCTAGTCATTTTTACTTTCATGTTCTCCTGCACTAGCCCAAGCCTGTAATGGGGATGCAACTGCTTCAGGGAGTTGTGTATTTACGTCTGTTTCCACTGGCGATTTTAAACAAAGAATGGGACTAGCTATGTTAGTTTTAGGCTTTGTGAATGATTAGCATGGGGGTGCCTGTTTTACAAAACTGAATGGAGATTTTTGACCTGACATTGTCCCTTTAATTCAATATTAGATTGGGAATAGCAAATGTTTCCCATCACAAGAATGCATTTTCTTATTGAGCTGCCTTAACTAAAATATTGGCCATTGTACATCGTTTTTTTTTTCCCCTTCTCTGAGTAATCAATTTTCAGAAATCTTGCAAAATAATCATGTTGAAAGTATTTAAATGGAAGGCTGTGTAAAGAACATTGAAGTCATCACTTCATCCTCACACGACCTCTCTCTTTGACCAACATCAAAACCAACCAAAAAACCAACCCCAACAAACAAACAAACCAGTAGCTTGTTCATTTCAGATGTTGGTGACGAGAAAATTAATTTTCTTTTTCAAATCCAAAACTTTAGCTTATCATTAGCATTTCCGCCATATTTTAAATAACGTCAATCTACACGAAATAGAAAATACCTCCAGGTCAAAATTCACTGGGGCCTGATTTTGCACCATTGAAGTCAATTGGCACTTTGCCACTTCGTTCGGTGGGCACAGAATAAGACCAATAGTGAATAAGCAACAGTGTAAACAGAATACCCAGTATTGCTGTGGGTTGGGGTCTTTCCACTGACAACCAAACGGATGAAACGTCGCGACTTCGTATTAATTCTGTTCCTTAAAACAAAAGAAAATGATCGTCCGCTCAGTTCTTGCGTATACTATACTAATAATGGGAAAATAAAAGCTTTTCTGATGTATTCCACCAGTCTCATAAAGAACAAAAAGAAGCGCTACCATCTTCTTTGGGATTGCAAGATGTCTGGCCAGTGCCTCATTCTAATGAGCTGCATCTGAAGTTCACATTGCTCGTGTATATAGGAAAAGTTTCGCTGGCAAGTGCTAGTTACATGGTTAGCAAGTTTCCAATTTGATGGACATGCTTTGCCAAAACTTGCCTCTGCTGTAAAATATGCAAACAATGTGCTTGTACACAGGGTATGTAAATATGCTTTGAAATGTGCAGCTCTACTTTGTAACACTGAACTGCTGGGAAATACAATTTGAAGATTTGTGTACATGGTCTTAATGTTCAGCTTTGACTATTTATTTTTTCACATTTTCTTCTGTCGTGGTCCTGCTGAAATCAACTCAGCAAGAATTGGGCTGTCCCTGCAATGTTAGCAAATAGAATCTGGTTTCACGCCGCACCTTTCGTTCTCAAGGTGTCTCAGAAGCGCATGGAATGAAGTTACTGTTCAGAGACCAGTGGTGGAGACAAGCATAGTGGCCGTGATGAATGAAGCAACAGCTCATAACCTTTGTACGCCAAGGCCCCAGTTCTCTGGTCTGTTTGAGCAGGCACACAGAAGGGGCCTCTAAAGGGCTTGGTTGTTTTTTTGCATTGTCCGCAGGATATGTTAGAGCAGCCTTAATGCTGCGCTAACCTATTTTTGACTGCAGAGGCGCCCAGGGGGCTGTTGCATCAGTACCTGGAGCACAAGGCCATGCCCGCAGGGCGCCCTGCCAAGAAAGCCCCTTTGCTAACAGAGGCGATCTGCTGCTTTTACGGCCTTTTAAAGCTGCTGCACACCAAGGTCACCGTTAGCGTTTACACTGTTAGCTTTTCTCTTAAAACCCAAGCCAGCAAATGCTGAAGCTTAATGCAAATGCACAGTGCACCCCAGCGGTAGTAAGCAGCAGTCCGTTGGAGAGGTGATGTCAGGCTTTTCAAGCACAGCTGCCCCCCCCCCGCACCCCTTGCTGCCTGGCTATTGTGCCCACTTTGGTTCTGACTCTCCAGCACTTAGCTGGGTGCGTGCCGGGTGAACCCAGACTGCTGGTCTCACGTTCATAGGCAATGCAGGCTGCCCTAGCAGGCCTTTCTGTGTCTCCTCCTACTCTGTGCCGGTGTGTCTGGAACCCAGCCAGGCCTTAGCAAGCTGGCTGGTAGCTCCATTATTATGAGCGTTTTACGCCTACATTCAGTGCGCCTGGAGCTCTCCGGAGGCAGCCGATCATAGTGCCTGGGGGGGAGGGAAAGGCCTCCCTGCCACCAAGCCCCCCAGAGGGGCCCGTCTGCTTGCTAGGGATCGCCAGCCAACCAATGACCTGCAAGCTGCTGTTTGAGAGAGCAGGGACCGGACCCTGCTTCGCCCCAGAGAGTGCCCTAACCACAGCCTACAGGGGCATTCGCCTGCTCTTGCGGGCCCAAGGACTGCTCCAGCTTGCCTGGAAAGGGGACCAAACGTAACACAGCCGCTGGCCCCAGCAGGCCTCCAGCCCCTGTGTAACCTGGCGCACGTAATGAGGGCTAGCTCGCTGGGACCCCAAACCAGAGGTAGGCACAGCCACAGACACTGGTCCCCATCCTGTAACAGGTTGCCGCAGCTGCTGGGTAACGCAGTGAAGCAGGGTAACGTGTCACTGTACAGCAAACCTAAAGCAAGGGTTACGGGCCTTGGAAAAAACCCCAGTGTGCGCGGGGACTCCTGCAGTGGGCCATAACGTCTGGCAGCGGGCCAGTGGCCACATGGACCCTGAGCCTGGCCTGCACAGCCAGCTTTTCGCCAACCATGGGTGGCACATGACCCTCCTTCAGGGCAGCTAGACCCCCCCCGCCCACCTGAGCCCCGAGCTTCCCCCCCCCCCCGCCCCAGCTGCCCTGAACCCAGGCCACTGCCCGGCCTGCCCCAGTCACGCTGGCTGCCCCGACCCCTGGGCCAGTCCAAGCTGTCCCAGGCCCTGGGCGGGGACCATACCCTGGGTTAGGGGAGGCTTAGCCTGCCCTGGCCGTTGATACCCACCGCCCCTGCAAACATAGCCACTTGTCACACTGTCCACACAGGCATATCGCCTTCGTCACATGGGGGGGGGGGGGTTAAATTTGCGAGCCTGCCTAGTTGGCATGTGGAACGAGCTGTTGCATTTAATCATTGCCATGAACCAACAGGCCAGAGGGGGGCAAAATGTTTGCAGTTGACTAACAGACAACTAGGCCAGGGCGCCACGCTGTTCCCCGCCCACGCGCCTCTCCCCTGCCTCGGGACTAAATTTGTAATCCAAGTAGAGAAAATGGTTCCCATTTGTAACACAGATGCTCACCATGTGTCATCACTGGGCTGCATGGTGGTGGGAAAAAACCCTCCAGGCCTAGGGTTTGTCTACACAGGGCCTTGGCTACACTGCAATTGCACACCCACCAGTGGCCTGTGCCGGCTGGCACAAGGGGGCTCTTTGTAGCCGTTCACTCAGGCTGCAGCTGGAGCTCTGGGACCCCTGGGGGCACAGCAGGGGTTGGGTTGGGGTGGACACTGCAGAGTAGCAGGTTTGTGAACTAATTTGCCCTTAAAAAGAAAAGGAGGACTTGTGGCACCTTAGAGACTAACCAATTTATTTGAGCATGAGCTTTCGTGAGCTACAGCTCACTTCATCGGATGCATACCGTGGAAACTGCAGCAGACTTTATATACACACAGAGAATATGAAACAATACCTCCTCCCACCCCACTGTCCTGCTGGTAATAGCTTATCTAAAGTGATCATCAAGTTGGGCCATTTCCAGCACAAATCCAGGTTTTCTCACCCTCCACCCCCCCACACAAATTCACTCTCCTGCTGGTGATAGCCCATCCAAAGTGACAACTCTCTACACAATGTGCATGGTAATCAAGTTGGGCCATTTCCCGCACAAATCCAGGTTCTCTCACCCCCCCCCCACCCCCATACACACACAAACTCACTCTCCTGCTGGTAATAGCTCATCCAAAGTGGCCACTCTCCCTACAATGTGCATGGTAATCAAGGTGGGCCATGTCCAGCACAAATCCAGGCTTTCTCACACCCCCCCATACACACACAAACTCACTCTCCTGCTGGTAATAGCTCATCCAAAGTGACCACTCTCCCTACAATGTGCATGATAATCAAGGTGGGCCATGTCCAGCACAAATTTGTTTATATGCGGCTCCTTGTAGCGGCACTGACTGACTCCGGGGCTGTAGCTACAGGCGCCAACTTTCCAGTGTGCCGGGGGGTGCTCACTGCTCAACCCCTAGCTCTGCTCCCCCCCTCCCCCTCCGAGCCTGCCATGCCCTTGTTCCTCCTCCCCAGAGCCTCCTGCACGAAACAGCTGATCAGGAGGTGCAGCGAGGGGCTGGGAAGCACTGGGACCTGGGGTGGGGGAGCTGATGGGGGGGCTGCTGACGTGTTACTGTGGCTCTTTGGCAATGTAGATGGGTAAATTCTGGCTCCTTCTCAGGCTCAGGTTGGCCACCCCTGTGCTAGATGCACCAGAACGTCTGGGGCTCGGGAAATCATTCTACCCCCCCCCCTTCCTTGGCCAGCGACACAGCATCCTTGGCAGCATCCCAGCGCTGGGGTAGGAGGGAGGCAGATGTGCTGCTTCACCCTGTTCCAGCCCCGTCACAGCATTTGCCCCTTGTTCCCAGCACAAAGTCCCCCTTCGCATCTCTCCACACTGTAATCCTGTCCTCATCTCCCTCCCGTCCCGTTCAGCTTGCGCCCCCCTTTCTTCCTCGTCCTCTGCAGCTTCCCTCTCTCCCTCCCCCCGGGCACGGGGGGGCAGCTGCTCCTCCCACGGCTGTGCCCCTTCTGCAGCGCTTCCCAGAGACACCCCTGAGAGCAGCAAACTGGGCTTGGGTGACTGCAGGAGACACAGCAGCAGACGGAGGGCCTGGCCTGGCCCCCAGCTTCCCTAGCATTTGGTGGAAAGCAAAACAAAGGAACTACCCCGTCCCCTGGCCCTCCCCGTGAGAATGGCCCAGGCAAAGGAAATAAACCACCCCTAAAATGCTGTGGTGGAGCCCCTTCTCTGAGGGTGTCGCTGAATGAGAGTGATTTTTAACTAAGCCGGGCCCCTGGGGAGCGGGGAGGAGGTGGATGCTGACAGTCTCTCGTAAAAGAATAAATGGACACAAATCAGATGTCAAGAATTATAACATTCATAAACCAGTCGGAGAACACTTCAATCTCTCTGGTCACGAATCACAGACATGAAGGTCGCTATCTTAAAACAAAAAAACTCAAATCCAGACTCAGCGAGAAACTGTGAATTGGAATTCATTTGCAAATTGGATACTATTAATTTAGGCTAAATAGAGACTGGGAGTGGCTAAGTCATTATGCAAGGTAGCCTGTTTTTCCCAGATGTTCTGGTTTAACTTGGATTTAAACTTGGAGAGTGGTTAGTTTAGATGAGCTATTACCAGCAGGAGAGTGAGTTTGTGTGTGTATGGGGGTGGGGGGGAGGTGAGAAAACCTGGATCTATGCAGGAAATAGCCCGACTTGATTATGTAAAAGTTGTCACTTGGAGGGCTAGCACCAGCAGGAGAGTGAATTTGTGTGGGGGGATGGAGGGTGAGAAAACCTGGATTTGTGCTGGAAATGGCCCACCTGTTGATCACTTTAGTTAAGCTATTACCAGCAGGACAGTGGGGTGGGAGGAGGTATTGTTTCATATTCTCTGTGTGTATATAAAGTCTGCTGCAGTTTCCACGGTATACATCTGATGAAGTGAGCTGTAGCTCACGAAAGCTCATGCTCAAATAAATTGGTTAGTCTCTAAGGTGCCACAAGTACTCCTTTTCTTTTTTCTTTATACCTAGCTTTGTATTCAGCCTCAGCCACGGCCAGTTGGTAAGAGCTTCTCCATGCTTACTCCTCACACCTCTCTTCAAGGGCAGCACCGCCCCCTTCAGCAGCTGCTAATGGTGCCGACTCACCCCCAGCCACACTTGAGCCTGAGCTGGGGCAAAAACCTGGCTGCGAGAAATGATCCCAGGATGCTTTGAACATTTTAATTTAAGCATCTAATAGAACAGCTGATTTAGGGGGGCTGGAAACCACCACCCGTGCGCCCTGCTGTGATACTGGCCCTTCAAAGGTTCCAGTCCCGGGAACTCGAAAGCACAAGAGTCTCTCAACAGAAGCTGGGGTCCTGGCTTTTCACTGGCTGAGTCGAGCAGCGGGTGGTAGCGAACGAGCAGCATCCATAAGGAAGTGTCTCCCGTTTGAAAAAGGGTTGTTTTAGCGAACTGGTTTCTTACCTCTAACCTTACCCTGAAACGTATTTCTGCAGCTTAGCTGTATTTATCCTCGTACATGTTTTCTTTAGAAATGCCCGTTTTTCACAGTCCAGCATTTATTAAGGGGTAACAGTACCGCATGCTGGTGGCTAATAACACCAGCGTGTGTCTTACTGGAGCATAATACAAACCCTCTTGTTTCTTAATGTTTAATCGTGGTGGTGATTTTAAGAATGCCAACACTTCTATCCATTCAAATCCAAGCATTCACTTGCAGAAGATATTTAACCCAAGTAATATGGATTCACAGCCCTCATCTGAAACTGGGGCCTTGTTTATGGACAGAAGTTGCAACAGTTTAGATTACAGCAGTTTAGTTAAACCAGTACAAAATATAATGTAGACACCCTTACTTCAGTTGTAGAATGCCTTACTACAGGTTAGCTCACACTTGTTCCCAATCCATTCAAGAGGGCACACACCACATTTTGGAGTGGCTTAGTAGATTTTAAATCTCACTTTTTGTTAAGTCTTTTCAGCTTTGCAAGTAGAGGGGCTCTGCGTTGAAACTAAAAGGCAATATTACCCATGAGAGAAAAGCTATGAACATCGGCCCCACTTCTACAATCTGCAGCAGCATGCAGCTGACTCCCCGCTCAGGGCCTTCCCCACGTACTAGCTGTAATAGGCTCTGGTGCCTGAGGAGGTGCTAGGTAAATGTAAAGGGCAAAGGATCAGACTCAATAGGAACTATTGAAACCACAAGCTGAAACTGTTGATCCAAAATTTTGTGTTTCCTAAAAACAAAATGCATTCTTTATTAAAAGATTCCTATTCCCCAATAACTTTTCCTGAGCTATCACACCTTATCTACCAACACTAGAAATGTAAATAAGTAAGGACTTGAAACGTGATAAAATGTGAGTCACAAATCATCAATAGGCCTATCACAAGCTGTACTATTTTACAAGCACTATTAAATTAAAAGAAACAGTCACAACGATGCACAATAGAATGATGCCATCATTAGAACAATCAATCCTTGTGAATTGTTGGATTGCTGCAATACAGTCTCTCTCTCCCCACTTAGGAAGAGTGGATGGGAAGAAGTATTGCTGACCCCTAGTGTTCAAAATTGATGAGTCAGGCCCATCCAAAAATTGTGAGATTGCATTAAAATTTTTTTTATATATATATTATATACACACACACACTACATTTGGGATCCTTTCCATTTCCTTCGACTGTTTGGGCCTTTAAGGTACACACAGGTCACATTTTCTCCACAACCATGAAGGCTAGAAACTTCCCTTTATAAAAAAATGAAAGCTGAGATTGTCACATAATCACATGCCTCCAGGAGCTGAGACTTTAAAAAGCATTTAATAGCGTGAGACAATAAAATTGCAAGAGTTGGCAACACTAGGTCAGGCTCTACTCAACAGTTATGAGGATCAGCAGCTCAGGACCACGGTTTTGAGCTCAGCTGACTCAAAACTAAGAGCATGGTGGTTGTGAAAGATCAGAGATGTGTATCTGTCCCAGCTCTGTTGCACTCCCGCTCTCATCATGAACAAGTATTTTAGGGGAGCCATCTCTCTCCATTGGTATCTGAGGAGTTGAGTGAATGGCACTCTCCAAATGACATCCAGGAGCCTTCAGTGAATATACCCAAAAGTTTGCTTGATATCTACGCCACCTCCGGTTGACTGACAGCAGCATTCTGAAAGCTTGCATCTCTGTCATACAAACTCTCTAAACCCAGAAACATTTATAATCAAACCTAACAACTACAGCCCTTCAGTCGATCACTTTCCGAGAACGAATGTAAAACGCCTTTTCCTGGTGGAAGGAATGTATACAGGAGCTCAGGGTGGATTTTTATAAAGACCATACACAGTCTGCATAAAGCCAAATGAAAAAAAAATAAGTGCCTCAAAATGTTCCCCAAAATCGCTTCACAAATAAGTTTCTAGAGTAGAATGTCTCCTGGATGCCTCTGTGTCCATCATGCCTACAGCACCCTTTGGCCAACATTTCTGATGCTGTCAGTTGGTATCTAATGAACCATCAACAATTTGGCTAAGTCTGAGGGACAGCTATGGGTAGTTTCGGTGTGTATCATCCATCAGTGTGTATCGTCCTCTCCACCAAAGGTATCTCCAGCCAAGTCAGCTGCTCTAATGTGAAGCTAAGTGGGCCTGATTCTGTAAGAGCTTTCAGATCCCCCTGAAGGCAACATTAGTTGAAATCAGTTAACACTTCATATGACCATGGCCATTACCAAGACCTAGGGCTGCAACCAAAAGGACTGTCTTGCAAACTGAGTATGGCATCAGGAGTCACGAACTCCACTATAGACTCACTGTGTTAGACCTTGTGCCTTACCCAAAGCCCGATGATGTCGATAGGAATCATTTCATTGATTTCAGAGGACTTTAGCTCAGACCGTTCAGCACTGTGCATCAATTCCCCAGTCTATAAAATAGGGCTAATAACACTTGCTCATTTTTATACAGTGCTTGGAGAGCCACATGAGCTATATAAATGCCAAGTCGTATTATTGCTCTTGGATAATGGCATATTTTCTCTGCAGCTTTCCACATACTGAAGTATGGGCGAAGGACCCTAGAATAGGATGCAATGGAACCAAAGGTGGAAATTAGCAGAACACAAATTGCAAACTGAGATATAAGACCACCACCCTTTCCACCAGAACATTTGGGGTAATTTTGTTTTCTATTACATAGCAGAATGATTTGTGGAGGAGTTTCATGTAACTAACAATTTCATCTACAGAAATCTCAGGCATGTGTTTGTTCCAAGAATGGTTTTATGCAGATATTTCACAAGAATACATCATGTAGATTATTTTACACATCAGAATCACATCCTGAGGAAAATAGTGCAAGGATGTGCTGTCTTAATTAACAGCACATAAACTGTAACCAGTGCCTTTCGAGCAATTCATAAAGCAGTCAACTGTTAACTACTGCCTACCTATTTTGCCAGCAGCATGTCACACACACACTATTAGTATAGAACCAGTGTTCAGTCCTCTCTTCCCTAGTCAACTGGGTTTCAAGAACTCTTTAGTCTTACATTAATTATACACATTATAAATGTGTACTGAGGTGTAGCAAAGTGTCCAAATAACTTATTTGATGTAGATGGCACATTATAACAAGAGACTGAGTTTTTTTTCCCCAACACACACACTGATTCATCTATCTGCTTATTTTAGCTGGTGTTAAAATATATCAGCCACCACTAACTTTACCGCCATAATATGTAGCATCTGGTATTTGTTCTTCATGTACTCCAGCAAGGAAGGGCTTGAGGCTTTAGCTATAATGGACATCTTACCGCAAGGTGCTGAGAAGCCATTGGCCTCAGGGGGCTTGAGGACATTTGTCATCCATTGGATCAGACTCAAACATATGAGCTTTAAAAACTTTCTGGCAACAGTAAGTTAAAACCCCTTGTGGGTGTCTAACAGCCAGGCTAGAAATCTTCATAATAAAATCTTAGCAAAACAGAAATTTAAGATTATGTGAAACTTCAGATTGTTGTTTCAGAGTAACAGCCGTGTTAGTCTGTATTCGCAAAAAAAAGAAAAGGAGTACTTGTGGCACCTTAAGAGACTAACCAATTTATTTGAGCATTTGATGCTCAAATAAATTGGTTAGTCTCTTAAGGTGCCACAAGTACTCCTTTTCTTTTTTTTCCAGATTGTTGGTACATTTCAGATGGGCAGAGGAAGACATGCAAAGTACAAAATTACAGGAACACTATCACCTTCCTGCCTATTCCGTGAAAGGTTCTGTGGTGCTGCATTTGTTTTAAGGCCGTAGGTGATTGAGTTTGGCTTTGTCATCTTTCCTGAAACACTGAATTGCAACTGTTGGTTTTTCACACTATGGTTGAAACTGCATGAGATACAAATTACAAACACATTTTTCATTTGAGGATTTTGTTTTCACTCTGGCAGACTGAGAAGCTTGCAAGTTAAAGCTTTTTCCTTTTCAAGAGACACACAACAGTCTATATTTACAGCACTATACAATCTGAGCAGCATTGTTCTGGTTGGTACTAGCCAAAAATTAGAATTACAAACTAATTTCACATTCAGTGTTTATTTATTTGAAATACAAATGAAAACGTGTGCCCAGATCTTGCCTGAAGTTCTACTCAGATTGTTTTAAAAAAATACAGAACATTATTTCATTGTCTGACAATTAAAAAGCCCTGTTTAAAATAATAAACAGAATTTTCAGTAGCCCGTCAAAACAAGTGACATTTTACTGCTGCAACTTCTGCCAAGGAGAAGTACCTTCTCAAGTAACAGATATTATACAATCAGTTACTTCTCATCATAAAAGAACATTTTATTTATAGGATGATTTAAAAAAACAATTTTACGATAAGTTTTCATAATGAAAGGAATAAAAATCATGAAAAAATTTAAACTGAGTCAGGGACACAAATTCCATGCTTATTGGAAAGTTGGTTCTGATCATCATCATCACCACACTTAAAGGAAGACACCTAGGCAAAGGGGAACCTTCGATGAAAGACTGCTCCATTAGGAAGACACAGCATTTGGAATTCTGGAGTGCAGTTTTAAAAACTGAGTCAAAATGTTGAATGTTAAGCATTAAAATGACAAAAAATTTAAAAGCGATTTGAAATGTTAGGGGCCATGAACATACACACACAATTCGTTTTCTAGGTATCTATGCATGATATTTATAAACGAGTGGCTTGTTGCGTAAAAAGAAATTTGATTGATATTTGGACAGATGTGCTAGAATAAATGAAGACCATGATTATTCAACAATTACTATCTCAGTATATTCAGAGAGTTGAATTTAAACCTGTATTTCCTAATAGAGCCTCCCCGTACTCCTACAGCTATCGATAATTGTGGCTGGCATTTCAAAAAAAGAATAGGAATCGTTTAAAATGTTACTGATCGCTTCAGTGTTAACTGAATGGCATAAAAAGGTGGTAAGAAATGAGAGCCCTGGATTGCTCTGTATATTGGGACTTATCACCAACTACAAGACACTTTTAAATTCTTTTTTTTCCTTCCTTGTCCCAAGAAAATTTTAAATCTACACATTTGCAGCAGAGATAATGTGGTGGCACGGGCTTTTTAACAGAAACATCTTTTGAAGTGGCTGTTTAAAGCATTCTCAGCTGTAACTCATGAATGAATGGGCATATTTGAAACAATATTTTGTGCTTGTTACATTTGGTGTTTGTTTTCATTTTGTTTTTTAAAAGATTAAAAATAAATTGGCCCATTATCAAAAAAGAGTGACCACCTTTTCAGACACCAGATTGTAGTTACATCCAAGCAATGTGGCTTTTTTCCAAGATCTGTTTGAGAACAGAGGCTGAAGACTGAATGCAAAGGGGAAAAAAAACACAAATGTGGAGAAAACTAATCTATGCACATGTTTTCTATTGTCTGTGATTTAAGTCTTCTCCGAGTAGCACCACCTTGAAAGATTTTATGTGGCCTAATGAAACTCCACAAATTCTTCCAGAGTTCTGGGGATCTGCTTTTGGTAGCTTATGTTATAGATCCGTACTGCACGGGCAGCCAGGCACTTGAGGCTCAGCTTCATTTGAGTTTTAAGGAGTATTTCAGACACCCCAGTTGTACTTTTATCAAGAGGAGTCTTCTTCTGCTTATTTGTCATGTCTGTATGAGCACCAGCCTCCACCAGACTAATGATAATCGAATGCAAAGTCAAAAAATCACTGATGGGTCTGTTGTACTGGACAATGATGTGAAGTGCACTGTTTCCTTCGTTGTCCACAGCATTCACTTCAGCACCACAGTCTAACAGGAGCTTGGTGACAAGTGCATTTGGAAAGCTGCAGACGTCATTTGTGTGGAAGTCATCTACTGGTGTACTGGAGTTGACAGCATGATGCAGCAAACTGGACCCATCCCGAGTTCTGGGATCAAGATTAATCAAGTTATATATCTGCTTGTTGATTCGAGATTGCTCTTCTTCACCGCACTGAGTCTTGGTTGAGATGCACACCAAATACAAGAAGGTAAAAATATTGCATTCGTAGTTGTCCATGGCTGTGTGGATGTCAGTGTCTTGGTTGCTTTTAATCCTGGACATTCCTTGTTCTATTTCCAAGACACTACACCTCAAAACACTTTCTATGTCCTTGGCTTTAACAGGCTCATTCAAGTGTATCATCTGAGAGAAGACTTGAGCAAACCTCAAGAGATCCTTATGGGTATTCCTATTACCTTTCTGCCTCAAATGCAATGCATGAAGCCATAGTTTGATACACTGTTCAAACTCCATGTTATCTGCATAAACAGCCCCACGATAAATAATAGGATGCGAAACATCTATATTGTCCGAGCCCAAAATTCGTTCACGCACTATGAGGCCTTCCATGTGAAGGGCATCTCTGTCCTGCCGAATAGATTCTAATTCCTGAGGAGTTCTGCATTCAGTTCTGTTTCCATAAGCTTCGATTTGTGGAAGAACCTCTTTCTCAATGATGTTCTCACTGTCTCTGTACCTCTCCAGCATTGCTAAATATAAATAGTGATAAGTCTTCATTATATCATAATTTTCCCTGTCATTTGCGAACGATGCACCCAGAAGTTCCAAAGCTTCAATTCTACTTTTTCTGTCACAATCCGCATGAGCAAGAAGAAGTTCAACTACATCTGCCTTACAGCTCTCAGCAGCTACTTTTAATGGAGTCATTCCATGGCCATTCACCATCATTGCAGATTTCCATTTGACCAGCTCTCTGACAATCTCTAAATGGCCAGCTTCAGCTGCGAAGTGTAATGCCGTAGCACCACAATGTGCCTTGGCATTGGGATCAGCATGTTGTTCTAAGAGATATCTCACCACATCTGTGTGCCCCTTGTAAGCTGCAATCATAAGGCAAGTGTTGTCATACTTGTTGGCAATACTGATGTTAGCATTATTTTCCACCAGGTATTTCACTATGTCCAGTCTGCCATCAAAGCATGCAGCCCGCAGCGGAGTTGAATTGGTCACAGTAGTGTGGTTCACATTGGCTCCATGACTAACTAGCAGTTTGACAACTTCAAAGTGTCCGGCTCCTGCTGCACACCAGAGAGCTGTGGCTCCATCAATGACATAACTACAAATGTAAAGACAAAAGACAGGCAGTTAAACTGCTGCACTTTGTAAGAGATGTGAGTAGTCTGCAAGAAGCATGTTACCAATATCCCAAGTTTATATTCAACACAGGCAGATATTTTAGAGCCACTCCCTTTTTATACTTGAAGATATTTATCAGCAGAGCCAAGACAAAATAAGGCAATTAGCAAGTGCACAGATGTCCAGAAGAAAAAAAGTTAGAGAGAGAGATTTTCGAAGCAGTGCCAGGGATCGAGCCACATGACCCCATTAATATTAACAGACTCGCCTCTGTTGCTTTGAAAATTTCCTCTAGGGCTTTATTCCACTGGCCCACCCGGTCCCAAGAAGCAGAACTAGAAAAAGGAGAATTATTGTCTTCTGTAATAAACTGACATGCAGGAAAGGAAGGCGCCTACAGATCATGGAATTACAAAAGGAGAATAAAATTCAGACTTAAAAAGAGAATGTCTGATGTTTTCTCCACTTCACTAGGCCACTGGAATGGCACTGGAACGTGGAAACGTTTACATTGCAGCAATATGGATGCAGACAGTATCTCAGACTTCACTGGGAAACCAAACCATGGCAAAAGGACAAAACCATCTTTCATTTCAGTTTGTAGACCTGCGCAGGCATTTTCCAGAGTTAAAACTGAATAATAAAACACCAACATGATTTAATAATTATGCTGCAAATGCACATAAATAACTTTGCGAGAATACTCACATGTGTATTTGCATGCTCAAGTGCTCAGATGACACCCAAAGCGACAAGCTTCAGAGTTTTGGTCTAAAGACAGTTCTTAGGGCTAGATTCTGATATCGTTACTCAGCATGAGCAGTTTCTTACTCCACAAACAGCCTCTCTGAAATCAATGGAGCTACTTTTGTAACAAGATGCGAGGAAGGATTTCAAGCCCTGGCCCTACAACCAAATGTCTTGTTCATGAACAGAGGTGCTTTCCTGGCGCACCAGGGGGACACATACACAACACAAGAATTTGGGGAGTAGACAAGTGGGTGTTATGAGCCAGGCTTCCTTAGTTTGCACTTTGGCAGGGATTACAGGCACTATCAGACTCCCTAGCACAACTTGGCAGTCAGGCTCACAAGAATGATGGGAGATATAGTGAGCACAAACAGTAAATGCACAGCAAACCCCGCACGCCCTAGCCTGGCTATCCTCATGCAGAGAGGCATGAGAGGAAGTTTAAACAGGCGGTGAATCAAAATGACGTATCCCTGAATCTGTGCAAGGAAGAAGTGAAAGGGCGCAGCCATCCCATAAACACACAGTGATGTAGAGAAGAAGAGACTCCTCAATCCAACAGCAGAGTGGTGATAACAGCCCTTCCCAGGGTGGATAAAAATCAATGTTTTTTTTTAAATTTAAAAAAAAAAAATCCGTTTTTAATTTAAATAGGATTTTTTTGATAAAATGCTTTTTGAGGAAAAAACAATCTAAAGATACAGTAGTTTTAATTAAGATATCTTTGAGCTATAATGTATCTCATTATGGAATAGGGATTATAAATTCTAATTCTATAGTATGAGACCATATATTCATGTAATGTTTAAGAAAAGTTTTGTAAATGAGTTCCAATAGTTCATGGATTAGGGACCCAATCTTATGTAATTCCAGGGGCTTCTGTATAGATCATTTAGGTTAATCTTTCTGTCTAACCAATGGGACTCATTGCTAAATCTAGAAGATACCATCAGAGATGCTTAGTTTTGCAGTTCTCAAACTGTGGATTTGTGTCTCCAGAAATAACATGCTTGTTAACAGCAAAAATGTTTTTAAATAAATAAATAGAGAGAGAGAGAGAGGTGAGAAAAAACAGACCTTGACCCTATCGTCCCTCTTCAAATTTGTGTGTACAGAGTCAATCCCTTACCTCTCTCTAAAAGTGAAAAGTTTCAAAAAGTTCAATGAATAGAAGATTTTTGGGGGCAGAATAGATCTGGACAAGGAGAAGAAGTCTGGAGATAAATGTGAAAAAGGAGGGACAGGCAGTAGAAACAAAAGGAGGAGTGCTAGGCAGAGACGGGCTCCACCTAACGAAGAGAGGGAAGAGCATCTTCGCAAGCAGGCTGGCTAACCTAGTGAGGAGGGCTTCAAACTAGGTTCACCAGGGGAAGGAGACCAAAGCCCTGAGGTAAGTGGGGAAGTGGGATACCGGGAGGAAGCACGAACAGGAGCACGCGAGAGGGCAGGGGTCCTGCCTCATACTGAGAAAGAGGGACAATCAGCGAGTTATCTCAAATGCCTATACAAAAATGCAAGAAGCCTGGGAAACAAGCAGGGAGAACTGAAAGTCCTGGCACAGTCAAGGGATAACTCACATGACTGGTTTCAGAGTAGCAGCCGTGTTAGTCTGTATTCGCAAAAAGGAGTACTAGTGACACCTTAGAGAGTAACCAATTTATTTGAGCATAAGCTTTCGTGAAGCATCCGATGAAGTGAGCTGTAGCTCACAAAAGCTTATGCTCAAATAAATTGGTTACTCTCTAAGGTGCCACTAGTACTCCTTTTCACATGACTGGAGTACTGTCAAGGATGGATATAAACTTCAGGAAGGACAGGCAGGGCAGAAAAGATGGAGGAGTTGCATTGTATGTAAGGGAGCAGTATGACTGCTCAGAGCTCCGGTATGAAACTGCAGAAAACCTGAGAGTCTCTGGATTAAAGTTTAGAAGTGTGAGCAACAACGGTTATGTCGTGGTGGGAGTCTGCTATAGACCACCGGACCAGGGGGATGAGGTGGACGAGGCTTTCTTCCGACATCTCATGGAAGTTACTAGATCGCAGGCCCTGGTTCTCATGGGAGACTTCAATCATCCTGATATCTGCTGGGAGAGCAATAAAGCGGTGCACAGACAATCCAGGAAGTTTTTGGAAAGTGTAGGGGACAATTTCCTGGTGCAAGTGTGGAGGAACCAACTAGGGGCAGAGCTCTTCTTGACCTGCTGCTCACAAACCGGGAAGAATTAGTAGGGGAAGCAAAAGTGGATGGGAACCTGGGAGGCAGTGACCATGGGATGGTCGAGTTCAGGATCCTGACACAGGGAAGAAAGGAGAGCAGCAGAATACGGACCCTGGACTTCAGAAAAGCAGACTTTGACTCCCTCAGGGAACAGATGGGCAGGATCCCCTGGGAAAATAACATGAGGGGGAAAGGAGTCCAGGAGAGTTGGCTGTATTTTAAAGAATCCTTATTGAGGTTACAAGGACAAACCATCCCGATGTGTAGAAAGAACAGTAAATATGGCAGGCGACCAGCTTGGCTTAACAGTGAAATCCTTGCTGATCTTAAACACAAAAAAGAAGCTTACAAGAAGTGGAAGATTGAACAAATGACCAGGGAAGAGTATAAAAATATTGCTCGGGCATGCAGGAGTGAAATCAGGAAGGCCAAATCACACCTGGAGTTGCAGCTAGCAAGAGATGTTAACAGTAACCAGAAGGGTTTCTTCAGGTATGTTAGCAACAAGAAGAAAGTCAAGGAAAGTGTGGGCCCCTTACTGAATGAGGGAGGCAACCTAATGGATGTGGAAAAAGCTAATGTACTCAATGCTTTTTTTGCCTCTGTCTTGACGAACAAGGTCAGCTCCCAGACTACTGCACTGGGCAGCACAGCATGGGGAGGAGGTGACCAGCCCTCTGTGGAGAAAGAAGTGGTTCAGGACTATTTAGAAAAGCTGGATGAGCACAAGTCCATGGGGCCAGATGCGCTGCATCCGAGAGCGCTAAAGGAGTTGGTGGATGTGATTGCAGAGCCATTGGCCATTACCTTTGAAAATTCATGGTGATTGGGGGAAGTCCCGGACGACTGGAAAAAGGCTAATGTAGTGCCCATCTTTAAAAAAGGGAAGGAGGAGGATCCTGGGAACTACAGGCCAGTCAGCCTCACCTCAGTCCCTGGAAAAATCATGGAGCAGGTCCTCAAGGAATCAATTCTGAAGCACTTAGACGAGAGGAAAGTGATCAGGAACAGTCAGCATGGATTCACCAAGGGCAAGTCATGCCTGACTAATCTAATTGCCTTCTATGATGAGATAACTGGCTCTGTGGATGAGGGGAAAGCAGTGGACGTGTTGTTCCTTGACTTTAGCAAAGCTTTTGACACGGTCTCCCACAGTATTCTTGCCAGCAAGTTAAAGAAGTATGGGCTGGATGAATGGACTATAAGGTGGATAGAAAGTTGGCTAGATTGTCGGGCTCAACGGGTAGTGATTAATGGCTCCATGTCTAGTTGACAGCCGTTATCAAGTGGAGTGCCCCAAGGGTCGGTCCTCAGGCCGGTTTTGTTCAATATCTTCATAAATAATCTGGAGGATGGCGTGGACTGCACACTCAGCAAGTTTGCAGATGACACTAAACTGGGAGGAGTGGTAGATATGCTGGAGGGTAGGGATAGGATACAGAGGGACCTAGACAAATTAGAGGATTGGGCCAAAAAAAATCTGATGAGGTTCAACAAGGACAAGTGCAGAGTCCTGCACTTAGGACGGAAGAATCCCATGCACCTCTACAGACTAGGGACCGAATGGCTTGGCAGTAGTTCTGCAGAAAAGGACCTAGGGGTTACAGTGGACAAGAAGCTGGATATGAGTCAACAGTGTGCCCTTGTTGTCAAGAAAGCCAATGGCATTTTGGGATGTATAAGTAGGGGCATTGCCAGCAGATCGAGGGATGTGACCGTTCCCCTCTAGTCGACATTGGTGAGGCCTCATCTGGAGTACTGTGTCCAGTTTTGGGCCCCACACCACAAGAAGGATGTGGAAAAATTGGAAAGAGTCCAGCGGAGAGCAACAAAAATGATTAGGGGACTGGAATACATGACTTATGAGGAGAGGCTGAGGGAACTGGGATTGTTTAGTCTGCGGAAGAGAAGAATGAGGGGGGATTTGATAGCTGCTTTCAACTACCTGAAAGGGGGTTCCAAAGAGGATGGATCTAGACTGTTCTCAGTGGTAGCAGACGACAGAACAAGGAGTAATGGTCTCAAGTTACAGTGGGGGAGGTTTAGGTTGGATATTAGGAAAAACTTTTTCACTAGGAGGGTGGTGAAACACTGGAATGCGTTACCTATGGAGGTGGTGGAATCTCCTTCCTTAGTTTTTAATGTCAGGCTTGACAAAGCCCTGGCTGGGATGATTTAGTTGGGGATCGGTCCTGCTTTGAGCAGGGGGTTGGAGTAGATGACCTCCTGAGGTCCCTTCCAACCCTGATATTCTATGATTCTATGAAAAGTGAAACTGTTTGAGCAGCATATTCCAGAATAAAAAAATTCTGAGGTCTTTCTGAGCGTAGCCTTCATTGATTTGAGATCTACCATACCATTCTCTCACTAGAAGGGAAAACCTATAATGGCAGCAGGCCGTAAAAGAGACCCAGTTTGGGTCTCATCTATCTCTGAGTTGTGAAGAATATGTATGAAGGTTATAACAACCAACAAGAATGCACTTTTATGTAGAAATCCATGATTAAATCGAGTCTTCCTGATTAGTGATTTGATTTAAATCATTATTTAAATCAATTTGATTTAAATCAAATCCGCCCTGGCCCTTCCTAACATTGACTGGGAGCAGGAGTCCCTCCTCCACCTCAAAAACAGGAGACACCCCCCCACACACACACCTCCATTCTACTCATTCTCAAGGAATTTTACTTTGAAAAGAACGATAAAAAAGAAGCATTCTTGGGTTCAGCCTCTCTCCCTCAGTGCCATAGAGAGGAATTACTCTTAGCGTCTCTACTGGGCTGGTGGAACGGCCTAGATATAGTACCTACAGGCCACCAGTGGACAGCCAGATGCAAGTCAGCAGCCAGTACCCATTATGTTCTCTCCCCCTCTCTTCCTGTATCTGAAATAAGCTCTTCCTTTGCATACAGGCAGCATAAAGAAAGCAAATATGTGAAGCCTGAGTTTTCTCTTAAGGCAACTTTAGCTTTATGGATAAGGTTGGGCAGGAGATTTCAGCTTTTTTATTTTAAGAGCCATTTATGGGTGCACACATGTTGGAACACACTAGAACAACATTGCAACAAGAAGTTTTAAGAACAAGGGCGGTAAAAAGGTGAAGAAAGGACGATTCACTCAAGAACACAGAATCAAGACATTCTGAGAGGTAACCTTGGTTGATTACAAGTGTTATTCATAATCTAGTAAAATTTCAGCATATCGTATTCATGCCATGCTAAACTAAAATACATCAGTGCTATGGTTCTAAAAAGCTGAGGAACTAAGATTCATTTAGAAAGAGGCCTCAGGCAATAGCTCTGTCCACACTACACAAAACAAATCCATTTACAAATATGATTTAACACACAGCTATAACTGCATAAACATGTTTAAATAATCCACTTTAACAATAGAATCAGAGCAACCACAATACTCCTCTGATGAGCTCTGAAACCCATAGACTCTTGGGTCAGGTAACATCGTTTTCTATAAACCAGGTAGTTGAGCAGCCAAGAATTTTAGCTTACTTTTGAGAAAAGTTTCTTCTGCACCTGCAGTCTGTATGCACTTAGCTTGCTGGTGTACTGCTGTAAAGTCCACAACTATCCCAGTCTAAATCATAAGATTACTCTGTATTCCCAACTAAGGAAGAGTAAAATGGCTGACAAGATGCAGGAACTGAGTTTGTGGGAACTCTAGCTCCTAATACAACCTTGTCCAGAATGCTCCATACCTCAAGACTAAATTCTTGTGGCCCCAGCAATCAGAGTTAAAGTAACCTTTTAAAAAAATAAATTACCATCACGTAAAATCTGAATGTCCAAATTAGAAATAAAACTTCATTAAAATGTAGATATCAATGAGGCCAAAAAAACCATCTCCCATGCCTTTAAACAGCCAGAGTAAGCAAGGTAGAGGGGAATTTGTGCTTTCACTGGAGGTTTTCAAAGCACTTTTAAAACATTTAAGTCTCACAACATCCCTGTATGATACATATACAACCAAAAGGGTCCTTTTTCTGATAACTAATTACATTTGGGCTGAGAAGGGACCTACAGCATATTACAAATGCAGCTATAGCATCTCATGCTGTGATCCTGTCACATCCCAAAAGCTAATCAAGGCCAACTGTTGGTGATTGTGAGATCCAGCTGCTGCAGGAAGTGATGGTGATGTTTCAATTTTGGCAGTTCTCTTTCCAGTGAAGTATTAAACTGGTACCACAGCATTTGTCAGAGGGTGCTGAGCTGCTGGGGACATGTCTTGCAAGAGAAGGAAAACTGACCCTTTGTGACCAGAATGATCCCATAGCACAACTTCCAAGAACAAAATTATTAACCAGAGTGTTTTGGCTAAATCCCAGCTCAGGTGATTACACTCTCTCTCCCAAAACTCCCCATGCAGTTTCAGTTGAATAGTGTACTTTTCTCCCCTTCCTGTCCTACACTGTTGTGTGCGGTTGAGCACCCCCTTCAGAGAATACTGCACTTTAGTGTTGGAGAAGTGATGTCTCCTGTATGGTTTATATAATACAGTAGTTTGTAAAAGGTTTTGGGATGAAATGTACTATACAAAAGACTAATACCATTTTGTGGAGTAATTTAGAGAGGAATCACTGTCTACCTTATCTAGAACCAGAGGCATTAAAATTATATCTAGAGCATCTGAAAAGGAGGATGGTTACATACAAGTAGAGCATCCATGTGGCTCACACCTTCCCTCTCTGAGGGCATATCCTAAAGCTCCATGTGACCCATGGTAGCAGTGATGTCACAGAATAATACATTCTGGTACATCCTGAAAAACAGCCACTTGCCCAAGGCAGAGGCAGAGTTTTCCCGGGGGAGTTGTGGCTAGCCCATTAGATTCTGTAGAAGGTAAGACTTTCTTTAAACAAAAAAAATACATGCTTTGCCCACGTAGTTGGGAAGATAGCCTTGCAAATGTGAACTGAGGGAATGACGACTCCCTGAGTCTACACACAACTCCTGGAGCACTGCCACTGTTAATAGCTTTCCCAGCAGAATACGGGTGGGGGTGGGGGGAACCCTAGTTAGTTTCACAGCCACTATTCCGAACCTGGTAGGAAAGTGCTGTGTGTTCCCCATAATCACACAGAGAGGTTATGTCTACAGTAGAAATATTACAGGGGTACAGTTGCATCACTTGTAGTATAGATGCTTACTACAGTGATGGAAAGGTTCTTCCGTTGCTGTAGTAAATCCATCTGTCCAAGAGGCGATAGCTAAGTCGACAGAACTCTTCTGTCGACTGGTGTCTGCAGTGGGCATTAGATCAACTTAATTACAGTGCAGAGGGCGTGAAAATTTTCACAGGTAGGTAAGACAATCTAACTTTGTTGTGTAGACCAGCCCAGAGTCTACTTAGCAAGATCTTTCAGCGTACGTTTCTGAGATAGCTCACTTTTCATCCTGGCTTTGCCATTCCCCTTTGAAAGAGGTAGGAGTAAAAGACATCAGCATTGTGTACGTACCCATCGAAGCGGACCGTGCCAGTCTGATGGGTCTGCACCCGGTAATGTTCTAGCAGCAAGCGCACCACCTTGGCATGACCGTTACGGGCTGCGATGATAAGGGGCGTGGAGCGCTGACCACCCTGCTGGCTGACGTAGCTCAGCAAGTACCTGATGTCATTCTCGGAGCGGTTGAGCAGCAGGGCAGCCAGGGTCAGCACTCTCCCTTCACTGGCCGCCTTGTACACATAGCCGGCCAGGCCTTCCATGGCCTTCTCCTCCTCCCAACTTCTCCTCCTGCTGCCACCGCCACCTTCAGGCCTGCCAGCTGCAGCTGGTGCCAAGGCCAGGGAAGTCTCTTCCTCCTCCGTCCTGAATCGGTCCACGGCGGGGGGCACATGCGGGCAGGCCCTGACCAGAGCCCAGCCGGCCCCCTCAGGGTCAGCACCAGCGCAGGGTGACCCAAGTTTCCACCACTACCCACAGCCCCCAGGACGCCCTGTCAGTGCCACATTCTCCAGCCCCTCAGAGTGCCACGTGCCATGGCGGGCGGGCAGCCGAGGGCAACCACCGCTGTGGGGCTCGGCGCCCACTCCCCCCGACAGGGCCACGGGGGCTGGGGGGCAAGGAGCCCCCCCAGGAAAGCTCCCCAGGTGGGGCCTGGTGGGGGAGGGACCCAGGAGGGTGGCGAGGGGGCGGGAACCCCCCGTTCGCTACAGGCCCCCAGAGAAGGCCTGGGGGAGGCAGGGACCCAGGAAGGGCGGGGGGTCCGGCCCTTCCCCTCGCTACGGCGCCCCGACCTCACTACGGGTACCCGGAGGGACCCTGGATGGGGGACAGGGACTCGGAGAGCGGGAGCTCCCAGGAGTGACAGGGTGGAGCCCCGCCCCCCCAGCTACGGAGCCCCGCAAGGGCCAGCAGCCGCGACTCTCTCAGGCTGTCCTGGGCCGCTCCCCTCCCCCGCCCGCGCTCCTTATAGGCCACTGAGATTCCGGAAACAAAAGCGGAAGTGGCCGCGTCCTCCGCGGAATCCATCCCGGCCGGGAAACCGCGACCCGAGCAGAACCGTTCCGGGGAGCGGGCCCGCGGCAGGACCTGGGGCTGGCGGATGGTGGGTGGGACGGAGGGAGTCCCCGGGGTGGGTCCCCCATTCGGCCCCTTCCAGCAGCCCTGGCCCCTCCCCAGCACAGGGCCATGGCCCCCCACGGCGGGGTCCCACAGTCAAGCTAGACAAGACAAATAGAGTTGGAGGGAGACTAGAGGCAAAAGGACTTGCCCGGGGCAAGAGTAACAGAGCTAGAACGGTTTCAGAGTAGCAGCCGTGTTAGTCTGTATTCGCAAAAAGAAAAGGAGTACTTGGTGGCACCTTAGAGACTAACCCGTTTATTTGAGCATGAGCTTCCGTGAGCTACAGCTCACTTCATCGGATGCACACCGTGGAAACTGCAGAAGACATTATATACACACAGAGACCATGAAACAATACCTCCTCCCACCCCACTCTCCTGCTGGTAACAGCTTATCTAAAGTGACCACTCTCCTTACAATGTGCATGATAATCAAGGTGGGCCATTTCCAGCACAAATCCAGGTTTTCTCACCCTCCGCCCCCCCCCCCATACACAAACTCACTCTCCTGCTGGTAATAGCCCATCCAAAGTGACCACTCTCTTTACAATGTGTATGATAAACAAGGTGGGCCATTTCCAGCACAAATCCAGATTTTCTCACCCCCCCCCCCTTTTTCCAAAAACCACACACACAAACTCACTCTCCCGCTGGTAATAGCTTATCCAAAGTGACCACTCTCCTTACAATGACAGGTTTCAGACGCGTGTTGTCTGTTAAAAGAAAAGATTGGCTACCAATTTATTTGACTGAGTTTCGTGACTACAGCTCACTCATCAGTGTTTACCGTGGAAACGCAGCAGACTTTATAAAGTCTGCTGCAGGTAAACATCTGATGTAGTGAGCTACAAAAAAAATCGAGGTGGGCCATTTCCAGCACAAATCCAGGTTTTCTCACCCCCCACCCCCATACACACACAAACTCACTCTCCTGCTGGTAATAGTTCATCCAAAGTGACCACTCTCCCTACAATGTGCATGATAATCAAGGTGGGCCATTTGGATGGTCTATTACCAGCAGGAGAGTGAGTTGGGGGGGGGGGGAGGGCGGAGGGTGAGAAAACCTGGATTTGTGCTGGAAATGGCCCAACTTGATTATCATACACATTGTAAGGAGAGTGGTCACTTTAGATAAGCTATTACCAGCAGGACAGTGGGGTGGGAGGAGGTATTGTTTCATGGTCTCTGTGTATATAATGTCTTCTGCAGTTTCCACAGTATGCATCCGATGAAGTGAGCTGTAGCTCACGAAAGCTTATGCTCAAATAAATTGGTTAGTCTCTAAGGTGCCACAAGTACTCCTTTTCTTAGAGCTAGAACGAGCAGCCAGGACTCTCCCTTCCCCGCCCAGCACCCACTCCACTAGCCCACGATGCCTCAGGTCGGCTTGCCTTGGCCCTGGCCTTTTCCAGGGAACTGATTCTCTTCAGCCAAAGCTGCTGGTGTCCAAAGACAGACGTGGAATGATAAACTGCCACTCCTTTTGAAACCAAAATCGTGCTGAGCAATGGTAACAGGGCCGCCCAGGCCCCAGTCCGGTAGCCAGCGAGAGCCCCATTGACTTTAATAGGGATCTGCCCATGCTCAGTGCTCAGTAAGGGGTCTGGGCCATAATATGTAAGCATGCTGGGATCTGGTGGGATGACAGACACTATATAGATTTAAGTTGTTAACAAGAACAGAGACCCAATGCCTCTTGATTTGGAAAGTCCCCCTAAGCCTCCTCTCTCATTTTCCAGGTGAGGAAGGCCCATCCCTCTGGTGCCAGGCCATTGCTTTCCGTCTTTGCTCTAGTTCACCTCTATTCTCCCAGCTTCTCGTCATCTACAGTCTGGGATCTTTGACTTTGAATTGCAAAGGCATGCTCCTCCAGACAACTTCTACCTCCTCAAACAGCCCACTTTTGCCAACTCTCTTTTAAGTAACTTGACTATGCCACAAATGCAGGTGATAGCACTATTCAGTCATACAACTTCCACTGCTGAAAGTGTCACAATGGCTTATCCTCAGTAAGTATAACTTTTTGAAAGTGTGCAGGAATCAGAACGGCCTCTCCTTCCCAACCTTTCACTGATAGATGTGTGGGAACATGTCTCTCCCTTTCTGTGCTATATTTGTTTGTAACTATGTGTTATCCATGTCCTTTAAGGCAAGGACTAGAATTCACTCTTCCTGCTTGTTGTGTAAAAAACAGAATTTTCCAATGATCTTTATGAAATTCTGCCCAGACGAGCCTTGGATTTTCCCAGTCTCAACTTGTACCTCTGTTCAAAGGCATAATTCAACTCCCATTAGTATCAGTGGGAATTTTGTCATTGACTTCAGTGGGAGTGGGACTGAGACCCAAGTGTCTATAGGTGTAATTCTGCTCTCCATTATTCCTGATCCACCGTGAGCAGCTTCACAAAGGTTGCACCAGTTAAACGGGGGGGAGGGAGGGCGGAATTTAGCCCCATCCCTTTACTTGTTTCTCCCTTTGGTCTACCATACTCCCCTTCTCCAGAAGCTTTTAACGAATATGTCTTGTTGTGACCAGTTATTTGTTATAACTAGCTGACACTGTAAGTAAAGTGATCTACTAATTGTACTGAGGTCTGCTACATGCCATTGTTTTAAGGTGGATATAGTAACAGCAAAATTAATAGTTAATTTAAAACCATGCAGCTAGACCCGCTGCTTTCTGTGGAAACTTCTCTACAAGCTAGTCCATCCATTATGTATGGGAGCAATGGCCTAATTCTGCCAAAGGCAATTGCCAAAATAGGTACTGTACTGAAGATACAACGGCAAAGTGACACAGTACATCGTGTTAAGTTGTTGGGTCACCAAGGATCAGCTTTAACGGGCACATAAACACATAAGCTACAATACAATAATACTGGCTCATGTTACTGTCGTAAATTGAAACCTCTTGTCTCCATTATCTCAAGAATTCCCCTCATTTTGGGTCTCTGGACTTTTTAGAGTTATACATCCAAGGAGAAGGAAATGCTAAGTCACAAGCATAATCAATTCTAAAGATCCCAGTTAAGGGGTGATCCTGCGAGATGCTGAGCCCTTGCAACTCATTGATTTTAATGTGTGCTGTGGGCATTCAGCACCTGTATTAGACAATGTGGGTATGCATCAGATAATCGAGGGATACATTTCAGTGCATCAGACCACACGGCTCATTGTATAGGCATGTCCCCTAAATAGCAATACTTTTATATTCCTGTGAAGGTCTCAAAGCACTTTACAAAGGAAAGTAAGTATCATTACCCACATTTGACAGCTTCAGTTCTGAGGCAGAAGGTCCAATTCACCTTTGCCCTGCTCCCTGTGTTATCGTTAACATCAGCGGAGAGTGAGTATAACTCGCCACCATTCTGATCTGGGAGCATTTTACACTGGTGTAAGTGACACCACAAAGTGCAGGACAACAGTGAATTGGCCCAGCATGAATAAGGGCCAGATTTTTAAAGCTATTTAGATGCCTAAAGATGCAGATAGGACCCTAGTGCGTGTTTTGACTCTTCCAGTAGCCTAAGGACTTTTTAAAATGCCTCTAGATGCCGCGCTGTCTCTTTCACCACCTCGGTAGCATTAAACATCTGGCCCTAAGTTACTTGACCATGGCTACAGCAGGTCAGTGGCTGAACTAGGAATAGAACCCATCTCTCTCCTGACTTCTAGTCACATGCCCGCTCCACTGAACTACTCCATTGCCTTCTATGACTGATGAGAGAGTCTCCTCTCCCTTACCATAGACTGAATCAGGAACAACGTGTAGGGGGGAAATATGTGAAATGGGGACAGTGGAAAAAACTCAGCGTGAGGATTCAAAGACTCCATATGTGCTTTCAGCCTTGTCCTTCTTTAATCTCTTGCATTTCCATAGTCTTACTCCAGAGGATCTCACAGTGCTTTATGACAGGTTTCAGAGTAGCAGCCGTGTTAGTCTGTATCCGCAAAAAGAAAAGGAGGACTTGTGGCACCTTAGAGACTAACAAATTCATTTGAGCATAAGCTTTCGTGAGCTACAGCTCACTTCATCGGATGCATGCAGTGCTTTATGTTTCACAGCTGTCTTGTGAGAGCATGAAGTATTAATAACTTTGTTCCATATGTAACACCGACAGACTCTGGTCATCGGTGAGTGGAATCAAACCTGGGACCTCTGGAGCTAAATGCATGAGCTAAAAGCCACTTGGCCCTTAGTTAAGGCTGTAGAGCAGACTCATTAATCTCTACGTGGTCTTGGTGCCACTAGAGGGGAGAGAGCACCACACCCAGGAGGTGTGTGGATTACACATAGATTATGAAAATGAAGCACACGGAACTTGCCCATGGTCACACAGTGAGTCTGTGTCAGGAAAAGATCGCAGATCTCCTGACTACCAATCCAGTGATGTATTTTAATTAAGGGTTGTGTTTGAAATAATAATTAAAAATATGATAAACTGCTCATTTGTGAAAATCCCTATTTCTCATGCCATTTTCATAGCTGAAAATCATTTTCCCTCTTTGGATCTGACTTAAAAAGAGATGAGGGCATATTGCATGGACAATTAGTGTTTGGTCCAAAAGGCAATTAAAGGGTTAAAAGATTGGGTGGTGGGGGGGTGTCCTATTTTAAAAATAGCAAAGATTATCTGACTGTACTTTGAAGAGGGTATATGAATAAAATAAGCTGCCCAGATTTGCTGCCTGGAATATGGGGACAGCGCACATAGGGGGCAGGACATGAACTCAGAGGATTTGCAATGATTTACCTTCTGCTCCGATAAGCCGAGATCACAGCTTCTCGCCTAAAACAGTATTGCGGATCCTGAGT